GAAACAAATAGGTGATTGGTGTCCTCTTTGAATCTGAGCTGCTTAGGGCAGCATGAATTCTCAATGTTCAATTCTTTTTGGCCGGACTAAATTAAGTTGCCAATTAAATCAAAAGACATTTTTTTACAGACTTGGTCATGTGGTGTTAATTTAGGTACCTCACAGTTATGCTTTTAAATGAGACCAGGGCCCAATTTCATGGCGCTGGTAAGCACACGATTTTCTGCTAACAGAGTCTCCGTCTATTTCATGGAGACCGTAAGCATAAGCACAGCAAAAGGCATGCTTACCTCAGAGGAAAAATTTGCTTAACTTAGTGACGTAACAATAGAAATCTCCAGGCACGCGCGACCGTTAGCACACACACGCCGTGAAATAGTGCTTAAGCTTAGCAAATTTTTCTGCTATGCTAAACACAACTATTCTGCTAACTGTTAAGCAGCGCCGTGAAATTGGGCCCAGGTTGTTGCAAAATATTTTGGACTTGAACTGTCATGACTGTATGACAGTGATGTGCCCGTAAGTTGATATGTCAACCCCATTGCTATGCCCATGCTATTGACAATTGTTGGATCTGCCTGTGCCTTTATCCTATGACTAATATATCCTGATTTGGATGTACAAACTAAGGAATAGGTATTACATGCATGAATCTGTTTGGATTGAGATTCTAAAGAACTCTGAGTTATTAAGGATAGTTCACTTCCTGTGTGGTAGAATATGATCATGTGATATAATTTAGGCAATAGGAGACCGTTAAGGCACCCATGTTAGCTCAAGGTGATTTCATTGTGCCTTTTGAATACTCTATCAAGATGGAATCATTGGCAACAGAAGCTCTAGATCAGTCTTCGTTCACACAACTGCAGTTAGTTAAGCTGTCCATGTTTTGGGGGTGGCACCCCCAAAAATGTATTTTCCAATTGAATTGCTGTTTGTGTAGCATGATCTATTTGGAGACTTTTCTATAAGACATCAAACATGTCAAAAGAAAATTGTGTGAAATTATGGAAAAATATTAGAAAATGGAAGTAACATAACATTTGCTATGAATAGGGTCTGTCTGTATTCTCTGTCCTGTGTTCTACAATGCAATCAAACCTGACTTTGCCTGCCAGTACTGTATACATTCATGAACATCTTCTCTGACATGTCCACAAGTTCATTGTCATGGTTTAAACATATTCCTATAGTCTTACATGAGCCATTAAGGCTTCACTGTTTGATGAAGGGGCAAGTCCAAGAATTAGCACGCTACATGTATTTCCCATATGTAACAAAAGTTTAAACCTCAAAGGCATTCACGGATTTCAGTGGTTTTTTTACTCTACTGTTGGGCATCTGCAAGAATACCCTCAAAAATGTTTATGTTATTATCTTTGCAACCATTGTGTAATGAAAGAAAACATGGTGTTACGTATTGGACTTACCCACAGTTTTGCAGTTCTGCATTTGTAAATCTGTCTTCTTTCATTTGAGCATGGGTGATTCTGAAAAAAAGCAGTGTCAGCACCATATACATGGTGTTAATAATATTCCTTGCAATGTTGTCCTCAAGGTTCTTGTTATGTATCACAAGTACATCACAAGTAATAGTGGATGAACAATAACAAAGGAATGCATTTGTAACAGTTCATTTGAATGGCTTTGACTTGACTTGGGACTGGAGGACTTATGAGTGACTTGTGATCAGTCACAAGCACCGTGACTACAACCAAGCTAATTAGTGCACAACCATTCCAATCTCACATCTCATCATCTACAAAGTCTTTGTGAAGTTGTCGTCATTAGAAATCCAAGTGAAAATTCAGAAATATTCAACTGTTTACTGCTTTGAATTTCCCCGGGAATATATGCTGTTTGATTTTCAAACGAAACTTCATTGTATTGCTTATTCTATGCATAATTTGTTGTTTATAAAATGGATGAAAAGCTACGTTATTGTATATTAAGTAGTAGTGTTGGAATGTACAGAGTAGAGAGTGATAGGACCAATTCACAATAGCACTTCACTTTATATAGACCAGGAGATACATTTGTATATCACGAGGTACATCATGTATATATTATTGTAGAAACAAACTGTTCACTACATTGTATTTCTTATTCACAGAGGTGTAATAAATAATTTAGTCACTGGACAGTGTGATCAGAAGAAATCTCAACATATTGATTGATTTCATCATTTCTGATTGTTATTTCATATTCCTCTTCCCTACAGAACACTGTTGTACAATTATTGGACTAAGTGACTGCGTAATATAGCCCCTGCAAATAGCTTACACAGGAAAAACATATCTGCATCACTATTTAGTTAGCTTAAGAAGGCATATCAAAATAAAAACATTTAAACAATTCTTTCTTGCAAAAAAATGATTTAGAAATTACCTTTGAAAGCTGTTTTTTCTTCATGTTTCTTGTTTCATTTGTTGCTTGGGGCAGCAGGCATATGATGCAATAACAAATTCTAGTTCCGTGGTTTTTGGCTTGAGTGCTGCATGTATGTCATATCGGCAATCAGAGTCCTAGTTTTGACGTCACAAATCCTGTTTTTCCAAGAATGGCCTGAAGGAGCCGATGGTGCTTGTTTTCATTTTTGTGGCTACAGACTCGAAAATTCCAGAAGAAATGTTAAGTTTATATTTAAGTAGGCATTACAAAGCTGAAATTGGGTATGTGACATTGTTTCTCGGTCTACTACACAATATAAACCAATGTTTCATAAAATATTGTTCAGCTATCTGGAGTGAATATCGTGTATGTATATATTTGAGCATAGTATATGCATGGCAAGTGACTCAAATACAGGGCGAGTCAAAAAAGTGGAACCCAAACCCTAAAAATTACATTTCATATTTAAAAAATATGTAGCACCAAACATCATAATGACTGGAAAGCCAATTTCATAAACTACTTTTAGATGAAAAAAATACTGAAATTGATAAATCCGTTCAAAGAACATCACCATTGTAATGCAATGACCTTAAAACCTCTTTCGTCCAAAAATGTGATTTCAAGAATCGTTGTCACAATTGTCTTCAAACATCACCAGCGATGAAACCTCAGTTAAAAAAATTAAAATATTCAACAAAGTCCTCTTAAATGCCTGTCTTTTCGAAAAAAGTAGATTTTATCAATCATATTGTTTGCCTAACTAGGGTTGTTAATAAAGATATTGTGTACTACAGTTGTTGACAGTTGTTGAAACAAGTATTCTGTGTCATTTCCTTTGTTGTTCCAAACAGTAAGAATACACAATAAATTGCTTTTTATTTTGGACGAAACAGGTTTTAGGGTAGTTGAGTTTAAATGGTGATATTCTTTGAATGGATTGAGCAATTTCAGTAGCTTATGAAATTGGCTTTACAGTCATTATTATTTTTGGTGCTTCATATTATTTTAAATATGAAATATAATTGTTGGGGTTTGGGTTCCGCCTTTTTTTACTCAGCCTGTATACATGGTATAACTGAGAGAAATAATATGAATGAGATTCATGTTTGACAAATTCAAGATTAGATGGTTTTGCACAAATTGTTTTGAATTAATTCTGCCATTTGTCCATTTACCTGGGTTTACCATTTACCGGGCAGAATATGGCCAACAGGACATGAAACAACTTTACAGTTACCATAAAATAAGTAGCAATTAGGTAATAACACGGTTCCGATGCTCCTTGGCTGTCCTGAAAATTCTTGTTGTAAGGTTTCATTTAATTTCTGTACAAAAAACACTGATGAATTAGTATATTACTTGTCCTCCATGAAAATATAATTAAAAAATATACTAAAGTATACATATAATGAATATAAATCTGCAGATGAACACGCACATGCAGGATGTAGTGTTCATGCATGAAACCCTATAGAAGCTGTTGCAAGCAGACAGTCTACAGTGTGCAGTGACTGACAAGACCAATCCAATCAAATTGTGTTAATTCAGTTTCATGTGGCATTATGGAACGGAAGGGGCTTCATCGCACATAGACTGTTGCTGCAATTCCAGTGTTGAAAACAAATTAATACACACGTCACTACATGCATTCAATTCAAATGATTTCAGAATATTCCTACTCCTAGTGAAATTGTTTGTACCCTTTGAATGAACTGTTTTTAGCAAATAAAATAAATATTGCAAAACAAGACAGCTGCTTGGCCAGTCTTCTATGTGGCTTTAGCTGTCCCAGATAGGATCAGCTTAGATCGTGACTTCATCTCAACCCAAGGTGTAAGTCTTATTATTTCTCTCAGTGGCAAAGACTGCTTTTCAAAACCTTTTCAAAATATGGATATTTGATTCTAACAGTTCTATACTACTTGTACCTCTGATCATCTTTGATCATTATATCATGGCTTACAATGTATTAACGCATCCTAAATATATCCCTCCCTCAACCCCCCCCCCCCATTACTGAGGTAATATTGGCTAAAAGTCAGACAGATATTGCTTTAAATTTTTTTATTGTATTCAATTAAGTCTTAAATATATAAATCTATTTTCTTTTCATGAAAATGTAGAGATAATGAACATGGACTAACAACTTTGTTTCCTGATTGACTAAGATGATTAATATTGATAATTAGATCTACTAACAGCCAACAATTAGATTAATTGAACAACCTTGTTGATCCAAAAGGCTCCTGAACACAATCGTGATGGATTCAAGGCTTGTGGCCGATTCATAAGCCATGTTGTGTACTCAACTGAGTTGTTATCAAGTTGTAATTAAGTCTGACATCACAAGTCATCACAAGTCAATAACTGTCCAATCACAAGTCAATTATAAGTCAATTACAAGACAATCCATGTCATATAGTCTCAAGCAACAAACCAAAGGTGTTGGAGATAATTGAACTGCTAGACAGGTTTCCATTGTTCATGCTGTTGTGTGACCTGTTTGTGAGTCAGTTGTAACTGATTGGATTCAAGCTCTTGTATGTAGTATCATGAAGTCTTTATTGAGAATAACATCAACAATAACAATGAAAGTACGCTGAAGGTTAATTATTAGTATCAGCATTGTTTATTCTTTCAGATCATGACATATTGCTTACAAAAATTCATTTAAAATACAGGCTTGATGTTATGGTTCTAAAGCAAATTTACAAGTCAACTAAGTCACAAGAACAAACAAACATGGGTCAACATTTTGTTTTTGTTTAACAATCCTGAATTGTACTAATTGTGGTCAATCTAGATTCATCCATTGGTGTGTTGTACATGTACTCTGTATGTTTTCATAACACTTAAACATTATTTCATTTTACTTTAAAAACAAAATTATCCATTCACTTTAAAAACAAAACTGCTGCCTTTGTACACACGTTTCTTTTTCAGACCCAACGCAGCAAACTAGCTTGTTTATGCTGTGCAGCTTTGCCTAAGTTTGATCCACATACATTAAAACAAACCTTAAAAAAATATTCTGCCATATTTTTGTTGCAATGTCCACAACTGTGGACATGAAGTTATAGAAATCGCTCACATTCTTATTTACAATCTGCTCATATGTAAGAGGAGCAAACCTACATGTAGCTCTAGCTCTTTGAATTCAACACATCTTGCAGCAGATAAAACAGTGATCCATCATCCTGGCAAAACTACAAAGCTGCCAACACTATACTACTTCGTTCACAAGTACACAAGGAATAACAAAACAGTTGTATATTACAAGAAAAAAACAACCCTATTAAACAAGTGTCTGCACATAATACAGACTTGTACAGCAGTCCACTAACCCTCAGTAACATGTCCAATTAACTGCCAGCAATAGGCAGATACCGCTGCATGCTAGCAGCATTATAGCTAGACTGAGTGGACAATATACATTGAGAAGTAATTGAGAGTACAAAACTGAACATGAGAAATTCATGAATAAGTTATAATTTCCCCCACTACATTACACTATGACGACAAAGTTATTTACCTAAATTAGAAGAAATAGAGCAATGCATATGAATGCTGAGCTGATGTGCCGATTATCTCAAGTGGGCGCCATTTGGAGCGAATATATTGGCTAGCTACATGCAAAATGTCAAGGCAAAATGTATTGATATACAGAAACCCAACTATGCCAAATCCTACTGCTCAAGTTACCATGGTTACATGAAATCTATAATCAAAAACACACACATTACATCAAAGTACATGTAGCAACTGAAATACAGAAAAAAAATCATTGTTGACTTGTAACTCTACTGCAGTGCATCCATACAGGTGCTGTAGTTATGTGGGCCCATGTGCTTTAACAAATATAATAAACACACATTAAAGACGCTCTGAGAATCTGTTACAAAAATATTACCACTTAATAACTACCTAAATGGATGCACTAAATGATACAGTCCAACTGAAAATTACTAGTTGGTCAAAACTACCCCCCCCCCCCAAAAAAAAGGACTGTAATTTTGAAAAAGAAATGAGGACATTCCATGGAAATTCCTGCATACTGCCAAAGGGCTGTAAACAAACCAAATACTAGCTTCCATGGCATGTAAAGCACTGGAATCGCTCTGATATATACATGAATGTACTACTGGGAGTGTGGCATCAGCATTGCTTGTTGATAAACCCTGGTGGCATATCCCAGGCAATCATCATCTTGATGATTGATTATATCCATATAATGTTCAGGACATCACAATCACTGCAACTTGACTGTTATGTCAAACTGAGTGGCAGCGCTGTATTATATACGTGTACACCTTTTTTGCAGAAGCTGAAGAATTGTGACATCAATGTCAAGTAGAAATAAGTCAAAGGTTACAATGTCCAATGTACAAAATAAAACAAGATGAAAGAATTTATCAATGTTGAATGACAATATTTAATTGTGTAAAATAATGAATGACTTTGTAAATTGATCTTCCATTCATATGTATGTCAGTCACCAGTAGCTCTTCATTCGTATGATCAACATTTTGATAGTGACACTTGTTTTGCTTAAAGTTAATTTGGTTTATTCCAAATCTTGTTTCTTACAATCATGGTAAATTGAAGCATGCTAGATATTTTCTATGACTCCTTACAATGTATTACTCAGAGCTAGACTGATATCAAACAGACACATATCTATTAAGGCATGCAACCAAGTAACCAAACAAACAGGACATTCCAAGCTTTACAAGACTTTATACAGCGTTTTTCAATGTTTATAATGGCATAAGTGTGAAGTGAACAACAAGGAAATCAGTTGCATGCCTGTCTATTACAGTTTGCATATCTTGATAGAATCTTGAAAATTAAAAAAAAAAAAACATAAAAAAAAAAAATCAAACATACAAACTAACTTCGGCAAATTCGATTAAACATTAAATGTCACGGCCAGTGAAGTGTCTCTTCCTTCTGGAACTCAGACAACTTTCCTGATGATCTGCTATTTACAACCATGGATGCCACGCAGGATCCATACGACATAGGTTGTCTGGACTGTTAGCTGCTACTAGTGACTAGACTGAGGGGCCAGGCATGGATGGCTGCTATAACAACCATGGATGCCACGCAGGATCCATACGACATAGGTTGTCTGGACTGTTACATGTAGCTGCTACTAGTGACTAGACTGAGGGGCCAGGCATGGACGGCTGCTATAACAACCATGGATGCCATGCAGGATCCATACGACATAGGTTGTCTGGACTGTTACATGTAGCTGCTACTAGTGACTAGACTGAGGGGCCAGGCATGGATGGCTGCTATTACAACCATGGATGCCACGCAGGATCCATGCGACATAGGTTGTCTGGACTGTTAGCTGCTGCAACTAACGTACTCACTTTACTCTCACCTCCTTCAAACTGGGCCAAGTCTGTAGTCAAAAACAAAAGGAAAATTAAAAATTGTTTCATTTCAAACAAGATGAGACATACTCTGTGCATCAAATTGATAATCATATACAGTCGGCTCTTTTTTTACAAATTTGGTTAAATCAAAATTCTGGTTATCACAAAAATGTATCCTCAGTCTTGACTGAATTATGCATACTCCTAGGAACACGGTCAATGAGAAGTTTCATTTTAGACATACATTTTTATCGACCAAGTTGCATGAAATATCATGGTCTATTACAGAAGTACTAATTAATTCAAAAATCTGATTGATAAAAACAAGAGTAGGATTTGATACTGATGTGCCAGGCAGCTGACAATACAGATTGACTAGGAGTACACTGTACAGCAAGTTGGACTGAAGACCACTGGTTGGCAAGTGATTGATTCATGACATATATTGCACCTGACACAAATAATTCAATGTAAACCTCTCTGGTCAAACAACACTCAAACTCAACACAAAACTCAGTCCTGTCCCCTACTGTACACTAGTCAAATCATCTTGTGTAAGTCTGAGTGGTGTTTGTCAATCCATGGTTAACCATTGATCCTGCTTGAACTTGCTGACATGTTTATATATTTGACAGCTGTTACAATGGAACTCAAGAGTTAAAGTTTAAGTGAAGGTCACATGTACATGACCAGCAAGATGTGCGAAGTCTGAATGCAAACCATGGTCATGTACTTACTCTGTAGTCTTGTCATGATGGCACTAGCAGCTTTATTGACAGTTGATATGAGTACTTCACTGTCCATGTTAGATGGTTGGGACCCAGGACCACTAGCGTCATCTTGCTTTTGCTATCAAGAAAACACAACAGAACCTCATCAACAAACACAAACCCAAGCATCTTGATGCTAGTCTTGACATCAAATACAAGGAAGTCATCCGCAACTCGTATTTCAAACAGTACTTGGTTCAGCCTTTATTTAAAAGAAAGTAACACGGTCTTGTGAAATCATATGGTGTCATGTTATTTTAATAGTCGACATGAACACTGTGAAAAAATTACAAGGCAGATGTTAGCACACTATGTACATACAGCCAACAGGCATGACTTATCATGTCATATCATATACACAATCAAGTGTATGATTCATTCATTTGGATCACAGGAAATCAAATCCTAGCCATTACACAGGGCTTACCAGGGTATTCAATATAAATGGGACAAACCTGGTCATTTCATCAAGGTATCAGCTTAGACTTCAATCTTTAATGTAGAATGATGACATTGTGTACTGTTTAAAATAGTTTTTCCGTTGTCTATGTCCAAAGTGTAGACTGACCTTTTTGTCCCAAGCGATCATTTCATCTCTGAGGATGGCTCGTAGTAGTGATGGTGTCTGTAATGAAGGCTGTACAAAGCATCGAGCTGATGCTATCATACAGGCTGTCAGGACTCCATTGACTCCTACAGTAGTCAGAAACTCAGCTATGTTGGGTGTCAAACGGAATGGCACTGGACGATTGGCATCTAGCTCACCTGTCATGCACAATAGGTACATCAATTATGCCATCTATTTCAATGCAAATCTACTATTCAATTGCTGTGAAAAGGAGACAATCTGAATTATTCTACAGCCTCATGCCATGATATAGATATATGTAGATGAAGTATGCAGCTTTGTAATGGGCCTGATTCACAAGCCGGCCATATTTGATTGAGAGTGCAGCAAAATCTTTATTTTTGGAATTTGTGTAGAGAAAAGAAAGCAATGACGTTAGGAATTAATACCAGTCTGCTCTGATGAATCATTTAAAATTTATGATTAAACATACCCTGTTTTAAGCTACATTTAAAAAAGAAAGAAAGTGAGGCCATAGTGAATAAATAGTCTGGTACCATCCCATTCAACAGTTCACAATTTATGAAATACATTCAGGGAACTCGACAAAAATGGCCAACTTGTGCATAAGGCCCATGGTGTCACATGACAAGTCACATGACAAGTAACAGGTGATTCACAGTTAGCAAAGAATGCCTATGTTACATTGCATTTGAATAGCATGTGACTTGACTTGAGATAGGATGACTGTATCCCGAGTGACATTCAATAACAATACACAAACGCATGTTGCATTTCATTCTTCAGAGCTGTAAAGAGAACGATGGATGAGAAGGGATCCACATAAACACTGCTGCCTTACACCCATGTAAGGAATGACAGTACGTTTCCTACCTGTAGCATCATCCATGTCAAATCTGAAGTAGAAGATGGAGAGAAGTCCCGAGTTTCGTTCCACTTGAATGATCTCAGGATTCAGACGTGTCAGATGCATGACAAACTCCACCAATCCTAGCAATGCTAGCTGGGTGGTGAACTGAAACATGCAGAAATCAAACACAAGGTCATGTACATGTATCTTCAAAGGGAGCCTCTTCAAGGTTACCTTGTTATTCCAACATTATGACCAATTCATCAGCTTGATAAAGCCTAAAGCCATGGACTTCCTTCCTAGAGGCCATCCTAAACTTGCCAGGTCTTGGACTTTGGCAAATTTGAGAGTGTTATGTGTACATGTTTGGTAGCACAGACTTTAAAGGAACCAAAACTCTTTTAGAAAATAAAATGAATATGAAGATTAGAAGCCCTCAAAAACCCTTTGCCCATCATCCAATGTCCTTGTTACAGGCAGCTGCATGCATCAACTTACTTCATGGTCTGTGCAGATGTCAGTGGTGCGGGGTTTACAGGGGTTATTTGATCAATACAAACACTTTTGTCATGACCACCAAAAAAAGGAGAAATTGACAAGGAAAAAGTTCAACAAAGGAAGAATTCACAACTAACAAAGGTTTATAAATTCTGTATTCCAAATCAACAGAATAATGATGACAACAAGGACTAAATGCTCAGTTGAGTAGGTTTATGGTGTAAATCGAGGACACACATGTGCAACACCATCAATGAATTAAGGACAGAAACCAAATCGAGGACTCCTCGGTAAGAAAAAGTGTACAAAACCAATGAGAGCTGTTGCAAAAAAGTTAGACTATAAACAAAGGAAAAGGGAAGAAGAATAGAAAATCCTTGATTTACACCATAAACAAACGTGCTGGGGTCAGTGAGTTTGTTTCTGCATTCAATGGGGACGTTGAACAATAGAGGACAATTGGGTCCCCAATTCCCGAGAGGTCCCCAATTGGAATTCGTGTACAAAACATATGGGAGGTCTTCCTAAAAAGTACAAACAAAAGAGGGACAATAGGGGGTCCCCGATTGCAGGCAAATACACACTTGGGTGTGTGTGCGTGAATCTATAAATCTTTGGCTTACTAACGCCACTTACCATCTTACGGAATGCAAAGTAGTCAGTAGCATCAGGGAATGTCTGTACCACCCATTCCTTCAGCATGCCTTTAGGTACTGTATTAGTCTGTACTTCCTTCAAGACATCACGCAGTACCTGATGACTGGCCTGAGAGCCACGGGACTGCACCGTTGCTAAGCGCTCATAGTAACGATTGATTGGTGCATCATACTCTACCTGGTGCTTGGCACAACGCTATCAGAACAATAACAAAACAAAAGGTCAATGCTTCCAACAGCGATGTGCATTTATAGATAGATCTTTACATTAGGGCGTGGTGGGTGTGTAGATGACACCTCAAGTCAACTGCAAGTCATTCTATCCAGGTTAACAGCACTTTATGTATATTCCTGAGATATTTTCCATAATTCCGTGAGGAATATTTTCACTTTAACAAGTTTGCCCGAAAGTCAAGAGGTTGGGTAACACAGCCAATTGTTATTGGCTGGAGAGGTGTATAATATTCACACTACGTTATCACTAAAAAGCAACCACAGCCAGCCAGTCAGTCAAACGACACAATCACAACATGGACACATGGCACAAGATGTACGTATGCCAAACTGGCAAAAACCTCTCCCTTGCCGTTAATTGTCAAATTCCCTGAGATTTTCCTGATTTCTTTTTTTCCCCCAAATTCCATGACCCTTCTCCAACTGGAAAAATGGAAACTACTTTTCAAGGTTTTTTGTAATTTCTAGAGTGGCTGGCAAGCCTGTCTATTCTTTGAATGGTCTTATTGTCAAGTTGAGCTACCCTGATGTATTTGACGATGCATCTTGTGCTTTGTTTGGCAATCCCATATTGCCCTTTCATTGAGGGGGCTTGTGAATTCTTGGCTTTGTCTCTGTTGTCTGCTTCAGGCTGTAGCTTTGTGATTTTGGTCGCCTGACTGACAGACAGTAATACAATATTAATCCATATCTGCTTTAGAGACACCAAATCCTGGTGCCACGCATGAAGAGAGCGCTTTAGTTAGTGTATGATTTTTTGTAAGGTTTGAACATAACATGATCAGTACCACTCTTGTTTCAGACATAAAGATAAAGCCATAGAAGACCCTGGGAGTTTCTCAAGCCCCCTGAGAGCAAGAACCCTGACAGCATGTCTATGTACCTGTTTGTAGATGTCTAGTAGAGATAATGACGATGGAGTATCTTCAATCAGTCTCATCTGAGGAGATACAGCTACCACCTTGGGAACTGTAAACTGTAGCTGCCTCTTGGCCGTCTCCTACAACAATCAATCAAGCGAAGAAATTCACATGACAAGATTCAACTAGACCAAGGCTTCATACATACACTGAAGCATCATAAGTAACAATCAAATAAGCAATACAATGCATGATATCTATGTATCCTTTTAGTGTTGCCATGCATCAGCACTGTGTGGGATTTCACAAGACTAATTTGAGGACACACTGTGTGTGGGTACTGGTTGGTGCATGCGTATGGCACTGAATGGTATGACCATTTTCACAACTCAATGAGAAAAAACCATAGATGGTCTGAAAACACCACAATGAAAACACCCAAGTGTGAACTCATTTGTCACTACTGCTACTACAGAGTCTAACAACCAGGCCAGCTAATGCCAACAGAAACAGCACGTAGCATGTGCTAGTCACATGTTTGTACGCACAGACAATTCTTTTTGCTTAGCACTGAAGTGAGCACTACAATCAACAATTCCTGACTGGTTAATATTCACCCTTTCTTGATTTCCAAGGCACAAAAATTGACTGCCACTTGGTAGTGTCTTTAATTTAAAGTAACTGTTTCATTTTTGGAAAGGAAAACCAAAACTCCTTGCAACAAAAGACCCATAAAAATGACCCAGGCTGGTGTTAAGATCACAGTAAATTACTTGTCACTTTTGACAAACAGGCAACGTCATATAAACTTGACTTATATCAACCAACAGATACAAGAAATGGAAATATAAAAAAACAAGTCAGAAATGTGTTGAGAGTGAACCTTTCTCTTGGCCAGGAAGATGTTGAGCATTCTGAGTAGCTGTAGTACACGTTCCTCTCGCCTAGATTCACCCATAGATGCGTCATTGACCACCAGGTAAGGATAGATCTGAAACCAAAGCAATAGGCCAGTCAGTAGGGAGAATATCATTACCAATACAGTAATAAAACAGCTTCAAAAGAACATTATTGATGTGCCAGTTACTTATCGCATGGTCTGAGCCCAATTCTGCCCAGTTCTGAGCCCTATTACATGGCACTGCTAATTTCTAAGCAGTAAGCACAGCAAAATGCATGCTAACCTCAAAAGAAAAACTGCCGAAATTAATGACTTAACAATAGCAATCTCCATGCGCGTGCAACCGTAAGCACATCCACGCCATGAAAAATTGTGTTATAGTAAGCACAATGTTTCTGCTAACTGTTAAGCAGTGTTATGAATTTGGGCCTTGGTCAATGCTTTTGAAGTCTTAGGGAGAGGATTTTACTATTCTTTTTGAGCAAATAAAACAAACAAAATTTCTACAATATTCCGTTGTAAAATTGGAAGTTGAAAGTATTGGTTGATAGCACAAGATAATCAATTGAGGATGGAATCATTGTAACTGTGTAGACCTACCTTGCCATTACTGCCTCTGATATACAGCCTTCTAGCTGCTGTGTTGTGTTTATGGACTATTTCTACCCTCGGCATGAAGCGAGCTATCTTGACACTGTAGTGACTGTGTCGTGGTGTCAAGTATTCACCCGGAAGCTCAACATCTGCTGTGCTGGAGGAGAAATTGCTCAGGAAACGGCAGTACTCTTCAATTAAGAAGAATCTAAACAAAAAATTAAAATTAAAAACCAAGAAATGAATTCCAATCTCAAGTTCTTGCCGACATATTACCCTAACCCTCCAGGTTCTTTTGATCAGAAACCCTATCCACTGCAACAACATGCAAGAGTTGTCAAAGTGAGAAGCTTGTCCAGTGTAACAAGATCTGGCAAGTCAACCATCATGAGAGCAAACAGCCTTGGAACTTACTCCTAATGTCACACAATTAGCACATTATGCTGCTGGTGTTGACTACCCAAAGTAACAAGGTCACACTGATCGGTACACCTGGTGCACTTGTTTTGTCTGGCAGGGTTTGGGTTCAAGAAATTAAACAGCAATAATTTTGTTCAAAATAAGAAGGTCAATGCAACCAAATCAATACAAATACGTTTAGCTTGCCCCATCCTCAGCAAATCAAATCAAATTATCATCTACCTCATTGTGCAAAACCAGATTAAATTCACCTCAATGTAATATGATCTGACCTCAGCCCTCAGCCACCCAACTTGGATCCAACTAATGACCCACGACCATAAAGTCTGAGTCAAACACTTAATTTTGTTCACCGAATGCAGTCAATCCCTCACAAGCGCTGTCACGCCATCTTGGTGGTACAGACTGCTAGCAACAGAATAAATCAAATCTAGTCTTGGGAACGTTGGCAGCTTGGACCAGAGGAATTTAAAGCATACCTAACATGCATGCTTTAGCTTCAACAGTGTGCAGGTGAGGTATGGTCAGAATATCTCGCCTCCCATTGCCCAAGTTCTCGAGACTAGATTGGACTGATTTTGTTGATAGCGCCCTCTACCACTGGGGCAGCTTGACTGGTTGCATTGGGAGAATCAATCCAATTTCAGTCTTGGGTCAAGACTAGTGCCATGCAGTTGGACTCACTTTGGTAGCAGCTTAGATCTAGTCTCCATCACTTTGATCCATTTCTTCAGTTTAAAGATCAAGTTATGCAGCTTCATAGCACCAGGCAATGAGAAGTCAAAGTCTGTTGTGAACTGTGGTTTTAACTTCTGGAAGACCGGATCCTGTGTGGTGGCTTGTACACGCTTGGCAAGAGACTCTGATGCTGCACTGGAGAATGTGGTAGCTACACTGCTGACATTCTCAATGCCTACACCAAAGGTAGTCACAAGTTTCTTGATGAAGCTGAGAGTGTGTGGAGTAACCTTAGCCTCAACAACTAGGGAAGAAGAATGGATGGAGGGTACGATGGTTAGACCTGTTCAAAAAAGTCAACTTCATTCACATAACTGGGTTGGTAAAATTGAGCTTAAATAGATGCACACTAACTTGTCAATATTCAGTTATTTATCACATTAATCTAAAAGGTGACCAATTAATTCCAAACTGAAATGAACAAGATGTCTAGAAGGGTCAATTTATTGACATCCTAGATTTGCAATATCATGCACATACTTCAGCAGTTAGACTACATTGAACATACGTATTTCTAAACAGAAATTCAAGATATTTAGCACCTATTATTGTAAATGAAGGAGTATTGGTTGATAGGATTGTCAACTGTCCATACTTTACCTGCTCCTCTGTTCTCAAAGGCAACAGCCTGGCATTTAGCTAGTGCTAGTCGCAACTGTCTCAAAACTTCTTCATTCCAAGTCTCTCGAAACCAAACCATCTGCAAACAGACAGGATTCAACAGACAAGCCTCATTCACTCGTATGTATGCATTCCTTATACTGGTGTTCTAGACTTGCACTAACCTAAATAATGCCAAAGGTTTCCATTTAGTTTAATATTTGAAATGTGTAGGAGGAACTACAAACAGAATATGCCAAAGATCAACTATTGCAATAATACAACACGGCACTTGTGGGTCTTAAATGAAAGCCAAACTTTATTTCCACTGACTGCAAAGTCACTTGTAAATGTTTTGGTTCAGTGCAACTCTTTTATATAAGAGCATGAGGTCAAAACATTCGCCAATTTGTTTACCAGTGAGAAAATCAGGTTTTGCAGTACAGTGAGGCAAAGGCAACATTGAAGGGGTGGTTGGTTTCTCTTTTTCAGGTGAACCTGAATCCATAAGGACTGTTTTACGTATCCCCCATTTTTGGGTCTATCAACGGTCTATCAAACGTCTTTGAAACCTATTTTCATCCTGTTTTATTAGTTGACTTCTGGAGTTGTTCTTAGTCGCGCATTGATACTTGCGAAAATGCGCGCTATAAATCGTGTTATTATTATTATTTATTATTGACTGTTCATTCACTGTAACATAACAGTGTGATTCTTAAATGCCCTCTCCTCAAAATTTAGTTTTACAACTTTAAGCAGGACAAGTTCTTTTCAGAACTAAATATCTTCTAAGCAGTAGTTATTACCACATGGTGTTACTGCAAACCGAAACGATAACTTTAATTTAATTGGCAGTCCAGATTTCCATTACTGAACTCAGTACCCAAAGTGTTATATACCATTGGAAAGCTGTTGTTCTGCACAATCCATACTTAAAAAGTCTGACTTAAAGTTCATTTTGTTGTGTCGGATCACGTATGTACTTGTCAAACCAGACTCAGCCAGTTTTCTTGGCATTGCATGGCAACTAAACCCTGTGGTAATATGGGAAGGTACATGTTATAAAACACAGGGTAATATCTGATAGCAATCACTGAAGTGTCTTGGAGAGTCTGGTAAAGAAAATATTACAACACACAATGAGAACTGAGTAATGAGAACTGAGTAATGAGAACTGAGTAATGAGAAGCGAGTGTACTAACCTGATCAACAATGCCTTCCAGTGATGAGAGTAGTATCGGATGTAAATCTCTCTGTACCTGCATGATACGACTGCATCTAACCATAGGTACAGAGGCTCTGATAGGACCAGGATTGGAGGCGGAGCTTGCTCCTAGCTGGGAGGAGGAGGAATGACCAGTTGTGCTGGTACTGGATCCATTGGTATCTGGGAAAGCAATCATGGCCACATATTCACACTACAGAGATCAGGATATGGATTTATACTTCTTAAGTTACTTAGTTACAAGCCGATCATCCCGTAGTGAACCCTAACTCCCTTGGCATATTGCCAGGAACCTAGCCGCAATCCTCCAAATCCTCCACTCTGCAGTAAACCAATGGCACAGTCTTTGTAATTTGACTGTGTGTAATGTTCAAGCCCCATCCAGTCCCATGTGAAAGTGACTGGAATCTTCCTCCCTCAATCATCCCCCCTGACACCTGCAGCCGATTTCACAAAAAAAACGTGTGTAGCTTGCGCCATGCGAAAGAATTACGCAACAAATTTGTTGCGCAGCTGCGCAATAAACTTACAATCGATTTCACAAAACTTGGCGTAGCTGGACGAGGATAAAAACAACATTTACGACAGCTGTTTGTGTGTGAATTTGTTCGTTCATAAAACAGTCATTGGATCACCTCAGCCTGCCATTTTAAAAATTCTTTTGTCCGACTTTCTTCGGAATCTTTCGGCAACTCTAAAAATTACGTTACGAGTAAAATAGAAATTCATTTACTTCAAACATAACGTAGTGAGTGTCTTGTATCAACCTTGATAAGTTGTGCAATAACATGCTCCATGACAGTCCCGATTTGCTAGTAAAATAGGTCATTTTCAGTCGCTACGCCATAACTTACACCACCTAAAATGATTGCGCAAGTTACGCCATAATTTATTGCGCAAGTTGTGGACTTACGCACTATCCGACTATCGTGAAATGTGTCACAAGTGAAATAAATTGTGGCGCAAGCAGAGTTGCGCCATTGCGTAAGGTTTCATGAAATCAACTGCTGGAGGATTGTCAAGGATGTGAGAGGGTTAGATTTATAACCGTGAAAATACTTCACTGTATCAGTGACTCTTTCACACAGTTGCTTATGTGATGATTCCTTGTCTGTTTTACACAAATATCAACATGGACCCAGTCATACGTGACATACATCACATGAAATTCTGGCCAATTAAGGTCTTTGGCAAATCCAATGAATTTGAGGTCAGCAAGTTTCTGTGCTTGGTAGCACCCTGTAGTGTGGCAGGTCACACAGTACTACTGATATCCTACATAGGATCCATAGCAGTAACTTGTGTCATACCTGTTGAGGTTGTTGCAGTGGATGTGATAGTAGATATAGATGTCGTACTCGTTGACTGAGCTGTGGTAGATACTGCAGGGGTCTGTGTACTGCCTTCTCCTGCCTTGCCTACGGAGGAGTTCCTACGCAGGCCTCCTATGTACTCACCACTTTTAACTACGTTCACACAAAAAAGTACAGAATTTACAGCTAGAAAGCACATCATTTTTTTTATATCAAACTATATCTGATAGATGTTGTTAATATTAAAACTTTGATGGTCACTTTTACATTTTTATCAAAATATAAATGATCTTGATTAATGTTTGTTTATTAAAGTTGCATTTTCCATGTTATTTTCAAATTTCATCCCAAATACCGATTTCTTTTTCTAAATTGCTATTTTTCCACCAATACAATAGAGTTAATCAGTTCTTAGTGAGACATCGACTGAAAAAATATCAGCCCATGTTAAAGTTGTTGAATTATTAAGTTACAATTTCAAATTGTAAAATGAGTAAAAAAAAAACCCAAACCCAAATGTTGGGACCATTGTTTTAGTGACGTTCTGCATGAAGGGGTTTGCCCCGGTGTTTCTGGCAGTGGCTGCAATATGCGCCGCAGCACCTTGTAAACTCTTATAAGGTGCTACATAATGGGTCTCATATTTCTCATAAACTTTATTTACCTTTCTTTAATAATAGACATATCTCCAGCGCCTTGGGTACCTAATTGTTGGTAGATACGTGCGCTATATAAGACTCCGATATTAGTATTATTAATATGTAACACTTTCAAAATCTAGGATATGAAAGCCCAATTCATATGCTTTCTTTTAGTACAAGAATCATTCAAATCACTCATGTACTTTTTAGGTTACGGACTTTAAAACACAACCAACGATTTAAAGTTCTGTCCACGGATCACAAGAAGGTAAGTGTTCTTTCAGCAAAACAAAAACACATCACATAGGGTGTGTGAATTGTTTTCGTTTTGCTGAAAGAACGCACACTTTTTTGTGATCTGCGGACAGGACTTTAAAACGGTGGTTGTGTTTGAAATTCCGTAACTTGAAAAGTACATGAGTGATTTGAATGATTCTACTAAAAGAAAGCTTATGAATTGGGCTTTCATATCCTAGATTTTGAAAGTGCTACATGCAGAACTTCACTTAAACAATAGTCGCGACATTTGTGTTTCGCTTTTTTTGACTCACCGTGTATATTGACACCTTTTTGCATTTCCATCAGGTCATCAAACATGAACTTTTGAAGTATTTCATGTGAACAGTTGTCAAACAATGAAATTTCACAATCCAATACCGCGTATAACAGCAATAATTGGTACCCTCCTAAGAGACATCACTACTATGACAGCAACTATTAGTACTTACATCTTTCCCGATGCTCTATCTTCAATGTCAGGTAGAGTGTTCTGATTGGGAAGTACAGGGCTTGAGGATAGACTCTGCCAACATTCATGAGTACATTGATGATTAGATCTCCTTCTGAACCAACCAGACACGTCAGCAGCTGAGGTATCCTGTCCAAAAAAACAGTCAAAGAAGAATGTATTCATGACTACACACTCAGCTTATGAGACACAGAGATATCAGCTGTTGAATGATACCTGATACAAAATCTCTTTAACTTGTATAGCCTTTCACTGCTGTTTGCTTGATGCAACTTAGCATATAAATCACAGGCATGTCATTTGATCATTCATTAATTAGTTTCTTAAATTGGTGGGGGGGGGGGGGCAAATATAAACACTGGCTTTGTATGAATGTCCCAACATTCCACTTCATGAATGTACTTAAAGCTATAGTCCATCATTTGCAGCCATCCGAAAAGTAACTGGCGTAATTATTGTTGAAAAACATACTTGGTTGAAAGATAGTAAGGGGACTAAACTCCCTGTGAAGTTATTCTTTCTGGCAAGCTGTCATTTTGAAGTAATCAACGAAATAAGGCCTTTCCAGTGGTGCGTCTTAAGACGCACCGTAGGAAATTTAAATTAGTAGTTCGTTTTGTTATTCGGCAAAGCGCGCGCAAGCATTGGCACCACACACACGTGCGCGCGGGTGCTATAATTCGTCGGATCAGTGCGCGACATCGCGTATAGCTGCAATTCAAAACAATTCAAAACATGATTCAGCAACTTTTGATTTGAAATTGAGATCCTAGAAAGCTGTTTTTCTCAAAATATACAGCTAAAGCTGAGCTGAAACATCATCAGGTTAGTTGTTCAGCACCCTTCATTAGATTTTGAACGGTTTTGTTGCTTCAAACGAAAAAAAAAGCACAAATTACAAATGATGGACTATATCTTTAATGAAAACTCCCCAAATAAGGAACAGGTTAGCATATATATTGCCCATTTTTCAGCCGGACTGCCTCAGCTGACTGATGCATCCTATCAGACTCTAGAAAGTGATCATCTCAGTCGTATATGAAGATAATCCTGATTTCTATGCACATTACACACACTGGAATAAGCTCAATATTGGCATAAATAATGAGATTGATATTGGTTATGAAATTTGCCCAGTCATTTATTCCTGCTGAGCATCCATATGGTATATTTATGAATTTTAACAAATTGCTTGCCCAAGAAATGAGCATGAAACTTATTGCCTTAATACTATGGTATTACACCAATGTGCTATGACATCTGATCCTATGTATCAGCTCATCATATTCAGGGCATGCCAGTTTGAGCCAATGGGCTCGCAAATTGAAAAGATATATGCAATTAGAACAAATGTAATTGTTACCATGGCAACCACTGGATTGGTGGCACTCCCACGGAGTATTTGTCGACAGCTTCAGCCAGTGGGTGTGAGTTCTTATCGTCGTCGTAGGTCAGTAGCCATAAGACTTTGGCAAGATACTTGCGGGATTTGGTCTCATTCTGATGGCGACAAGCGTGCAGGAAGCACACAATGGCAGACACTCCAACCTGCGTTTGTCTGGGACGGACAACAAGTCTCAGTATAATGCTCATGTCAAAGGAAAAGAGTAGTGTCAAAACTTGTCAAACAGGTCTACCACGACAACAAGTCTACCACGGAAAACAGGTCTACCATGAAAAGAGGTCTACCATGAAAACAGGTCTACCATGAAAACAGGTCTACCATGAAAACAGGTCTACCATGAAAACAGGTCTACCATGAAAGCTGCAAAAAGTATGAGATTGGGAGCCCTGTCAATTTGTTAACACACATCTCATTAAAAATGTGCGAATATAAATTTGCAATCACAACCGAATAGGGACTTGCAAGTTCAGAATCTAAATCAGATGCATTTTGCATTTTTATCCACAATTTCAGACATCAGCTTGAGCTTCTAGTTGAACATCAAGTATATGATAATAAAGCTACCTGTCTTTGCAGTAGATTTGCTCCAGATAGTCTCCCCACAGAGCCCAAGCCTTGACTAGCGTGTCATGCATCTGAACTGCTGCTGAGAAGGCCTTGTTAGCTTCATCAGAACGGCTACAAAAATATACACAATAACAGAACAAATTACTTATATTGAAAAACTATTAACCCAAACCCTCCTTAACTGTTCAACATCAACCTGGCAGTGTTAGCTAATTTTGAAGGATTGAGGTAGGTATAGTCCAAGTACTTTTACATAAGAAGGCTGGATGCCAGTATTGCAGTCAAGTCCAGTCACAAGTCACAAGTAACGGGATGAAGACAAAGGAATGCTTTTGTCACAGTTCATTGAAATAACCAGTGACTTGACTGGAGACTGAAGGAATTGGGATGGACTTGTGATGGATTTGACTACAACACTACTGGATGCCATGCAAATAAGGTGCCATGGGAAGATTTGAGGAGTCAGGAAGATATACTCAAACCATCATTCCTTTTGATAGTCCTCCATGCTCTGCATTGTTTCACACTTGAAGATTTGTGGAGGATTCAAGAAGGTCTCCAGACAAAATGCTTGAGGAGTTAAGGTTAAACTATCTGATTTGTTTACATTCATCTTAACCAGCAAACCACACTAATTCTTTGTTTACATTCATCTTAACCAGCAAACCACACTAATTCTTTGTTTACATTCATCTTAACCAGCAAACCACACTAATTCTTTGTTTACATTCATCTTAACCAGCAAACCACACTAATTCTTTGTTTACATTCATCTTAACCAGCAAACCACACTAATTCTTTGTTTACATTCATCTTAACCAGCAAACCACACTAAGTTTGGAATTACTTCCTTGACAACTAGACAAAACTGAGAGAAGAAATTTCAAATGTACAAACCAGAAAAAGGTAGTGGAAAAAAAAATTGCCAAAATGACATATGAATACCCTCAAGCAACCTCCCTCCCAAAAAAACAACTCTTATTCTCCAGCAAATTTGGTTATGAACTGCCACTTCTTCATCTAACTTTTGTGTCAACGAAAGAATAAATAAGAATTACTGTATCACATAGAATCAGTCCCAATGCTTGTCAACAAACACATACCTGCCAACTTGAGCCAGGAACATTCCCTTGAGAGCATAGAATTCAGCCGTCATCTCTCTAGTGAAGAACTTCAAATTAGTGGATTCAATCACCTCCAAGCCTTCCTGTAGTTCCTGCTTACCCATGGTGCTGGCCATTTGTAGGTAACATTTGACTTGTTGTCGGATCTTCTGAAAACAGTCTACAATAGGCACGCTGGGTATGGTGTGGATCCTGTACAGACACATATATCAGTCAATCAACCATATACTTGAAACTTGAACACTGAAGACTTCCTAATATCCATTTTTTCATGAGGGAATAAAGTATGTTTTAAAAAAGTACATTTGAAACCCGCTAGGGGTCTAGTCGTGGATAAAGGCCTGAGCCGAACGCATCCAGGCCCCCTTGTTTAAAACTGGCCAAACACATGTTTATTCCCATTCATAAATACCTTTCCCTCAAAAATCAAAGCAAGTCAAAAATTCACACTTTTCCGACCATTTCCCTCATGTGTTGTGAAACAACCCTCTGGCCATATCTATGGTACGTGCCTCACGCGTGTAGTGCTACAAATCTCCTTTGATGGAGATTGGTGCACACGCAGAGCGTACCGTCTGATGGGACGCAGAACACAGTAATGCAGGAGAAAGTGTTTAAAACCAGCCGGTGTTTTATCAGCTGTTAAAAACCACCCACGTGACGGGCTCTTGACCAATAAGAATGGGTAAACTGTCTTAGGTATTGATGAATTTACATTAAACTTCTTATAATAATTGAGAAGTATCAATGTTACCTGCTGAGAGAGTCCAGCGCTGGTCCAATCAAATGATGCTTACGTGCCACTTTACCATAGTTGATAATAGACTGTGCAGAAGCATGGACTCCCAACATAGCGTGCTGCTGCTGCTGTAAACAAGCATCATGGTCAACTGATTAGCTTAATGCAATCTAGCGAACTGTGATGTCTACACAAAGCAATCTTCCTATCAGTATTAGAGATGAGAGACAGGACTAGTTAATAACACTGTCCTCATGTTGTTAGTATCCTACAATGCCTACCATCCATAATGATCACAGCACAGATTTGTCTCTGAAACCAAGACAATCACACCAATAGGAACGTGCCATCAATATTCACCTCTTTAGCTAAAGCACTTCTTGAAGTCTGGTTACTTTCAAGGCCAGCGCGGCTCTTCTAATAGAAGGGAGAAACATTTACAATTCATCACGTCATACAGTTTGCATGTTTGAGCTGTTGTATATTGTTACACTGGGCAGGCTTCTCACTTTATCAAGTGTTGGACGTTGTCGTGTTTGGCAGGGTTTGTAGCCAAAATACCCTGGATGATTAGGATTGAAAAAATAAAATGAATCAATTCATTGGCATGCACACGATGCCAATGTCTACATACCATGTCCTGTGTATTCAGGTTGTCATAGGCACTCACGATAGCCTGGTAATGATGCTGCCTCCACATAAAGATATCACTCCAATGAGTCAAGTCATCAGACACCATTGGAAGTCGATTCCTGACAAGGATTCAAATACAAATTTCATTTCAATTGGGCCAAGATGACAAAAAGATCAAACAAAACAACTACCTATTTGCATAGGACTTGATGGCCACTCAGAATTATATTGTAAGAATGAAAAACTGAGTTCCTACAGAAATGCCTAAGGATTTAGCATAAAACCAGCATCATGGATTTGCAGGACATTCTAGTTTGGTGTATTTTCTAACCTCCATGTCTTGACGATGGCTTTCATATCATGAAGACTCTGATTGCGTCCTAGGTTGGCTGGTAGTAGACCCTGGTGGATTTGAGATGCTTCATGTAGTTCTATGATACGTTGTGCAGCTTGTAGCAGTGGTGAGTGAGCTTGGGTCACATAATGAGGCAGACGACGCCATTCTTTGATAGCTTGACTGCTAGAACTCTCAACAAGACGCTCAATCTACGCACAAGACAAATGCAACACACAAGTAGAATGTAAAAGTGACTTGCACTGGCTCTGAAGCTTGTTGCTAGTGTTACTCAACTGAAATCAGTCACAGCTTTCTAATTATGGATATATAGCAATATAGAGTAGATGAATAGCTAGGATCATCCATGTCATAGATTCCTTGTGAGTAGGCCTAGGCTGTTTTTTTCCATAATGATTATTATTATTACCAGTCACATTGCTGTGAATCTCCCAATCTGAACATGGATTAATCTGCAAGTCTACTTGAATAGAAAGCTCACCTGGAATCTGTTACTTGTGACAAAAACATGAACATGAATAAATACACATTTAGCATTCAACAATCGTTTTCTTTTGTACTCTCGTTAGCACTTTGAAAAAAAGCTGATAACTTTAGACAGCTCCCAAAGCCAGATTTTGATCAGAGGAATCTTTGTTTTGTCTTGTTAATGTTCAACATGTTTTATGTTTATCATTTATATTAAATCCAACTTAGTCATTTCTTTGTAAAGTTGCACATACATGTACATCAACTCTAGGTAGTCCAATCTGATATTACCATGGATAGATTCTTCTCATCAGGATGGCAGATTGCTATGAAACCTCGATACAAGTTGACCTTCCAATTCATCTCACGTGGACAACTCTGCTCCACCTGCAATATTGGGATATATAAAGACTTCAGTATCCTGTCAGTCAGAGTGGAACATTCACAAACCAATTTATTGAATCAAATACAAATGTACACTCTACCATCACAACCATGCCACTCAATAGCCTTAATGCAAAGAGGAAACAGGTATTTACTACTTACAACAAAGAGGGGAAAATGGCACTACAAAAACCTTTAACCTTTAATGTAACAGTGAACAGAGCAGAACTGTTCTGAATTTTGTGACATTACAAACACATTTTTACAGAGGCAATAAAACAACCTTTTCACTACAATTGAAGTATGGCAAGAGTAAAGCCTTCTCCATTTATAGTTTGTTTTGTAACGTGCCTGCACAACAGATGGTACTTGACATCACTTGTGAGAAGTCCTCAGGAGACACACTGAGGGCATGCATTGTTTTGCATGCGTTAAGGCCCAAAGAAGGCTTGACTGATGTTATTCTGAATGTACACGTCTTTGTATGAGTTCATTGCATACGGTGGGTATGTGTTCTTTGTAACCACTAAGGGTGTGCTTATACGTGGAGTACATATCAGAATGAAAGGACTGCATACCGACCTGCGCTAATGCCTCCTTCATTGCACTCCAGTTAGGCACTCTCCAAGCACTCTCCAGTACTAGATGAGGATTGGTTTGACCCTTAGCATTGCCATAGTCCATCAGTAGATCCCACTGACTCAGTTCCCGTGAGCAACGTACCCAATGCTGTTCCCATAGCTGATACTCAGAGAAGACAGCTGGTGCTGCAGGTCCTGCATTATGCTCTGCACGTGCCTTAGACATCACCTTCAAAGATCAAGCAGTGTTGTTCAAGGCAATTTGCAGCCACGCAAAAAAGTTGAACTAGCAAGTTATCATTACAGACCTTACTTCGTTTAATGATAGTAATGGATACTCCCTGTGAAGGGTTTAACTTTTGAAGAAAAAGACAAAGATGGTCATTTCCAAAGATGTGCCAACATCTTTGGAAATTCATGTGGTGGTTTCTTTAGATTGGTTCCCAAACCCCCTATGATCACTCTGCCTCTGGATATTTCTCTTTATATAACCCACATACAGATCCTTGCCATTTGATTGGTGGAACTCACATCACGTGACATTCGTTATTGCTCCCATTCACGCCGCGGCTCAAAAAGTACTATCCGCCCATGGGGAATGGGAAATACTATTCAACAGTTAGGATCATTCTTGTTCCATGACGCGGTTTTTGTGTGCAAAGGCATGCTGGTGTGCGCGTTCAGCGTTGCGCATAGCGCGTATTGTTCCAAAGAGCCAGCGCTACAGCACTGGGTTCAAACATTTTCCTGAAGGGGTGGTTTGGAAGAGAGAAATACATTTTCCTCCAGTTTTTATTGAAATAAAAGTTCAAATATATCGAATGACAAGGATCTATATGTCAGTTATATAAAACAAATATTGAGTGGCTTTAAATTGTAAAATGGGAGGAATATTATCACTCGGTAAAATCTGGACTTTTCCAGTTCACTCGGCAAATGGAAAAGTCCAGATTTTACCTTGCGATAATATTCCTCCCATTTCACGTTGAGCCACTCAATATTTGTATATTGATTAGCCACTCAGTTACTGACATGTAATCTCAGTTGGAGACATGGTGTACACATTACAAGCTACTCACCCCTTCATAAGCAGATTGAGCTTGCTCATAGAAACCTTGCTGCTCATAAGCTATTGCAGTAGCAGTTTCAGGAAACTTGCAACGTTTCTGCCACAGACCTGCCCACATGTCTTCCTCTTGTAATCTCTCATAAATCTCAGATAGCGAGTCCAATGTTTCCTGTTGGATTTGGAAATCATTAAGATCTGAAAATCCACTCTTTCACTAAGCTTTTTGTATCGTGCATGAACAAATCAAGGTATGATGTGAGTTTACAATGACATAATGTGAGTTTACAATGACAGCATGTAAAGGATACTTGTGTGGTTGATGCACACTGTGCCCTACTTGGGTTTGAGAATGATTCACCTAGGATTGCAGTGTCAGTCCCTGTAACTTTTATTCATATAATGTACAAATATAAAAAAGTACAAGGCAAGGGCATGCCTACTGCCCCTTCTCAGTAAGAGCCTTGAGAGGGTGCTTGTGCATAAAGCCGTATGAACAGGGCAATTTAATTTTACTTCTTGTTTCATACAGACTCAGGAGACAATTTCTACACTTCACAATTCACTATTGACTAAACACTGCATAGCTTTTGGAAGAATCTTACCTGTTGTGTAGTGGAAGCATTGTCTGGTTCATAGAAGTCATACACATTAAGTGTACGCGGTGGTCTGTGCTGAGTACTAAATCCACTCTCAATAGCACTCTGCTCTAACATGAGGGCTGAACGATGCCACAGATTGTGATTCCTGCCTAGATACTGTCAAGCAAATAAAACACTGCAAGTTACAATTGCAACAAGCCATCGGCTATGTACTAAGATATAACATAAAAGATCATCATTTACTTCAATCAACCACACACAATTATGAATAAGTACTTCTTATTTGAAGAAACAAACATTTGAAATGATGACACATCCACGTACTTAGACTCATGGATAATCAAGAAACCATCACTCTTCCCTTGTGCACAGGTTGTGCATGCGCATTCCAGGCTTCTGTGATCCTTTTGTGTACATCTTCTCAAAGTCTACGTGAACCTCAATTTTCAGAAAATGTGTCACATGCATGCGAGTATGGTGCCACCGATGCTATGGCTTCTACATGAGGTCACTGGATTATATCTTGTTAATCACAATACATTTTATTGAGACAACAAAGTACAAGCATTAAACTGTCATAAATGTAATACGTGAGATTAATGGTTGCAACATAATATTGCTTAACAGTACGTCTAAACTCTGCCTACATACCTTGAGTATACACGGCCGAAGCATAACAGGTGGTACACACAAGGATATAGCTTCCACGAATGTATTGATAACACTAGGAGTTCCATCCTTCTGATAGAGGTGACTGCCACTACACAGAAATGGGCTCAATTCCTGAGCCAACAGCTGTACACAAACAAACCATACTAAGGATAGTTCAGAGTTGAAATATAATGGTAACATTGTCATTGTTAAGCCTGGTTCACACTCGGCGTGAAAGTGAAAGCGAATACGAATTTGTGACATAATGGGGAGTATTCGCACTGCGAATTCGTAAAAGTTAAACACCTTTCAACTCGATGAATTTCGCAGCGAATGCTTCATGACGTCAAATTCGCTTTGCATTCGCATTCGCATGAAGTATGAACCGGGCTTTACCATAATATTTAAACTCATTGAACAAAAACAATTCCTGTGCACACACAACACTCACAACAAAACTGTAAATTATCGCATTGAAAACAGTTGCAGAAAGACAAACTATTTACATCCACACCATAGAATTCTAATGTACTGGTTAATGATGGCCAACTTACTGTTTGTTGTTTCTCATTCAGTATCTTCCACAGTCGACGGAAGAGATCTACCCAAAGCTGGTGTGTCATTTCTGTGTCACTGTGACAAAGCTGAGAAAGTGCCGTCAGGAAGTTAAAGGTCTGGAAATGAAAACAAAATGACATTAGTTTATTAATCAATCAGTATTTCAACAATCACATAGATTTATTGAGAGCTTATATTAGGAGGAAAGATGTCTCACCTGACAATCCACGGAACATTCTTTGACTTCAAATATTAATGTTTGTTGCCACAAGTTTTTTTTATATAACGCAATTAAATTGTGTAAAATTAGATATATTAATATAAAGAACAAGTACAGCATTGGCAGGAACTGTATTTGATTTTCAATATTTGATTACGGATGATAGTGGGAATTGTAATCCACAAATATAACCACACACTATTGATTGTATTGAATATACAGTAACATCAGTATTAGTTATCTTACACCAGCATTGATATGATTGTTTTACCTTAGCATCTCGCAATGACTCAATGAACTTGATGTCTTTGCTGATGAGCATCTGCAACTGTTGCTTCAAGTCACTGCTCTTCTTGCTGCTAACTGAAGCTGCTCCTCCTGATGTACTTACTCCCTCTGGATGGCTCAACTCTATGTCTATTTCGATATCCTGTATGTACAAAACATACTAGGTGTTACTTGCATCAGAAAAAAAAGAGGACACTTATACATCACACAGTCTCCAAATTTCAAAAGTTTCTTTAGCTAAAGCCCTTACATATTGTGACATGTGCCAGCCTCAACTATCCTAAATCATAAATATTTTGAAGTCATGTCTATTTGCTAATAGAGAGGTTTCACAAGTTAATGGATACAGTTAGCACGCTAGATAGGTCAGCACTTTGTGTGGTCTTGTGATGTCATACGCAACTCACTTTCCACTTCGCGTGTACACAACACGGATATATCACACACTAGTGTGAAACGCGTAGTAAATTGACAATTTTTAATCTCATTTATGGTAATTTATTTAAGCATTATGATTTGATTAGAGGATGAATTGCAGAACATATGCGTGCCATTTGTCTGCGTTTAAAAAGCAGAATTAGCCGCAGATACGGGGCTTTCATTAGAAGCTCCCATTTGGAATTACTGCTTGTATAGGTAACGGTTCCAATAATCAAGCATATGCGTACGCGTACATGATGCAAAACAATAGAATGGTTGATAATAGTTAAAGATAGCTCACATATTCGTTCGAAAGTGAAATCTCTCCAATAACAAATTTTAGCAACACACTTTTACCAGAAATATTAAAATGGAACTATTGTGCGAAATCACTGAAGAAACAGGCCAACACTACCCAGTTTTGAAATGTGATTTCAGTCCCACACACAGTGTACGTTGTATTTGATTTGACTGAACATGTGCTTACTTCTTCCTTGTGAGATTCCATATCAATATCCATAGGTTCCTCTTTGATAGTGACAGCCAATGAGAAGGTCTTCTTGTCTTGACTATCTGCTAGGCCAATGACTGAGGAGATGGATGGTAGCTGGGGTGTATTGGTACAGCTCATGGACATACCATTCACACTAACTGCCATGATTAACTGTAACAAAAAGGATTCAGTCATACATTCATGCTGTGACTGTCCTAAAGAACAGACTAAGGCCAAAAAAAGAAAGTCTCCGGTTTCTGGTATGCGCACGCGTCGCCGTAGCCATGCGCGTCGGCAAAATAAAAAAGTTTTTTTTTCAATGAAAGATGATGTCTCAAAACCGCCAAACTCACTGGTTTGACTGGAATTCTGCTGCTGCACAATTTTAACGTGTTTTTAGATGGGGTTATGATCGAGAATAAGCTTAATGTAGCCTCCCTGAACTCCCATATATTTGCACTAAGTTTAGTCGGGCACCATTTGCAGTCATCAGTCGACATTTGAAGCAAAAAAGTCAGGTAAAAAAAAAAAAAAAGCCGCGTCGCCGCACCACTATTTAGACAAGCTCCATACCAGAAACCGGAGACTTTTTTTTTTGGGCCTAAGGGCAGATTTTCTGGTTGCAACCACTGATCTTTACATATAGATCAGTGCTTTCAATGGGGTAGGTTACACTGCGGGCATACACCACAAGGTTTGTGTGCTTAGAAATTTGAGTGATTTTCCCAAAATACAGCACGATAATTCTGCTTTTTGACCAATCAATACATGAGTGGTTATGGTGTTATGGAGCTTGACCAGGACGTGGCCCTATAAACATGTCATTAAATGGTACAAATTTGTGAATTTTTCCATCACTTTCATAGTAACACAGGAGAAATCATAGGTTGGTTCTTTATTTCATTAATTCGGGTGCGGCTTTTCAGATGTTCTATAATGTACCATATCACAAGTTTGTATACTTTTTTTGCAATCTCTTATTACAGTTCATACTAGTTAAGCTTCCCTTGTTAGTACAGCGTAATTCAGGGAATGCAGATCACATATTTAAAGACAGTAAAACTGCTACAGTCAAAATCAAGATTTGCAAATCAAATCATTCATGCTGACTGCGTGTTTTAAACATATTTTTACTTGAAATTCAATTTCTGCATTATTTCTGTCGTCTGATGAATATTTACAAACTGGTTGTATTCCACTGTAATACACTCCATTGAAACATTATTTGCCTGGTATTCAGACACTCATCATGGCACATCCCTTTTTCTACCAATGCGTCAGTTTTAACTGCTTTTGATTCCAAGCCATGATTGCCTTTTTGTCAGTTAAATAACAATTGTGTATGGCACAATTATTGCTAAATAAGAAAATGACAAATGTGGTACAGCATTCAACCATAGTTAGTTCAATATGAAACATGTATTAACCCTAACCACCCTGAATCCTTCAAAATCGTCTTTGCCAAAGTGGAGGAATTTGGAGGATTGAGGTTACATGGCAAAAGTGCTTTACTGATTTCGTAGGATGCACTTTGTCAAGGTCTTGGGCCGGACCTTTTGTTGTTTTTGCTCAGCCATGTATAAATATGGGCCTGGATTATGCTTGAAATCCTCCGTTCTGCTCCAGGATGTCACTGGCCAAGCATCAACATATTGACAGTCACTGCTGCAGGATTTTGCAGGATTCAGGCAGTGGTCTCCCCTCCACGGACCATATTCAAGAAATAATGGAGGAATTTGCAGGATTGAGGCTATATGCTATTTTTCCATTGAGGATTGAGGTTAAGGCCTAGGGAGTTAGGGTTAAGGGATGCAAACTATGACTTGGGAAACGTGCCCCAATGATTTGCAAAATGTAAATGACTACACGGAGTTATTATCTTTCAATTATTTGCTATGTGCATATGACATCTTCTGCTATTGTGTACCTGTATACACTGTTTCAACCAGTAGTGAGTAGACATTGCTTCCCAGTTCTGTGATGCTGTAATGTACAACAGCCTGTCAAACAATCGTCTCTTTATGCTGCCATTGAATACCTGTAGATCAAGAATAGATTAACTTGTCAATGTTGTTATTACTAGTCCTTCGACGAATACAAATAGCAGCCAATTATATTTTACTGACAGAAACATTATTGCAACAATCCTATTTCTTGGCTACAATTTTTTCCATGTTAAGTGATGTATGTGGAGTGATTTCACTTAGCTTTACTCTATCCTGTTACCAGTCTCAAAGCTATCAATGAATGTCTGGTTAGCTCCATCTGAAGTACATCTCCTCAGTACTTCATCATGTATGTCTTACAACTTAATAAACTGTTCTCAACATGCATCAGTGTAAAACATCCCTTTAACATTTCAGCTCTTGTTTATCCATATGGCCAAACAAGCCAAAACTCAAACATAGTTTACAGTTCAATTACAGTCAATATATTCAATTGCCCAATTAACTGTACAAGTCATTTAATTTCACAGGCTATTTCTGTTACATATGAGCAGGTTCCTCACCTCAAAGAATTTCTGGTGTATTTGTGGTTGTTGGCATCGTAGCCCAGCAAGGAATGCTGGCTCTAGCTTCGATGTCAACTCACTGCCCATGAGTGACTCATCCCTGCCAATCAACAAAGAAGGAAACATACTTGAGATACAGATGAGCATCGCTCTCTGACAACGGAGAGAGCATACTGTCCAAACCACTGAGCTTACTCGTCTTCTTTTCAAAACAATGTCACATGGTGCAACTACAAGCCGACTGTTATACCTGACTTCATCCTGCACACATTCGAATCTTGTAAGGAATCTTATGCCTCACCTTGCTTAGTTTAGTGACTTACAAGAACAAAATATAAGTATGGCAACATGGACACCTCGTAGGAACTTTACATGGTCTACTCATAAATCTTTGGAAATTCTTTTACAGAAAGTGGCATGGAAATCTCATCTGGATTGCTAGGGACAATGAGGCCTCCGCCCACTGTGCAGGTGGGCAACACCACGTGTGCCTCTCCAATGCATGCGTGTACACGTCAGACATGAATCACAGCTGTGATTGGTTACAATACTATTGGGCGGAGCTTAATGGATCAGTCTATTCCACTGCATGTGTGAATTACATGCACAATTCCTACCTTCTTTTTTTTAAAACTGTGTATGCATATCTACAACACGCTATACATTATAAACATTGACTCTCTTGGTGTTAAAAAACCTTCCAGACTATGCCAAAATCAATCACTGTACAGGATAGCAATGGTACATTCTTGGTACATGAAGAAAGATCCAAGTAAGAGTAATAGTGGCTATACAGTCCTGCATCCATCAATATACTACAATATAAGGTGCTGCATTTGGGAGGATTTGGGAGGTTTAGCATTATTGCATGAATGTACGGTGATTGCATGCATTAATGTAAACGTGTCACAATTATAACCCTTTTAATGTGAAGTAGTGATTAAAATAATGATTGCTTTCTTGCCTTAGTAGCCTTAATATCTGATCTTTTGACACCAAATAATGAATACCACACTTTCTTACATCCTTCATCTTACTTGTAGATTGCTGAAGAAATTGCACTCAAAACAAAAACACTTACCAAAAGTTTTAAAGCATGAGCAGTCAGTGACATGGACAAGGCACAATGGTCTGCCAATGGTTAAAAAGTTTAATGGGGGTACTTATGATCAGTGTACTTCCTGAAATGTGCATATCAGATTTCTACGTATTGTTTTAATTCTTTCTCTGTAACTTCAAACACTCCTCTACATGTATATCTGTTCCCTTTGACCAGACCATTAAGAAGGCTCAGGAAAAAAATCTAACTACAATTTGCCTGGTATTGCAGGTGTAAATTTGTCTTCATTACATGGCCTTACCGATACACCCAGTTGACAAGTTCCAAGAAGTGACCATTGAGATCTGCATCATCAGGGAATCTCTTCTCTACATACTGCATGAGCTTGACGAGTAAGACAGACTTCTCTCTAGGTGATGGTGATTGGTTCATCATCAGAGGTGTCTGATAGGATGCAATGGTCATACAGGATTAGTCAATTAGTAATCTACAGGGACTGATGTCACAGTACCGCTAAGCTCACCATTTACTGCTCAATCTTTCTCATGGAGACTGTAAGCAGTAAGCCCAGTAAAGGCCACGCTAACTTCAGTAGTCCATGGGCCCGGACCCCAAAATTCACCTTCTGGTACCATCTGACGTGGCAAAATCCAGTTGCTATTTTTTATTTGCTATACATGATTGATCAGACCTCCCAGCAGGCAGCATGTTTTTCTTATGCAGGCTGGTCAAGTCAGTTACTTTAATGCGCATGCATGTCACATGGTGAATTTTCTTTCTTAAATTATGTTTAATGAAGTCCTGTACTGAATTTTTCCCGTTTTCCCCCTCATTCTCTTAATTTTCTCGTTTACATTATGAGTATTTTCTTAAACTCTTTCATGAACATGTGCTGACTTTGTAATAGTACCTTCCTCACTGAAAATGCTTGTAGGATTATTTGAAAGCATTTGAATGAAAAATGAAGAAATTATGCCAAAAATACATGGAGTGCTGCATGTACGACTTGTGCAATGGTATATGGATTTGAACCCCGACAGAAAACATGGTTCTTGTTTTCTTGGGCAAGACGCTTTACTACATTTGCCTCTCTCCACCCAGGAGTAAATGGGTACATGTGATTGTGAGGGTAGAGTTCAGATTGTCCTGATCTTCAGCCTGAGCTTACCTTAGCTTTGACCCATTCCTCCACCATTTTCACCACTGTCTTCATGACCTTAGCATCTGGAGATTTCTCTATCAGTTGTGTCAAGACAACCTGAATGAAATTCCTTCTCATATCCGTACTCATCACACCGATACGATTCTTGACCAGATCTAAACTAATGATCAGGAGTTCTGATGCCACTGCAAGCAATGAAACAAAGTATTCATTGTTAGGTATGTATGATCAATCACTGCCCATTTCAAAACCTTAGCTCTTTGCATATGGACCTAATCATCTGATTCATGTGACAAAATGCATCTGCTACTTGCTGTCCATTTCTTCTTGATTTCCCACAACGTGAATTACAACAAACTAAGTTCCAACTGTGCATTTTCCATATACAGTAAAATTGGTAAAATTGTCAAAATGCAACAATTCAACATTAATATCAGTATGAGAAGACAGAATACTTGTAAGTTTACTCTTGTTCTGCAGTCAGGATCCTGTTATCTTGGCGTCAATTTGAGCCAATTTTTTATACAAATTCAAAATGTCTGAGTACATTTTCCATCCATCACACAAGTCTCTTATAAACTGGTGTATAATTATGGTCTAATTGGCACAATTTATTTTGGTCACACTTCACACAAGTGCAAACTTGAAGCAAATTTGACGCCATGATAATTCTCGGCAACTTTTGCAGGAGTTAAATGTGTTCAACTTTTACAATTTCACAGTGCAAAAACTTGACATGTGAACCAACCTTTTTATATTATTTTTGAATCCTATGCATATGATGAATTCTGAACTTTCTAGACAAGTTTAAGCTAAAGTAAAGTTTCAAATATTTAATCTAGTGACATGTGCATGAGTGAATATTAAACTAAAATAGATGTAGATGTTAGAGTCTGATCATACATGATGTAGACTCGGAGCTGCTAGGTGTTAGATGTTCTCTAGTCATCTTCTGTAGAGCTCTCATGAACACAGAGATCAAGCGATCAATGTAGGCAATGTTATTAGTACACGCTGCCTTGAGAATCATCAAAGTTCCAAACAGACTTGTTGTAGGGGTGCCACTGGCTGCTCTGAAATAAACAAAGAAAGTCAACACAGATGTTATCATACTCATTTTGAAGTGTTTAGTATATCACTGTTTCACCAACCTAAATTCCCAGTTTTGCTTTCACTTCTGCTAAACCCCTTCATTTAATATTCCAGCAGGATCGGAGCCAGTACCCTATGACAAAGCTCAACAGACACTGATTTCAGGAGGGAAATAGCCAACATTTTCAAATTTTATATACTGCATATCATATACTGCACTCGGCATCATTTTAGGATATTCTACCAGTCCTGGGACAAATCCCACCAGCGAACATTCGCAGAGATGCTGCAACCCTTAGACTCGCACTCAGAGTGCTGGATGAAGAACACCTGCTACACACCAAGCTTACGAATGAGGGAGCCCGATGACTCAAGTCTCGCCAACCATTCTCATCCTTGTAAAAAATTTTTTTTAATGATCTTAGTCAGGCATGCAACTGGGAAATCACAAAAAAAGAGGAAATTCAAATTTTTCCCAGACTTTGTACAGTGTTTTTCTATTTTCAATGGCACACATGGGAAGTAAATAAAAAGAGGAAATCAGCTGATCTGAGGAAAAGTTGCATGCCTGCTTAGTCCATAGATTCAAAGATGTTCCAAATTCTATGGTAAGTTAACTTACTTCTCATATGCCGTCAGTCCTTCATAGATAACTTTGCCAACACTTGCATACAGGCACTCCAGTTCCTCATACTTGGAGGCCACATTGGATGTACCTGGAGGGAAAGGTACAACATTCAGCACTGGCATTGGAGGCAATATCTAAAAACCTAAAACATTGTGAATCTTGACATCAACTGTTGTATTTGGGAACAAACACTGAATACGGAACACTAACAAGAATCGTTTAGATATATATTGTTTGTTACACAATTAATATCATGTTACCTCTGGGCAAATGTAATAGACTCCACCTAGTTGCACAAAGGTCTGTACCAAATTAACTCCATATCTGAAATACCTGACAGCAACACCTTAACACTTTTAAAATAAAAACTTTCCCCTAAATTTACATTCATCAAAGACATATTCTATATCCATGTAGGCCTAACCAGTCAACCAACATAATCAACCAATGAACCCATGTTATAAATCTGGCAATAGTATGAAATGCTGGAGGCAGCATGTCCATTCATGTCACTGTGGTATTACACAGCCAATGAAGTCCATAGAAGACATCACAAAATAAGGAATGTTTGTCCTAATTCGGGAATTATGCTGGTTTAGCACATGAAACAAAAAATCATGAATATGCGGGAAGAAGCCGTGCTGTGCTGTTCAAAAATGCTCTAATAGTAGTAAGAAAACCAGGGGCAAAGTCCACCAATGCATGCAGATACAACCCAGCCATGGTTCCATGGCCACATACAGTAACCAGTCGCCAGATTGGTTACACAATAGCAACTTTCACGAATGACATGACGGTACTTACTTGACTCTGTAGGGAAGGTGTTCATGAGCTTGACTAGTAGAGCATGTACTGAACGAATCACCTTAGTATTAGCACATGTCAGACATGCTGCTATGCCCCGCTGTAATGGCTTCAGACTAGTCAGTATCACTTGTTTGGTCTAAACACAAAGACAAGTACATTGGAATCATGATTATCAACCCATTGCAGGATTGCTTCCCCTTTGCACAACTTATTACGGTTGATACAAGACACTCACAGCTTTGAGTTTGAGGTACATGAATTGCTATTTTACCGAGATTAGGATATTGTAATAGACAGATATGGGATATATTGGAAGCCTATGGACAATGGCGGCCATTGACTGGAGTGCACTCTCTCCCCAAAATGACCATTTTCACATCATCAAAAAGTTGTATTTGATGAAAAGATGATATACATGAAATAGATTACTTTGGATGGCAACAAATAATAATAGGTGTATTCATTTTATAATAAACATGAACAGATCTGCCCAGCAAACTGTTGCTGAAAGGAACTTACCATGACTCCAAGGAGAAAGTTGAGCATATCCAGCCCAGCACAAATGTTACCATAGTTTGCTTGAGCTGGCTGATCCTATCAGGAAAAAATAACATTCTAATCAATTTCACAGAAAATGATTTAGACTATTTTTAATCAATAATTGTTTATTAATCAGTTACAATAAACTAACAAGAGCATGATCGTTCAATACCTATGGCTAACCATGGTTGAACTGACTTTTACTAACAGTAGACAATTATGGTGGGACCAGTCTAGTTGACCATTTGGAACCAGTCTATTCAGGTTGGTCGCATTGGCTATCAGTAGTACAATAGGGTGCCAGACACATGAAGTTATGTGATGATGTTTAAACACAGAATGATAAAGGATTACTACTTCTTTAATATCAGTGCACAGGCACAAGATGCATCATCAGGCTGATACAATGGCCTTGATTAAATCTGCTCTTATTCTAATGGCAATTTACTGTGTTTAATTCACATGTGCAACAACAACAGTTTGGTGAAAAATGGTTTTTATTCAAATGGCAACCAAGCAAATTCACAATGAGTTGTTAATAGAAATATGGGCTCCTTACACAAGGACCCTCAACTACTGTGACAAAGAGCCAGTAAATGTAATCTTGTGTGTACGTCTGGCACTCACGTGAAGACGATATGGGCTTGTGTATATATTCACAGAGAGATTGTCCTGCATACTTTGTAAACTGTGTCCCATACACTACAGCAGTCATGAGTGATCAAACAGGGGCAGTCCAAAGACAACAAACTTACCACAGACAAGAAGAGTTTGTCCATAAAGTTGAGTCTGAGTTCACTACTTGGCCATACATCTGGTCTGAGTGCTATCTTCAGCAGTGCTATGCAGCGTCGTGATAGTAACTCTCCTGGGGACCCTGCACTTGTAGTACCTAGGTCATTGACTTGGCAGGCGACACGTAACAGAAAGTTGACCACTGCATCGGAATATATCTTATCAATGGGCTTGCTAGCCTCAGAAGATATACTGCGAACACTCTGTAGGCAATAAAATACACAATCCTCACGTTATGGTTTTCTCAAAAATCAAATCTGACTTCTTGTGCTGTTTCTGGCCTACAATCCAACTGCATAGCTCTGAAGGCAGGGTCTAGAGTCTGTACAAATGACTTGTATCAAAATTTCTTTAAAAACATCTAAAATCCACATATTTCCAAACTGCTTTGTTCAATTTTGAAACACATTTACCTTGAAACACGTTACCTTGAAACACGTTTACCTTGAAACACATTTACCTTAAAACACATTATCAAATTCCAGAAAACAAATCTCATTAACCACAAGACATAATCCAAAATGTTCTTTACTTCTCACTTGTGACCTTGACCTTTGACTTTCAGACGCATAAAGTTATATCAAGTCATATCTCACAATTAGGGTAATCCAGATTTTCAAAATATATAAAGGAGATTACTTATAAAAGTAACCCAACAAATGCCTAGACTGATGGTTTTGACAAACAATAACAATGCCTCTCTAACCTTGTCGGACTAAAGAGTAAAACAATGAGTTGATTTTTCTTAGAGTCAGGCTAATCATGACTGGTTACAGAGCTATACTCACAGTGCCTGAGGAATGGCGTACCCTCTTAGCATCAGGCACATGTTCACCGGAAGCAGGTCTCTTGATTCCACCTGGTGTAGTGACAGCAGTTTCATCCAATGGAGCGGCTGGATACTGTAAATAGAAGAATACAATCACTCAACTCTCTCAGTTCCATGCAGGACTTTAATCAACAAGGAAACCAGACACACAACACCCACCAGCCATAGGTACCAATCAGCGGTTTGCAACAAAGCTGGTATGTTAGTTGTGTTTTACGCCTAATAAATCATCCATATACCAATTGACGAGTATTTTTGGATCTTTCTGATGGTGTATGTAATAATAAAGTTACCATAATAAAATTGTGGAAAACTGCTTCAGAAGTATCATTGCAGTTTGAGGTATGGTGTGCCACTTATTCATGTGGAAAAAAATGTACATTTGATAAGCAGGAACGGATAGAAAAGGCCATTTGTTTTTCTTTTTGCACATATGGCCATGATTTTCAAATCACATGAAAGAGTAGATTCGCAAACAAAGTTTTTTCAATTCTTAATCAGTCCTTGACAATGAAAATGTATGCTGAATAAAGAGAGTTATTTTCTTCACACTCTGGTGAGTTCCGCATAACTCAACAATGAATGTGTCCTATGGAGAACCAAGTCAAAAAACAATGTGATATTGCATATTGAAAGGGTAAAGATACACACTGCTTGTGGAACCTTGACCCTCACCACTCAACTACACATCCAAACCAAATGAATGCATATCACCCCAATAATATTCCAGCTAACTCAGATTACAAACCAGTAACTTTGTAGCCAAATTCACATTCCTGTAGTTTTTGTAAACGTTCTTGTATACATAAGCATGTGATTGTGATGTATCCATTGGGCTGCCATTCTGACTTTCACCACAATTAAACCAACACCAATTTCACACTTGTACAGTTTTAACAATAGCTGTTCTACTACCTCTGAGTTAGTATCATCCTCTTTGATGCGTTGGACTTCCCATTTGATAATGACTTCCACTAAGTCAACCACCAGCTTTCTGTGTTCGAGGGTAGTGTTGGGTGTACTGCCCAAGCGCTGGATGGAATACACCATGGTCTGAATCAGGTGATGTCGAACTGGGTAATACACTTTGTGGTGACGAACAAGTAGTGTTCTGTGAAGATATAGTCAAACAATACAATGAGTCTGGTGCAAGGTTCAAACTGTCCCTACTTGTCCCTTTTTATAACAAAGCAAACGCAATCCAAAAGTTTTGGAGAAAGAACTAAAATCATCTAAAAGTACCCAAAGCCCTAAAAGTACTCTAATGAAAAAACCTTTACCCTAAATCCCTAATACTTTAAAAAATGGGTCACATGGCACACTGCTGGATTTCTCAATACAATTTACAATGGACTGTGAAAAAAATATCAACATCACAAAAACCAACAAATTGCACTCATGCTTTTTTAGTATCACTGTGACTAATTCTAATAGTGATGTTGTGTAATGATAAGGAACTTGTGCAGGATTTATGAATGAAACTAAAATAATTACACCATCCAGCAAAGTATGTGTACAAATTACATTTTGTGACCTTAAAATATCAACTCACAACATGTGTACAAGCTGGAAGACTGTATATCCCTCCTCTACTATGATCTTTTTAGTCCAGTGGGTCAGCATTGCGTAACCATCTTCCATACGATGCGGTAATACTGGGGTTAGAATGTCTAATGCTTGGCGCACCACAACACGTGCTTCCACAGCATGAGCTTTCAACAAGCTGTGAAATACCTGAGGTAACAGAAATACCACACAGCATTATTTAAACAATGGTTGTTCATTTAATGGAATAATATGAGTAGATATTGTTTTTAAAATTATGCATTTTTTATCAGTTTAAGATGCCAATCAAATCTATTGTAAACATGTATAGTGACTATGGCTTTACAGCATTCATCCAAGTGCGTATTTTGGTCTGAATTTGAGTTTTAAGGCCAATTGGTTTATAATCTAGATTGTGACGTTCTTTGATTGAACCAATGTTTATTGGATGAAGCCAATAGTAATGGAGACATACCTGAAGCACAATCCTTTTGTGAATGGCAAACTTGGCGATGTTGTGAGATAGCAAGAGATGACCATGATACTTAGTGGTTGGATCTACACAGTTCTTCTGTATCAGACAGGGCCAAGCAAACGTCATCAGACGACGTAACTTGGTACCTTGCTTCCTGAAATAGAAATAGTCCCACAAAATAACCAATAAGTTCAGGACGGCTTCATTAGGCAAAACAATTACCGTCATTGAAGCACTTCAAAGAATAAAAAGGACATTATCGTTGGGGACAAAGCAGATAAATGAACAACTAGAATTGTTGCACATGAGTGTTGCTGCATAAAATACTCAGTTTCTAATGTTCCTCTTTTAAGACTAGTTTGTTCGACAGTTCAGGTGTAGTAAAAAAAAATGACAAGGATTTCTGTGTCATTTAGTATCCCTTAACTTATTTTTGGACAGGCTGCACATTCTCTCATTATTCCTAAACTATAATTCAATATGATAGATTCTCTTTTAATGGTTACAAGACCAAAAGAACTATGTCACCACATTCCTAAAGTGAAAAGACTACTTTCTTCTGTAGTTTCAGACAAGTTGGCAGTAACATTGTGATTATAAAAATGATTTGTGAAACAGGCAATCTTTGAGGTACAAACTAAATATTCAAATTGCAAGAAATTGCAATCTTTTTTATTAAAGGTTAACACATAAACAGAACTGGAAAAAAAAATACAAATGGTTCTGCAACAAGGGTATATATACTAGAAATAAAGATTATATTTGTGTGTCGGTAATTTATGGAGAGTTAGATTACGTAGACTTTGCGGTCCCAAGTCTTGACAAATTACTGAAACAGAAAAACGATCCAGAGTAATTTGATCTTCAGTATTACATAATTGTTTCAGAACCATTTGAAGCATTTCCCTTTATCCGTATCTCTGAACCTCTTCGAAGTGTGGAAGCTGATGATTTCATTCAATCCAAACTGCCCTGATACCACAAGGAGATAGCAGGTATTGTAATTCTGTATTTAAGAGTATTTACTTGTCAGCAGCATCATGTATGTGTGGTGCAGCTTTCTCTACCAAGAGAGCAGCAAACTGTAGCAGCAGGATGCGCACTGAGTCCGATGTCCGGTAGGGATTCTCAGGGTCAATGACCTTACTGATGAAGACACTAACGAGGTTATCTGGACTATCCTGGCCTGGGTTAGGTGGTCCACCTATCAACTGTACAAAACACAATCAAACATAGACACAATAACAGTCAAGTCATCTTGCATAAGTTTCAGCAGTTTCACTTTGTGATGATATCACTAGGGTTTTCCCCCATAAAGCCTATATCAAAGTACTACAGAGCTCACTGTACACAATGAACCCCTGCTGGGCACATCCATGTATGGAAAGCTCAACAGTTTGTATGGCGTTTGTGTGGCTGTTTGCATATCTGCGTTTGTATTTGAAACAGGTACTTGAATAAAGCTGATACACCCAAAACTGAAACACAGTCAGGAAATGAGTGTTTCAGTTCACTAAGTGCAACAACGCACACATGCATGTATGCACCTGAATGTTGAGCTTGTTCATGCTAATGATAACATTGCACCTGTCACATCTGTCTTATTCTTGTGTCGCTTTTAGAACTCACCACTGACATTCCATTCTATCTACAATCAAACACATTCATTCAAAATGTTTGCGCCCAGGAGCGAGGAGTTAGCTCTCTAGTTATTCATATACCTCTTTGATTTTCCCTGCGAAACAGACAAGGACCCAAAGGTCATGGTTCTGCTAACAACAAAATTCCATGCTTATGGTCAGCTTTGTGTGTTTATAGCACTAGTTAGAAAATTCAATGGTTGCCCTTGTAGGTACAAAACACTTACTTATTGATTAAAAGGAGACATGGTTTACCTTTTCTCCTTCTCCCTTATCAAAGGAAGCAGCAAACATTGGTATGATGACAAACTGCAATGCTTTAGCCTTCAACTCTTGCGGGAAGGTCTTCTCATGAAAGAGTTCAACAAACTTGAAGAATACGTGGCGTTTCTGCTCCACACTGTATCCCTACAACACAAACAATGATATTTGTCATGTCAATCCATGGTATAATACTGTGATCGACGACATATAAGAATGATTACATCTCCCCAGTCAGTACAGGAACTAAACCCAGAGGCAAACAGCTATACATATTACTGCACTCAATATATGTAACAGAAATTTAATCATGGGCCCCAATAATTATTCATTTTTGGGTCTGTTCACACTAATGGACTCATTAGATGCGTATGGTAAGAGGTATACAATCAATTTCTGCCCCATTTTTTCCCTGTCCGTCCCCAAGCCATTAGTGATTACGCTGACCAAATACAATAACACTCTGGATATCCAACAAATTATAGGGTCACCTTTAAGACAATGTTCATAACATGGACGGACGTTCGCTAAGGATATTGAGTAAGGAATTTATTAAATTACCTAAAATGTTATTTAATGTACAGCTCTTATCTCTTCAGGATTTGTGTAAGTCCAATCTACGACAACCTTTTGGGTATTTAACAAATTAGGATATGACGTAAATAATGTACGTAACATGGACAGATGTTTTGTGACAAATGTCTGTCCCTGTTATGTATGCTACATTTTGTACAAGCACAACCTGTAGTTTCTCTAATACATAGTAGGTTGTCTTCAACAGGGCAGGTTAGGATAGTTTAAAAATCAGGAACGTTTGTGTGATCTAAGTCATGTTAACACTACTTCCTGTCAGCATATGATAAAATGTCTGTCCATGTTATGAATGTTACAGTGTACATACACATTGGTGCATTGTGTGTATGGGTCTGACAAGCTACAGCCTTTGGGTAAGAAAGGGCAAGGGGAAAGTCAATTATCAACTAATCTCAAATGAGGAACCACTCACTTATCTTTAAAAAACAAAAAAACAAGCAGAATCTGTGGGTAAGGTGTAATAAAGCTAGTCTTCCTCGGTCATTCTTGGATTGTTCATTTTTGGCCTTGGCCTAGAGCATTCCACATATTACTATGACATCCATTGAAGCAGTCTGTATACCAATCCATTGCAGTGAAGGAGTCAATGTTCAACTACTGATGTATACATTGAGGGGATCATGGGCCATGATATTCCTAATTACCTGAGCAACCGTCTCTTCAAGATAGTCTCTCAGAAACTGAAAGTTAGGCAGATATCGATTGGTGAAGACTCGAAGTAGCTGAAACAGGAGCTCAACATTGCTGGGATGATGTCTGTATACAAAAGGCAAGAAATTGGACAATAAGTAAAGAGTTTCATATCAACTGTGTTATGACATTCTTAAGTACAGATTTCAGCACAGATATACAGCAGTCACATCAGGTGCTTCCTCCAAGCTGACTGGTAAACATTTAATAATCCCCAATGATGAACAAAATATGCATCACTCTGGAAAACTGTGTACCACCTGAAAATAGAAATCATCCCCACCCCAACTTTGTCTAAAGCCACCATTTAATTGTCCCTGCCCTAAGCCTGGTGAGATCGCTGCAGGTACACTCAATTAACAAGAGATGTCAGTACATACTCAGCATAGTTGAGAAGACACTCCACTATCATCTTAGGTTCATTCCAATGAGCAACACCCACATTGTCTGTATGGTGCTGATCCTGGAAGGCATCAGAGATCCAGATACGACGTAGATGGCCAAACTGCCAAATGAAAACATGCTTGTCAATCATTATAATAGCATTTCATAGCCAGACCACATGTTTTAAAATCAGGGGAAAAAAATTCTGATGGCCACAATTTTACTTACACTGTAAAAATGTTGGGAACAGTAATTAGTAAAATGAAAGACAATTAAATGAATTTCTTACCAGGACTGATTTCTGAGGTAGCCATGCGGGATCGTGCTTGACCAAAATGCTGCAAATCAAGATAGTCTGGTACTGAAGTTCCAACTTGGCTTGACTATTTGGACTGGTAGGTCTTGCAGTCGGCTGTCAAAGCAATCATTTGTCATATTTAATATATGTAAGCATATAATAAATGTTTTCAGATGTTGGCAAATTAAACTGTTCAACTGCCATTAATTCTGTGAAAAACATTTGCACAAATAAGTAAGTGTCAATTACTCCTGAGACAGTCTTGTAACCAATTGTTGATAACACTAGTAGATGGGAATTGTGCTTACACAATATGCCAGTACAGTCATGTTGCAAATCCCAAGAAGTGTGAGACAGTTTGATGACTAGAGGCAACTAAATTTACTGACCTACCAAACAGCATGGACATGTAGCAAGGAAATCTGTTAAACAGGGTGTCCCCCAAAAAGGAAACCATGAACGAAGGAATAGTTTGACCCAGCTATGAACTTAATAAGGGAATAACAGTGTGAGGAGCCGGTCTTCACTGCGTGATAATGACCAGGTTTGGGGGTGACTGCTGTTAATGGACCGAGACAAAGTCAAAATCAAGGGCGATCAGAAACCATCAACTCTCCAAGGTATTTATTAATGACCATTATTATGGATTTATCATAAACTAGGGGCAGTAAGCTTTTCATTGATATCTTGACAGTATTCCTCTGGTCAAACATCTCTAAGTTTCATTGTCTTGAAAATGTAACATGAAAACCTTCATGGGACAGTTTGGGATAAAACCCGAGCACATCCAGACGAAAGACAGGTAGGTTCATGGGACATTTAAGTTATAAAAACATGCACAAAACATACTTCTCTCCAATAATGATCTGAATTATTCAGGATTCAACAGGTGTATCATGTTCCACATGTACACCTGCCCGTTTAACACAAAGTCCACATCGACGGTGCCTATCTTCCATGGTCTGTCTTACCATTGCAGATCGATCATGTAAATTGTCCACCTTGTGATGAATGCAAGCCTAAAAATACTGATAGTTAGGAAGTGGACAGCTGAACCTTGTTCTTTAAATACCCCACAAAAAGGAGCAAAACAGAAAGTCCAATCCAGTGACCTGGGAGGTCATTCCACGGCATGACGCTGTACTCTTTCCCCAAAAGCATACCTGCCAACATTGAAAAGTCAGAAAGAGGAACAGGGTGCCTACGCATCACAAACGGTGAGCGGCGCAGGCGCGCGCGAGCTTATGGGTTGGGTCCAGGGGCAATCATACAAAGTACATGTACATGTACATGTGCCTAAAATGTTACATGATATCCAGAAGCAGACCCAACACAGACACTAATCTTATTTAGTGGATAATTTTCTGAATTTTCCAGCCGGTTTTTGCTGATCAAAAATGTTTACAATTTAAGAATAAATGACTGCTGACTTACATGCTTCACAATTTATCACATGTAGATATTCAGTCACAGTAATACATTTTACATGTACACTGTACAAGCAGTGACAAGTACAATTTTATTTGGAAAAGTTCGTACATCATTGTACGGTGTATGTACAAATGTACATAGGCCTGTTAGTGTTACAATACACATTTGCCATTTCTAAATTTTTCACGATATTCCTCTCGGAATTTTTAACTCCATCGCTTTTTCTCCTTCAGTGTATCATCCTCCTGGTCCATGTTGCAGTTGAGAGGCTCATACAAAAACGTTGACAAAAAAGTGCGACTCAACACGGTCAAAATATCAACGAAAAACCACCGAAGACTATGAAGAAACAACGTGTGTGGAAAACAAACATGGCATGCACCGCGCCGTGCCTGGCCCGCGCTTAATTCAGTAAGCACGCAAGAGAGGCAGTACACCAGACGGATGACGTAGTGGGTCTCAGTATTGGCTGCGGCTAGGTTGTGGCTGATCGCACAAGCCTGTGCGCGCGTACGGCTGCAGCCGCAGCCTATTCGGAAATGTCCTGTTCGATGACGTTTGAGTCTGGTTTACGTCCCTTTCGTCGTACATAAGAGCGAGGCGGATTTTATACCATTATGGTAGCGGCAATAGCGCCCTCAATACAATAAAACATTTTTCTCGGACAAGTGTGCGACGGGGCCGGGGCATTTTTTAATTTTTTTTTTTTTGTATTATTTCTTCTCTCGCAACTCGGAAAATCGGGACGTTCCGATTTTCGGGCACTATTTATCTCCGAAATCGGAACAGTTCCGCCTAAATCGGAACAGTTGGCAGGTATGCAAAAGGTTCCTGTATCACAGCGATTCCAGACAGCAATGTGTCTGTATGGTGGGGCATTATCTTGTGCCTGCCAAAGATGCATTCAGGTACCATTTCCATGACTTTCAAAATGCAACTCCAGCTGCAGCACAAGATCATTAATTGACAGAAATCCTGGTTGGTTCATGTTTTCATAAATTAACTGTATCTTGGACCTACTTGTCTTTTGTCTGAATATGCTCATGTTTTACACCAAACTGTCCCAAGAGGGTTTCACATATGGCAATCATTGTTGCATGATCAGATGAATGCAATCAAGATCTCAATGGAAAGCGTACTGCATCTAGTTACAGATAAACTCATAACAGTGTTCAATAAGTTCATAGCTCATTCACATTATCCCTTTGTATGTGGGTTACCTTATTTGGGATACCCTGTATGACCAACACTGTCAGATAAGACAGATTGACTCTATGTACCTGAGGTTTGTTGAAGGCTAGATTGATGAGTTTGATGGTGTTAGTCTGTAGTACATCTCTCAATGGCTTGGCCTCGTCTTGCTTCAACAGATACTGAAACAAATAGGATACGCAACGTCAATACCTAGGATATATAAATTGACTTGAAGATCTCTTGAAAAAAAAGGCATACATGAAAACCAGTGAAGCCAAGGCACAATACGTTTATAGGATCAATACAGGCAAAACATTCCCTAAATCAGTGAATGCAAAGTTTGCTGTATGATATTAAGAGACAAGTTGGAACAAAATGTGTTTTCACAATGATTAATAAAAACAACTTTGCATGGTTGTCAAGTTATTTGTTGCTACTTTAATATTGCAAGGGGGTGGTCTGATATTGTGTATGTACTTACAGCTAGCAGACTACTGAACTGTGAATTACGTAGATTGGTCTCAGTCAGAAAGAAGTCAATAGTCTGGCTAGGATACCTCAGCAGATACAACATCAGTGGTTCACGAAACGGACTCCCAACCTAATTATAAAAGGAGTACACAAAGGTACAGTCCAAAAGTCCTGAGAAGTATTCAACTAAACATAATAGGCACAACCATATAGACTAATCCAAGTTTTGCTGGTGGTGGGATGCTTCAAGGCTCACCAGCCCATCACATGAATGCTCAATTCAAGCTACAAGTGTAGTTTTCTAAGCTCTGAACAAGTTATTCAAGATGAGTGGAATGTATGAAGGGTGATGTATAACGGGTAATGTGGCTGTGTACTAGCACTGGTGCAAAACCAACCCAGTAGTTATATACTTAGATTAGCCTTTGTGTAATAATAAACACACATAACATAACATCAATTATCAAACGTCAAACTCTTCAACAATGAACTGGCAGGTATTCCTTCATGTACTTCAGGGTAGTTGATACTTTTTATAAAGTATTTTCTTATGGAAACTTCAAGTAAATGCTTCTTATGTCAAAATAACATCTCAAGTCGTATATTTACTGTTACAATTAAACCAATGAGTGTTTACAAGCACAACTCACCTCAATGCATAGTGCATTTTCTGCCTTGATAGTCAATGTAACCAGTGCATCTAGTAGCTTAGCTGAGGCTGCTGGTATAGCATGGAAGATATTGATGATTGCTGAACATATCTTAATACTCTCTGTAGCCTTAGTCTGTACACTGGTATTACTACGCTGTGCAGCAATCGATACTTCCATCCATTTCTTCAAGTGTGTCTGATGAGAGAATATGGACATCCTACATCAGATCCCATGTCATGTCACAAGAGTTCACACAATAGCCCAACTCACAATGCCATATGACAAGCCCATCATTTGGGTTTTTTTTTTAAAGAAAACCTGTCGGTTGACTCTGCATGAGTCCCTCGTGGTAAGAAAAGAATGCTTTATGGCCATTACATGCTATTACACCTCATACATATTTAGAAGCAAAATGCTCTTCTTTCATTGATTAATGTTTCAGCATGCGAGGGAAGTAAAATAACTTCCCCGCATTTATGAAGCAGGTGCTGTTGTCGGACAAGTCCATAGTAGCAGGGAAGTAGTACCCCAGGATTACTTCCTGAAGTCCAACTATCCAACAGTAGTGATCACAAATATTACTATAAACATTCTGTGAGAGGGATTTCTGAAAGAACTTGTCGAATATTGTATGAGGTGTAATAAAGCAAATACAACATTGTTTATTTGAAGACAAAGTGTGAAATGAATGGTCCGTGAGTACTGGTTGATTTTGACTACCTCCCTCTGCTTCACATCAGAAGGAAGTCAAACCAGCCAACACATCAGCACCAGTAGTACCAGTAGTGACACTTCTTCAAACTCAAACCATGATGTTGACTGTAGTTATGACATTATATCCATCATAACCAGTTGGGGCTTTAGCACAAGATGCAACAAGGTGTAAGCTGAGTTAGGTCAAGTCTATCACAAGTCAAACAGTACAAGTGATGTCGCAAAAACACTGTCAAAGGAATGCCTTTGTCACAGTTTATTTGAGACAAGTTTGCCTTGTGATTGATTTGTGAGGATTTGCAACAACTCTGAAAGCAAACAAAGATGGAATCATGAAGTACCTAACCTATGATTGTCAGTTCCATATCATTACTACAAATATAGGTATAACTTACACTCAGAGATAAATTTAATAAAAGCTATCAAACCGACTAATCTACCACTATCATGACTCTCTGAACAGTACTGAACTTACCAGCATCTGTTCACAGAGCTTTTCATTGAAAGCATTGGGGAAGAGCTGTGTCAGATTATGTAGTCTCTGGATAGCATTGAGATTGAGTGATCGATGGTCCCCTAGCTTGAGAAGTAACGGTCGTATGGTGGTATGTACTAGCTCCATATCTACAGCATGGCCAGCTATGAACTTCTTCATACATTCAGCGCCTGCCTTCAGAAGCTCAGGGACTTTGGACGTCAGGAAAATGTAGAGTAACTTGAAGATCTTATCCCGTACATGAGGAATGTAATGACAGGCAGCCAGGGCATCTACAGTGGCAATCAATCATTTATTCACAATCAAGGTTTATGACAAGTTTTATGTTCATCAAATTTTAAGTACATGGTGGAAATGGATAAGGTGGGACAACATATAACCAGCAAACTCCAAGTGATCAGAAATGAACAATAAAACCAGGCACAAGTAATAATCTGACGAGAAAACCTTACAATGACCAATAAAGTCAACATTTTCAATCAATGAAATAGTCCCCATCATTTGTATAGATCAAGAGATTTCTTGATGTTAGTGCTGCGGCTAAACTGCTAAATCTAACTAAAATTCGCCGAACATAGTACTTAGGCATGCCCCTAGGAGCTTTTAACGACAAAGGGCTAAAAGAAGTTTATTATGTATGCATAGACGATTAACTTGTATACTCCTGAAGCAACTCATTTTGACCTCAATTTTGCTGCTGAACCCGAACCGAACCAATGTTTGGACAATGTCCAAACCAAACCCAAACCAAACCCTAACTGAACCTGAGGGCTCACTTTCAGCACTACTTGATGTAATCACTTATGAAATATTCTTATATTTCTATTAACTCTAACTCCCCGACAATATTTCAGCAAACCTTGAATGCTCACATATCTCCTTATAGGTCTTTATACTCTCAACATTGCAGGGGCAGAAAGCACATGTTACATTAAGTCACAGTGGCTGAGTCTTCAACCCTGCAAAATCCTTGCAATGGATTTGAAGGATTAGGTTAAGGTTAAGGATGTATTATCTTCTTTTTATCTAGCAAAACAAATTATTCACTATTGAATATCAGACAAAAAACCTCTGCCCACCTTAGTTATAGAATAATGACTTTAAATTTTGTGAATTATTTGCAGCCAAACAAGAATTTAGTTCTCACCAGGTAGACTGGTTCCTGCCCCTATCAGAATCAACATTTAGGGACCGGGAATGGGCAAAAGTAGCGCAAAATAATAGCCTTATTTCAGAGGGTTGCAGACACCCCAAATGGAAAAAAGGTTTTTTTGTGTGAGTAAAAAATACAAATTGAAAATTTGTTGAAGAGCATGGATTGAATATAACTAAAGTCATGCTGCACAAAACAAAATACTGAATGAATCTTACTCAGGGCACTGATGCGTAGTGGCACTAGTGAGGGTACATTCTTGTAGCACGGTAGCTTGGTAAGCATTGCATCCTCTACTTCACACAGGTTAACCAACTGTCAATGAATACAAGTGAGACATGTCCCGTTATTCAGTCACAGCCGCATACAGATGGGTTTATCATTCTAACATATCCAAATGCGGAGCAAACTTAAAGTCAAGAAATATTTGTGATGTAATGTGGTGGATTTGGAATGTGTTGGGCTCCAGTATGTACTGATTCCTGCTTACATGACTGGAATACTACTCTCCATCAAAATAGTCATATATATTTAACAATGTACCAGAATCCACAATATATTGAATTATACAGACATTATAGCCTGAATTACAAGCCTTGGTGTACAAAGACTTGAATTTTCTATTTCTGAGTAACCTTTCCTAAGGAAGAGTTAATACTCTGATCACTAACATTGATTGCAAAGCCTAATACTATATTTCATTACCAGGACTAACGCACTTTAAAGCCATTGATTACAGGATGCCTTGCTATTTGAGATTACAACTTGGCAGTGAAAACTAGTGGTTGTAAGCTTGGTGGTTGCATCGTATTAGATGTTTGCCATGGTAAGTAGACCTCAAAGAGTTTGTAAACTAGCTCTTGAAATACACGCAGCATATTATTACATTGCGTCAACAAATGTCAAAACCCAAATATACAAATTCAGTAACCGTACTCTCGAAATATCGCACATAAAACAATTAAACTAACAAGTATGTATGAACTGACCTCCATATAGAAGACTTTGTGCTCTGCAATGTTCAGATCCATAGTGAACAGCCTTGGTTCTAGTGTTGTACAGAAGGTATTACTCTCCATCAAGCCTCGTTGTGCATTGGCTGGTTGATGACGCAGTAGATGTTTCTTGGGTGGGATCATGTCTGCTAGTACTTCACGATGTGGTTCCATTATGTCAGTCACCTTCTTGCCAGTAATCTCAGCCAGAGATCGTAAGGAATCCATAGCCTGATTGATCACACAAGTCAATCTAATCATAGTCTGTGCAGGAAACTCTAGATGGCCCTGGGTTACATATTCACAGGAGGCAAGTAGAGGCATATTACATGCCCTGGTAGCCTGCACTACATGGACCACAGTGTATGTAACCTTTGTATTACTGAATGTGCATAAAACCATGTGAGAAGAATACAGTACGTACAACAGAAATGTTGATCAAATAATCTCTGCTAATGCTTCACAGTAACAGAATATACAAAAGGAAAGATCAGAGGTCACATAATGTAAAGTTTATCCTGAATTCACTAAACGCCCACTGCAGCAATTGACATGAAAGAAATATTACCAACAAAATCCAAAGAACCATCATGGACTGTGTCAGAAATCTACAGGCGTTATGACATAGTTTTGTGCAGTCATTCATTCAAGTTAACAATGGTTAAGCATATTACCTGGTGCCTAACAGTCTCATTAGGTGATGTGACTTCTATGACTAACTGTCGTGTGACATCATGGAACGCTTTCTGCTGTGCTACACTGAGTTTGGCATTCTCTGCATTCTCTCCCTCCAATGGAGAAGCACACAGTTTCAGTAGAGTCTCCAAGTTAGTTTTGGCCATGTCCAGAGCACCACTCGATACCTACAAGCACATCAATACAATGCACATTTTATAAAACGAAATTCCTCATGAGTGTTTTCATTCTTCCATAAAGACACTGTTAATAAAAAGTTTAAATTCAAAGCTTTTACTAAAATTAGAAGGGGATTTTCATTACCAAAATAGTGGAAGGTTCTACAGAAATCAGAAACAACAAAGCCTAAAAAATTCACAATTTCAGGAAGGACTTTCATTTTCAGCCAGAGTTAATAACTCTAGTAGTATCTAAAAGGTTTGTTTTTTCTTCCTCTTTAGCTGTATCACAAGGCTCTGCATTTGATGTTCATATGCCGTATATGTTGATAGAGATATTGCAAATCCTTCACAGAATTCAGAAATATCAGAGTTGTAATCAAGTCCTGACTAGTCAACCATACGTCCTCCAGTCTGATGTCAAGTCACAGACTAGTGAAATGGTCCGTGACAAATGCATACATTTGCCAATTATCTTTCAAATGTATGTGTGACTTGATTTTGTGACCTGAGTAGTGAATTGGCTTGTGATTGACTGGGTTACAACTGTAAGAAATTTTATCAAAACAGACGCAATTATGCAACTAACAAATACCATCATCGACAAGTGGAAAACATTACTTCTGTTCGACAATGACTAAAGTCATAATGGGACAGTTTTGAGACGTTGGTGGCAGCAAACACAACGGTCCTTTTCAATTGTTTACATCATGTTTAAGTTAAAGCACGCATGCTCAATATGATGCAAACAATGGAAAAAGGACCGGTGTGTTTGCTGCCATTCAAGGTCAATGAAATCACTTTATATGCTTCATTTTGGATCGTCCTAGTGATGAACATTTGCTTACCTCTCCAGTAAGATCCATCATGACAAAGAAGAGAGCTTTGAGGAATTGATAGAGATGGCCTTGTATCCAGCACAGATCCATGCGTTCCATCATGAATTTGATTGCAATACAGCCACCCAGCTTGGCATACCAGGCCCTCTCATAGCAACATCCACACATACGTTCAGCCATGTGCTCAAACAAAGGCAACTGACATGCCTGAAATGCAATCAATGATTCCAACATGTCATAGGCTTATGTACTGCTTGATCACTAGTCCTTTATTTTAAAGTTATTTGTAAATATCAAGGATCTGCATGTAATACCTTTTTATTACTGTAATATACTTGTTCAATACATTATTTTTGAATGTGCATTACTCAAGTTTTGTGACTAAACACATCTTGTTCATAGCAATACACAAATAACAATCAATCAACTTATATTTGCCTGAATCAGTCTTTAGGTGCGATAATTTTAACACTGCCATATTTTAAAATGATGCAGTTCCATATGACAACCCAAACAACTGTTGTTGTTTTTTTCAATCCAATAAAGTCCTTACTTTCCTCAAAAAGATTTTAAAGTTAAGAAAGCCTCTCCAGTTTAAGGCTATGATCCATTATCAACCAGCAGCCCCTAAACTGTTACAGGTATTCAAAAGGTTTGTATTAAGTACAAGGAACATTTATCCTGTGGTCAGACAAGATAAGTAACAATTACAAAATTGAAACTTAGGAGGGAAAAAATGACACTCCAACTCCATGAATATAATAGTACTGTTGGCTTGATTTTATAAAACTGGTCAGATATATAAAAAAAATTCGGATAGAAAAAGATTCTTTAGTAGTCTGGAATAGTAAAGTACAAACCCCATCACAAAATATATGATATGTATGAAGGAACCAGAAATGTTTTTTACTGCGAGTGTTTTCAATTGTGAATATAGGGCTATCAAACACAATGACCAACCAAATGCAATGCACCCTACCCTATATTTGGAGCCCATGACAACAGCAGCAGTCTCAACAACAAATGACATAGCCAGATGGCCAGTCTTGCATAATTCCTTCTCCTCATACGCCATACAAGACGCTATGGCATCCATTAACACCAATGGATCCATTGCTGTCTGGTTCTTCTGGTTAGATACAGGAAGTGGACCTGAATATAACAAAGGCAACAATTATCATTCCTGTCTGTTATTGGGGAGTGACGTTTGACAGCACGGTGTGTATACAACCTAATAATTACGTTGGTTAAGGGCACTTGCCAATTTACATCTTTTTAAACAAGATTATATATGCAAAATTACTTGCCAAGTTCATTTTATTTTTGACATAATCATTAAAAAAAACTTCAAACTAGATTTAACAGTTAACATTTCAAGAATAACGATACAATTAATTAATGGCGATATCCTTAAATTTGACAAAATTTCCAAATGTTTATGTTTGAATAGAGTTACTAGACAACACTTGCAAACTTAAAGGGAACATGAAATAAAATTTTGATTGCATTTTTTTTGCTTAAATCAATAAAGGATGATGTTCTTAACAATATTTTGTGTATGGCGGTGTTTATTTTCTGGGATAAATGGGGGAAAATAATTTGTGAACATGTTTGGTCAAACTACTCCGCCCCACAAAGGGAAGCTTCATTAACATAAAACTTCGCGAGGGGTATGACGCAAATCAAGGGAGAGACTTGCCGCGCTGCGGGGGGCACCGGCATTGCGGCGTACATCATAATACATGTACATATACATTGCGGCACTGAAAGTTTTTCTGGTGTTTGGTTCGGAATCGAGGAGAAATAACACCCGATTTTCGGCCATGCCGACAAGGTGTGTGGCTGCTGGGTGTAGCAAAACTACCAAGGATGGAGTAAGCCTTCATTTGTTTCCAGTAAATCCGAAAAATCGGAGCATTTGGAGAGCCAAAGTGAAGGTAAATACCAGAGCAAAGTGGTCCGGGCCCAGTGAGTTCACAGCCCTCTGCGCTGCACTTTGAGCCGTCGTGCTTTGATGCTGGTCTGTACAGCAACTTGGGCATGCCCCTAAAAAAACATTGAGTCAGTGTCTGAATCATTAGAACTCTGATTCGAATCGGACGAATCTGTACCATTTTCATCGGATTCGCTAAGGAAAGAAGAGGAAGAGTCTTCGGAACTTTCACGGTCATGACGGTCGTCGTTGTGTTCATTCGACAACGGTGGCACCGTACCGTGGCACGTCCACGTGTGCATGTACATGTACATGTATAGACACATTCGTACGTGTGCATATAATGCCACGTACGGGTACGCGGCGGCTGCACATACACACAGCACAGTAGCTTCGCTAATCCGTCTCGTACCCAGACGTCATTTACGGGCCCTGGATTTCTCTGCCTTTGTTTACGTCATGAACAGCGCCCTCATTTGGAGTTGCCGCGAAAATCAAAAAGGGGGGGGTTCAATTTTGGACGGCAAATTACCACACTAAACGTACACCAGAACCAGTTCTGCTTTTAATTCACATTTAATACACATAAATTAATGTATATATAAAATAAAATACGTTATGAAAATTTTGGACTGCATGTTTCCTTTAATCTGACTGCTATGTTGTCATTATGAAGAAAACAGGAATTTACTGTCACAAAATGATTGTAAATTACTTACTTTTAATAATCACAAGCACACCACAGGGTGCATATAATTCAATACCCACGTAAATTTGTCCTGTAACAATTTATTTCAAGAATTTGTATAAAACTACTATTCCACAAAACTATCTGACTGGACACGATTAAGGGCACTTACCTGCTTGTTGGACTACAGCTATCAGAGTGAAATGCCTGACAATGCTCAGCATGAAGGAAAGGGAGTCACTCCGAAGGTCTTTGATGGCTGCTGAAACTATAAATACCCCAAAAAACAAAGAGAAATGCTTTAATCACTGACGTCTCAAATTTGGCAGATATTTGAAGTGTGTTTTGTTTGCCTGCACTCGGAGTGCACACTAGGGTTGTAGCTAAACCAGTTACGTTCAATAGGCACACATCTCCTGCAAACAACAACACAAATTACAAGACTTTAGAACTGCCTCAGCCATTTTGGATGACCTATGACCTATGACTCCAACATCAAGCAAACCTTTGGGGGCATAACTTCATCAATTTCATGATTTCAAGTATCTATTGAGACACAGCTGATCATCCCTGAATTGTTTTACCGGTGACATGACCTTTGAAAGATTCATCATCTTTAGTCCAAGTAAACATTATTCTAAAAGTTTAACTGGAATAGGGAAACTGAGGTGGGGATGTATTTTTCAAGTAGCTACGGCTTGCAAACGACCCAAGAGTGGCCAACTAGAATTAGAAATATGTCTTTCACCTGACAACCTCTTAAGAATCAGGCATGCAACTGGGAATTTAGAAACAAACGAGGAAATTCAAAACCACACAAGACTTTGTACAGTGTTGATCAATTTGTAATGGCATTCATGAGAAGTAAAAAACGAGGAAATCAGCGGATCCGAGGAAATGTTGCATGCCTGAAGGATATGTCATGCAAAACATATAGAAGCTGTATGGCCAACCCATGAGGGTCAGTACAAAACAAGGGTGCATACAACCAATTTTCCAACCGAATGAGCAAACACCTGTCACTTTTGCAAATGAGGAATGCACATGAGTATGGGATTAGATTGAGGAAATGCTGCTACAGTAACCTTCTATATGTTATCTCTTAATTTTAGCTGAACTTGAAAACTTACCGATCATTGCTGTAAGTGCATGCTGAAAAGCTGTCCTAGCCAGTGTGTTGGGACACTTGTACACCTGGCCACTTGATGTGCGCGGAATGTCACCAGTTGTCATGCTGTCATTCAATCAAAAGATTTTTTTTAAATTTTTATTAAGTTCATACAAAATTCAAAGAGAATTTAATGTGTTTGAAATTTAAAACGAAACATCATTTTTGGTTCAACATGATTTATTCTTGAATGTATCCTGCACCGCTAAATACCAACCACAGAATTCTCTAGGATTCGGCCTTTGAAAAAGAGGGATTTCCAGATTATTATCCAGCGCAGGTCCTACATGATTTAACCCATTAGCACCTGTACTACATTGTATTACATTGTGTTTACTCACTGAAGAATAAACAAAACCATAGAGTGCTCAGACGGTGTCGGGGGCTACAATAAGTAATAGGCAGGGCGGTTTCGGGCGCTACTGTGAGTAAAAGGTTAACAATCTAGTAGAGAATTACTTCATGTCCCACATAATCTGATTAGATATATCTACCTGGAATGTGTCAGTAACTGATGTACAGCCTGTTTATTGTCGTCCAAATTCATCATACTGATGATGAAATGACGTACAACTTCAAAAGCCTGGCGACGGTAGTACGGCTCTGTACTTGGAGATTTCAGTTTGTTCAAAGCTGTCTCTACCACCTTTGGAAAGAATACAACAAAGGTTGCTTATAGTCAAGAATTGAAGTGAAACAAGGCATAACTTGAAGGTATCACTGTTTAAATATTTGATGGCAAAAACCTACTGCTCTTTGACAATGTTGCTCTTCAACTAAATGTTTGTCAAATTTTGACCTTTTGAGAGCTTGTTTAACGTCCCCAAAAACCCTGGTTTTAAGTGTCTGAAATCCCCTGTAAAAACCTGTAAAAGGAGGAACCAGTTGACCCTGCCAAAACTGAAGTTTTGTCAAGAAGCAAATAAATCAATATTTGTCCAAATTTTCTCATTCAAACTTGAATAACTTCTATATTGCTAGAAAGATGCAATTCAAAAACAGAATCTATCTATTCATATCAGGATGAAACATAAAATAGCACAGATGGCATGGACAGCACATTCTGAACAATCAAACCTGAGATATCCGGCTGAAGACCATAGACAGTTGATGATGTGATTCTTACCTTACAGACTGGTAGCTGTAAATGTGTTTTGTGGTCTGGGAAGTATACAGTCACACATGGACCTTCAGAATCCTCATCCTTGTATGTCAGCTACAGAAAGGACAAGCAATGTAATCAACATAACATTAATATTCAGATTCTCAGTTTGCTATTGCATTCTGTTCGAAAGACAGCAGTTATGCACAAATCAATACCTTCACTTGATTGAGCAGAATTTAAATAAACATTTCACACATTCTTTCATTTTCTTTAGGACACTTTCCCCCTAAACCCTAATAAATCTATGATGAATGCTAAGGATGAAAACATATCATTTAACATCAAACCTTCCCTGTACACCTTCACATATTATCACATACAGGTTAAATAATTCAATTTCTCAAGAAAACTACCAATCATAGTTACATGTGTAAAACAAATACAAGATTTTCACTAGGTTGACAATCATGAACTTTTAAATTTTTATTAAATAAAAACTACAGCCACTTCGATTTGCCACTTTATATGACAATACCAAATCTCTTTAAGTTGAAGAAAATCTCATTGTTTCAAATTTCACCAAGTTTTCCTAAAAATATTCTTTACTTGACAACTTTTGAATAATTTGGCTCTAATGACTTCTGTTCTTGTCACCAATCCCAATCTATGGTTAAGCTTGATCTGCAAAGAACCCTTTGAAGCGAGCCAGATCTTTGCTTCAATGCAAGTTACATGTACGTCTTACCCTTTGTGGTTCCTTCAGCATTTTGCGATTTCCTCCACCAAACTTGCCCAGCACACGGAAGGCAACATGGGCGATGTTATCATTGCGATTGCGCAGTGTGCGCCATAAGGCCTACGGCAAACAGAATTATAATACAAAGTTACTACTTTATTTCGGGACATTTCCGAGTCACAATATTTAATCCGCTTCATCGACATGAAATCCTTCCTCCCCAAAAAAATTCCACTTGGAAATTTAGTAACTTTAAATCCCTCAGTTTTTCATGTGAACCTTGCTGAATCTGTCATCATCCAATACTGTGCAGTAATCAATTGGAAAATTCTTTCAAAGCAATCCTACCCACAAATTTCTAATCAATCAAAAGATAAAAAGGATTTTCAAAAAAAACCATCTCATTGCTTAAGGCTACTCTACAGTGAGTATGTGTGTGGTTCATACCACTGATTGAGATGATCTTACCTGCATGAGTTCTGCTCTGACTGGCTGGATATGTTCATACAGGAAATCAGGCTGCAGGTTGTCAACACACAACTCCAATGTTCGTAGACCCTATCATCACCAAATGTAAATACATCAAAGTACACGTTATACAAATCATTAGGTTTGGATATTAAGGTTAACATAATAATACTAATGTTATTATAGTGTAGGGAGACCAAGTGCGCCCTCTGTTGTTATCTAAAAGTTTTGCGAGTGATTTGCATATCATGACCTTTGGGCTTCCCGCGTAAAGGCAAGTTGTAACAAGTTTTCTCCTGTGGGCTTCGAGCAGAGAAGACCAACATAAAATTGTCTCCGCAAATTCTCTCTTTTTGTAGGGAGCATGGCTCCTGCCATGCTCCTGAGATATATCATTCTGGGAGGGTACTTCATAGAAAGATCCCAGTGAGTATTTTGCTGTGTTTCATCATCATTTTGTGAGAGAAACTGTGTAGTTTTGGGATGAGACATTCGTTGCATTGTACTGTCATGACTGTGTAGTTTTGTATTATAGTGTGTAGCGTACATGTGTTGAACTTTGACACACACACACATTGTATACTGTGTCATATTTAATATATTATTGTGCCGGGCTTTGAATACTGGAATTGTTTTAAGAATAAATTTATTGTAGTTCATGTTATTGGAAATAGTCGTCATATCATCATTTTTGTTAGAACACTCGTCCTCTTTAAATAGAGGGCCGGCCTCCTTTTGCCGTCCCGCTACAAAATGGCGTCGTAGACAGGATTGAGTGCTCCGACAGTTGACATCTCTACTTAGCCGTGAACTTTTTATTGACGACGCGTTTTTATCCGGAAATATTTTCCCCAGACTTTAGATTTTCTAGTGCACCGGAATTCGTGTTCACGAATCGCACTGAATCGCTTTCGTGTGTTTGATTGTCGCGATCATAGACGTGATGGTCATCATCTGATTTTTGCCTCACCTTGCGTTGAGAGGACTTCATTGACAAGCTACATTGTGTGCAGTGTAACTTTTATTGTAACAATCTATTTTTAGAATTGTATTTGATATTTGACCATTTTGTATCCAAGCTTAGATCTGTTCAGTTTTTAGGCAGTTGTGCCTTGTGTGAATCTGTAGTAGATTCTATATTAGGAGCAGATAATTATAGAGCCATGTGTTGGCCTGTGCTTTGGATTGAGTGTTTTTGAGTCAAATACTAGTATTGCTTGTTGCACACACACCATTGTAACTTCTGGTTTTCAGCTAATTGCATTTTCACGACATTTTACACCAGTGCATTGTGTCATTTGCTTCTTGTATTATTAGATTGTCTTGGCATTATTGGGTGACTTTTTAGACCGTGTCAGTTGGAGATTTTTACAGTGGAATTGTACTTTTGTCTACAGTGTAGTTAGACATACTTTCGACTTGTATTTTATTGTCTGTTTGTATGCAGACTTGATTGTAGGTCAGTGATTGAGGCCTGATTTTGTAACAAGTCATATTTTTGTGTGTGCATTCCTAGGTAATTATTCCAACCATGTCTGTGCCAGACTCTATTTCGAAGTCAAATAGTGCTTTAGCTAGGACCATTGTTAGTGCCTTCACAAATATTTTATGTGAACAAAATGAAGATGCTTGTCCTATTGATAGACATGCAGTGAGCAGCATTGAAGCTGCACTGAATGATAGATTTGCTGCTATTTTGAAATGTTTCGAGAAGCCGAGTGAAGACAGGGTTCATGAATCGCAGTGTCCTGACCTTGTTATGTGTTCTCATACAGTTGAGGTGGTAGATGCTGTTTTTGAAGAGGCTAAGCCGCTTCTAATTGAGACGGTTTTACTTGAAGCTGCTGATTTTTGTAATGTGCAGGTGGAAGGAGTAGTTTCTGTTTCTCCCACTGTGAGTGTTTTCGATGATAGCCTTCATGTAGTTAGCTACAGTAATGTAACACACCTCTCACTTAGTTTGTCAGATGGCAAAGCCCAAGAAAAAGTAGGGAACCCTCCCTTGTATTTGGGTATTGCAGCTTATTTCTGTGTGTTGGCAGTAGTGGTGACCATAATGACTGTTGACAGGAGTACAGTGCCTCATATTCGGGGTCTGTGGCCAAATGCCATTACTTAAAAGTACTTGTGTTTATCTATGCCTAGCATGATCATTGTACATGTATTTGGCTATGTACTGATAGCTCAAGCTGCCCCTCCATATTTTACTGTATGAATATTGGTGTTTTGCTCTTTACAGAAAAAAGGGACACAGGATTTATCCGCACCATATTTACTTATTTCATTGTATAAACTTGTATTTTATATTTTTCCAATTTTTGGAAATTGTTGTTGTCATTCACATGTTTGAATGAGATTATTGTACGATTTGTTGTACAACTATTATATATGCCTTTTATAATGTTGTATTTTTATAGCATGTTCATGTAGGTGTATCTTTTGTATGATGACTAATTGATCATTATAATTTCATGATTCAGGCAGATGCATTAAGGTTTTTCCTGACTTGTCAAGGTTGGTTCACAGAGACGTGGTATTTTCATGTTTTTCTCTCTCATTGATTTTATATGGGATAGGAATTTGTCTGTCTTTGTTTACATTTCCAAATTTATTCCCTAAGAACGTTTAGTGACGGGATTGTGGATTCCTAATTTTAGTGTAGTTGCTAAGTGGAACATTCTGTCAGCAGTTTTGTAGTTTGGTGTATTCCAACTATTTTTACTCACCGATTTTATGGGATATTTTTGTATACCCTTTTAAGTGAGATTTGTCTGGCACTTTCACCATGCAATCTACCATTTATAGGACCCTTTTCAGGAAATGTATGTGTGTATGTACTTCGTAAATTCCTCTCCTATTGTTGTTGCCCTAAGTACCATTAGTGATGGGTGTTGCTCCTACCAGGGTAGAAATGTAATTGTTTTCCTAGCCTTATGTGGGTGAAGGATGTTGTAGTTGGTTGAGTTGTCCAACTGTTTGTTCTCACAGTGTGAATGAAACTTTGTATTATTCTACCCTGCAGTCTATCTGGGGATGCACTGAATTGTTTGAGAAAAATACATTTTGTATTGACAGCCACTTGTATCTGAGACCTATATGTAGTGTATGAACCTCCTGTTTGCCTGCCACTTCATATCCAATTGTTCCATTATAACAAAAATTCACTTCTATCTTAATACAGATCCAATGTGATTTAGATTTCATTACCTTGTTATGTGTACCACATGGGCTTTACTTTTGTTAATCAATATACTGGGATTTTCAACGGATCAATTTTGAAGCCATAAGCCTGTATGTGCTGATTGTGAATCCAGAGGGCCCCCCCCCCTAAAAAAAGGGCAATTCTTTTTTCAATAACTGAACCAGAGACTGAGTGAAAACGACCGTTTTAAACAAGATAGTTGTCTACTCATTCCCTTTCCCTCAAAGGATTTTTGAAATATACATAAAAGCAAAACAAAGAACAGAGGGAAAAAAGTGCCCCTAGCATCATATGAGGTCCATCTCCCTCCTCCCTCCCCCCCCCCCAATTCAAGTTTGCAGGGCAGTCAGGCGGCCACTCCCTTCAAATTGTGGTGCCACAAACACTTTTTTTGACTGGTGTAAAGCCCTTTGGCCAAGGATTATGCAAGTCATGATGCTGGCCACATAAGCAGCAACCTGGGAAACAGCAGTCAGGCACCTCTCAGAATGGATGCAGCTTTTCATTACAAATCATTAAATCAAATTAATGTCGTTGTTGAACCTTATCAATGTAAACCCAGTCCGTTTGAGGTTTAAACAAAAAGGAACCATAAGTCAATTACAGGTCAAATTTGAACAATGTTCCAAATGTCACGTACAAAGATAGGACGCGGCAGGCAGGATAATGCCTGCTTGCCTTCATCTCCAGGAGCATAGCTGAACAATGGTATTATTACCTGACTAACTAGAGTCTGTGATCCATTCAATGCAGAGACCAGTGGATCCATCAACATGGGTAGGTAAGGTAGAAGCGAGCTCAACCGTACTGGAACAGTCAGACATAACTCAACAAACAGATCCTTCATATGCTGCTTGTGTAAACCACTCTGTAGCTGGTTTAAACCTACGAACACCAACATTATCAGATATTAAGTTGTTTCAAAAATGATGCTACACTGCTGTACAATAACAGAAGATTCACAGGAGATCTATACTTCTATGATGCAAGAAAACAAACTACTGTATAATCAACATTTTGGGGCCAGTTATCAGGGCAATCTGCTATCAAAGACACTGCTTCTCGTGCAACGGTTAAAAGCCATTCAGTGCACAAATGATAAAACCTCTTGAAAGAGGCTGCACATGGCTTGACTACAGTTTAAGAAGATAAAGTTTCAAAAGATAAAGTTTGTTATACAGTTGTTTAAATTAATAGTACTAATAGTCAGTTTTCCTTTCATGGTTCATTTGATTGCGATAAAGTTTGGCTAAACACATTGTTAAACCACACGTTTCCAGACTCCAAACCATGCAATTACTGTTATGAATAGACAGTCGAGAGAATTGGATGAGCAAAAGGATATGGCTTAGATATTTGCATTGATCAATAATAGAATTATTAGATTATTAGATAGATCCACACAGGGTGGAACTTCACACTTCACCAATTTCGCTTTTGCTACTTAAGTGCTTACTTTCTTAGAGTTTAGGCACTCTCCTGAAGACGGTCAGAGCATACTGACTGGAACGTCGAGTTTATACCTCTGGTTCTTTCCAGAACCATTCTCTTAGTTGAGAAATTATTAGCATATGGTGTTTCCGCAAACCTTTCATTATTTAGTATCTCCACCATGCAAAGCCTCAAATCTCACTTAGAATTGAAATATCAACCAAAAAAAATGATTTTAAATTTCAATTAAAACAAACAATTGAGACAAAGCGAGGATTACCCTGTAGAAGATCAGGCAACAATGGAAGAAACTCCTGGTACAACAGATCATGGCTGCCTCCACCAATGGATCGGAACAGCGCCCTCAAGAGAAGGAAGTAGTTATATGGCTCTTTGGCTGTTGTTGCCAGTTCCATTGAACGGTTGACAATCTTGTGCAAGTGTGGCTGTATGGAAGAATGAGATATGGAAATCATGTTTATGGCAAGCACAAATTCTGCAAGATAATATCTTAAATGGTTGACTGATATCTGGATCAGGTTTCATGCAGCTACTGAGCCCAAGATGTTCTGCTGACTTCTGGTAACTCAACCTATGTCAAATTTGTTAAGCACAACAAAAGTCACGTGAACTTTCCCTAACCTTCAGCATTTGTTCATTCTCAGCTGCAAACAATGAGACAGATCCAAAGACTAGTTTGAAGAGCTTCAGATACAGGTTGGATCGGTCCATGTTGGCTACAAAAAGAAAAACACAACATTAATTAATTGATATATTTATTTGCTTTCTCAGTATCATTTCTTGAAGTGAGAGATATAACTTTCTTGACAACATTTGCAATAAAAGAATAATTTTATGTTTCTTTAGGCAAATAATGTGACTTACTAGAAATTAATAACAATGAATATGAAAACAAAAAACAGTTGAAATGCAAACACAATACAGCTGAAAAGATTGCTCTGAGTGTTACGTACTTCCCATTTCGTGCATTCGCTGAAGCAAATACTCCACTAAGATGGTAGCAAATGTGGCGGACGTGGCTGGATTGGCCAGGAAGGAGTTAGCGATGATCTGTAGTGCATAGTTGTGATAGATCCTATCCACAAAGAAGTCAATGGTTGTTTGGAAGATCTCTCTGAACGTTAGCTGATGCATCATGGTAAACTGCATCAAAAGAGCAATCAGTTCACAGACATTTATATAAGAAAATTTGAACATTGAGGTAGTATTCTTCTCTGTTGTGATGACCATATATCACATCACATGAGTTAATCCTACAAGAGCAGGGTTTTGATGACCTTCCCATGGTCAAGGAGGTGCAGGTTCCTCCCCTTACAAATCTCACTGGTATCATGACAGATTTGTCTAACAATCAGGTATGCACATAAAGACATTAATGCTTGGTACATCTGCTTCAATCTCATCAAACAGTGAGTTGCGTTGTTATCAATATCTACAGTTGTCTGAGGTCCTTTAACATTATTCTCCACGCAGCTTTTAAAAGTTGGAATTTTTTGTAAGGGTGAAATGTTCACGTCAATTTGATCAATCCATGTGTGAACCCAAATAATATTTGACTCCAAATGAGCCATTTGTTTAATTGAAGGTTATAACAGGATGAATTACCATTTAGTATTTCTATCAGAAGTATACAAAAACCATGAAAAGTCCTTGGGGGAGGAGGGGCCGTAATCTATATCTTCCTAGGGCTTCAACAAATAATTTCTGTGTAGTCAACTTTTCTTACCACTCCAGCAAAATGTTCCAGTACTTCCTTCTCATCCTTGATGCGTACACCTTGCATTGCTGGTGGTCTAATGGTTGTCTGGCCATTAGAAGCTACTTGGATCTGGTAGATGTCTAGTGCTTTCATAGCTACAATTCAATCAAGCAAATATGGACTCAGTTACACAGGAAACAATCCATTTACATGTCAATTCTTTTACAAAGAGAGCAAGTACAATATGCCAGTGAAAACACCATGCGTATGCAGGCTCATCACGTGTGGCATTATACCAATTTTTCCTTCAGTACAGTACCTTGTTGTGCATCCAAAAGGTTTTGTCCACACTTGTTTTCAATCTGGCTAAACAGTTGTACATGCATATCCATGGCTTTGTATGAAATGTCTACATTGTGTGTTCTGGCACCTCAGCCATTACGATTGCATTTTGGTTTCATCTATGGTGAGGTGTTATTGAAAACGCCTGCTGTTAACTCATGGTGCAGTCAACCTGGCCTCCCTCAGTGATCCATGCAGTATTCTATTTGCGTGACATTGCCTCGGGAAATAAATGTTTTATTACATAACTCAATATTACTGCACAACTCCATTTTGTGTTGTATTCTGTACAAATTAAGCATGTTTCAATATATTTTTATTTGAAAGTTTGGCTTTAAAATGTTGATAGGCCATGTTGATAGGCCAAGTTAAACTGGGACACTTAAATTCTCCCTCTTACAAGGACAAAAGGTCTTGTAAAGATCAAATTGTAGACAACTATTTTCAAAGCAAATGCCACATTACCACTAACCCTACAATGGGCAAGTAGGTCCAACAAGCATGATATCTTCTTCGAGTTACTTTTGCTGTTGTAACTATTTACACGTATGCTTTATCTCAAATTGTCTTACCATACTTGACAAGGTCAACAAAAACTGCTGTCTCCTTGGGCTGGAATTGCTTGTTCTGTCCAAATGTTTGTACATCTATGATTAAAAGCAAACCAAAAACACATGGGAGAGTGAAAGCAGCTGCAATATGGTACATTACGTCTTATACACCGGAAGGGTGCCATTTGCTCTTCAATTATACCAAGGACCATGGTCTAATGTTACAATGTCCAACTCATGTGCAGCAGTATGGGTTTTCAAACCCCAACAGGGTTCATGTTGCTCATGTCCTTGGGCAAGACACTTCGCTTGCCTCTCTCCAACCAGACGAGAGGTTTGGTACCTGATTGCACTGATCTCAAGCGTTGCATTGCATGAAACTGATCTCCTGGCCAGATGAACACAGTTATAACTGTGAAGTGCTTCCAAACTTAAAACAAACTTTTGGACACAGACATAGCGCTTCAGACTTTTATAAGCACTATGCAAGCACCAGAATATTATCAATTTACTTTTTAAGAACATTTCCACAGTTGTACTTGTTTTCAACTTGTAGATATAAAAATGTACGTCCAACAAAAAGGTTAACAAGGATTTATAGTCGGTCACACAACGATGAACGTCCAACCCAGATGTTCACTGGATGCTAAGTCTTTTCTGCAGCTCAGAGTCATTGGGCGACATTTGCGAAATTCTTTTTTTTTGGGGGGGGGGTATCTTCAAGTGGTCGGGGAAAATGACATTATATATAAGTTAAATTTTTCTTTTATAATTACTATTATAATTGGCAGAACTACTTAACTGCATTTCAGAAACCTCTTATTACTGTCTGCTTTTCAGAAGAATAAAAACCTCTAGACCTGATGTTTCTATTTACACACACTGTATTTAGATCAAACTTACCAGTTGATATCTTACAAGCACTGACTCCCCATGTGATTGTCTTGACACCACACACGACAGTCTTGACCAGATTCCTACAGTCTGTGACTGAGTAGTTACTGTACTGTGAGAAGCTGGATGGTACATACGTCTTGGCTTTGGAATCATCTTTGTCTTTATCAGGAAACAGAGAACTGAGAGGTAGCATTCCTGGTCCTGGGGTGCTTGGGATGGCAGGTGTGGATGGGACAGTGGGAGTAGGGGGTACCGATGGAGTGGGTGGTGGGGGGAGGAGGCCTGGGGTAGATGGTGCAGGGGTGCTAGGCGTCGGGGGAGCTGCAGGGATGATGAGAGTAAGAGGTGGTGGCTTGGAACCGAAAGAACTTATCGGATGGGACTGTGAGGAACTTGACTTGTCTTGACTTGTGTCTTGGGGCTGCCGACTAAACGAATAAACAGACAAAAATATACATCAATATGCGATACACTCAGAAATGCTAGGCCTTGTAAATGAACATGGTCCACATAGTCCGCAATGAAAAAAGGAAAACAGTATCAGACGACTTGGATACAAATCTAAGGGAGGTTTTAAAAAACAAATTAAGGCTTCAAAATAGAGCACATGTTCAAACTGATTTTGTAATTCAAAATACATGTTAAGAATTCTTACCATTTTTGGAATATAAGCGGCAGTTGGTTCTCCGAGATGGTTTTGAATTTCAAAACAAATACTTGTAGCATATGCATCAATATCTCCCTGGCCTGCAGTGAAATAACACATGCAATATGATCAGACATGGTTCAATGGCTTAGACCTATACTCCACCTCGGCTGTATTATCCAACCATGATACTTCCATTACCATGTGGAGCAATGTACTCTAAGGTGTTTCAGGTGGCACACAGCCACTGCAGCAAGATGTGTGTCAATTTGTCATTAGAGTGACAATCCCATCTAAAGCAGTTTAAAGTATAATCTGATAATCCCAGTAATCTTGTATCTTATTGCAGCTGTATGAGAGATGCTTAATTACCAAGAAAAAAATTTCTAACTAATTTCAGACCTGTTTCTTAACTTAAAGCAACCCTTCAATTCGAAGCTATCGAGATGTTTACAAGAATTTTAAAATAAAATTCAGAAACATTCTACTAGAGCAATGTGAGATGGAGCAATCCAATTTAATAGTATCATTAAACTCTCAGTCTTCAATGGGACTTACATTGGCCCCATCTTGCTCACTCTTCTGTCGTATACACTCTACCAGGTTGAGCAGTAACTTGCAGGACACAGTTTGGATGTTACATGGTAGAGAATCATCATGTACATTTTTGGAGAAGAGATGAACAGCCATGGACAGGTGTTGAAGAGGTAAGTGTTGCCGCAAGTGATGAACAGAATCAGCTAATGTGCTGTAGGCTAAAGGTCTGTAGTACAAATCAAGACATCATTAGCGGGCAAGTAAGTTTGCTACTTATGAGCCAGATTTCATCTGAATGACGATGAATGAAAAATGGTGCATTGGAATGCGCAATAACAACTCTGTAATCATCAGTAACCGGAAGCGGGTGAGATGTCTGTCATCTGATACAAGTGCCTTTCCACTAAGTTAAACTTCCTTTCTGATGCCATCATAGAGAATCAAGGGATTTTATCTTCAAAATGATATATACATATGTATCAGAATAAGCACCCTAGGTCACGTTTGTTTTTAATAATGGTCTTATCATCCCTTCATTGAATTAAACCATGAATATACAGCAACAAATGTACTACGTCTGACAGCAGATTGAACCAGTTAGGACATCATTCATTGTATTTATTGTATGGGGGCAAAACTTCTGTAAAAAGACTTCATCGATGCAACTTGGAATGGGGGGAGAAGGAGAATGCTCTCTTTTTCAAGGCGGCATGTCTAAGAAACAACTTGGGAGATGGAGGCCAACATTTTCAGTGTGTTCATTTCTGCAGTCTTGTGTTCAGTTCACCACAAGTTATTACCGTGATAATCTCTATCTTAAAACTTGACGTTTACTGACCTGAGAGATTCTTTACTGGTCGTGCCACTTCCTACTAAGATAGCCTCATCAAACAGCTTGTCAATTGTTGGCACAAACTCTGTTCAATTAGGAAAAAAATGTTTGTTAACCATCGTGGGGAAACAAGTTCGTTTTGTAATATTTGACAAGTACATTAGCAACATGGTTTGAGCAGTATTGGCTGTTGGCTGATACTGATTACCTCCCTCTGCTTTGTGTCATAGAGATGGTCAAATCAGACACCTGAGAACCAATGATCTTGCACTACTTCCCCAAAATAAACCAGGATGTATGTTCTATTATATATCATACATATTGTGCATCAGTATTAAGTATTAAACAGCTGACAAAATGGATTACCTGAATTAAGCATTCAAATGCAAATCAACCTGTAAGTCATTCTCCCTGAGAATGCACGTTGCATAAAATTAATTTATGCGAATGCGAATCAAATTTGACGTCACAAAGAATTCGCTGCAAAATTCACCGGAGTTGAAATGAGTTCTACTCTGTGAATTTGCAGCACTCAAGGCCACTTCATACTTGGCGTAAAAGTTAATTTTTGACATCAGGGCAAGTATGTACTTGCCCTGATGTCACAAATTAGCTTTTTGCCATCAGGGCAAGTATGTACTTGCCATGATGTCACAAATTAGCTTTTTGACATCAGGGCAAGTATGTACTTGCCATGATGTCACAAATTAGCTTTTTGACATCAGGGCAATTATGTACTTGCCATGATGTCACAAATTAGCTTTTGCGCCAAGTATGAAGTGGCCTTGAGTCAGTCATGAAATTTCAGTTTGTTGCCACAAACAACCTATACCCGAGACCTGAGCTCATAACACACGTACATATGAGGACATACAACCGCCTTGTGCTTCTATTATTGGTTGCTATACGTCTTGGCTGTGCCGTCTCCTCTATACATGTCGTTTGATTGGTCTACTTCTGCACACTCATGCATCATTGTTAACATAGCACCCTATTGGTATGCATGGAGCTATTGTAAATTAGGTTGACCCCTACATCACAGGTCATCCTAACGATCCACACGCAGGCTGGTATCAGACTTTACATAAACGGCCCGTCATTTTGAGTCTGACAACTTGACTTGCTATCACTATTGTTGCATGCTAACCTTTCTTTGTCTTGATGTTTACTAGACAGTAATACAGACTGGCAATAAACATGCGCAGGGAGTGAGAGTCTTTTCTAAAAATTAGCAACTTTTACTTTCCTGATGCATTGGAACATTGACAAATGAAAGAGGTATGGTATGTTTAGCCAACATGACATGTACTGAAACATGTACTGTTCATACATGTAAACCATGTATGTGTATGTACTTTCTGTGATATTGACGGCCTATAGTGTAGATGTAACTCACTATTTCTCAGATCTGTAGCCAGAATGTGTCTGGCTGCAATCAACAGCTCTTTCCTCAGATGTGCAACCTCACTCGGACAGTTGGTGAAAAGCCCCAGCATTCCCTTGACTAGCTGGGGGGCATATGAGTTGACTATCTCCTGAAAAAATATAACAATGCAACTTGTTGACACTATACTAACAATTATAAACAATGCATGATTCAAAGTGCTCGTATTGATTAAAAGTAAATTGCTATAACAAGGTGTAAAAGAGCACATTAATATATTTTTTATAAAACTCACAAATATTTTCCTGATACCAAATCTTATGAAACGACATGTAAATTGAAGGGGCTTCTTCAGGCCTCAGCCTTTACCTGGTATATTCTCAGGATGTAGGCAAGGAAAGACAGTGTCTTGATCTGAGCTGCAATGAAGTCAACATACATCTCTTTGTTGAATGTCGGAGACAGTCTGCAATAAATATAAAAATAAAATAAAGAAAAATATATAAAAATAGCACACACAAAAAAAAGGAACTATTTTTTTCTGTAATGTTCACGTCAAAGAAAGAAGTTAATGCACCACCATTTTCCTTATTCTTGTCTTAAAATAAACATTGCACGGGCCTTTTCAATTTAATTTAAATTGGCAGTTAATTTCAAGTTTCATAACATGTAATCACTTGGAACTGGTCATTTTGTTCAGACACCAGTTGTTATGATTTCTGCCCCTAGTGGTGTGACAGCATACCTGGCCTGGGCGTTTGGCTGGATGGTGATAGTGTTCATGATGAGTGGAATAAAATCAGCCACCACTGTGTGAACACTCTGCTTGTACAGTTGATACATCAGTAGAACAATGAAGGGATACTCAGCAAGGACCTTCAATGAGTTGATGCCTTTAGGAAGAATAGTTTGCTGAAGAAATAAAACACATTTGATTCAAACAATGTTACGCCAGTCACTTCTCATTTTTTGACAAATAGAAATATTTAAGTAACAACACTACCATCTCAAAGACATGAAAGAAAGTGTTACATTTAGTTTAAGTCTCTGGATTTCCAACTTTACATTTTTGCATAATTTGCATAAAAACTGTGTACTGAAATTAAAAGTATACTAGTCGGAATTGAAAAAGATAAAAAAAATATCAGCTTTTACGTAACTGCATAAAAAGTGCCAAAAACCAAAGATTGAAAGTGCCAAAAACAGAAGATTGAAGGAACAACTAGATTGAAGAAAAGACTAGACTGAAGGGAATATGATACATGTTAAGACAATGAAGTGTGAAGCTTGACTTACCTGACTTTTGGTTCCATCTGGCTGGCTGACTGTGATAATAGTCTGGCATGCAAAGCCAGGCCTGTCAACAAATGGTAGGATGTTGAGTGGATCTGGTGGTGACACACTGCTGCCAGGATCTAGACTCTTCTGTTGACAACAAACAGAAGCAACATGAAATCTTAGACATAATCTAAAACTCCTACCAATGTTGCTGTTTTTACAAAGGTTTTTAAGAAGTACAGATTGAAATATGAACTTTGTGTAAACACCTCCAATTCCTAAGATGTAATTGAGAAAGCACATGCTAGATAAACACCTCGTTATCCAAAGAAAAACTGTTATGTTACATTACCAAGTTACATTGTTAATCCTAAACCAAATTCTACATACAGGTTTCTAAGTATCACTGAGATTAAAGAATGGAAATTACTTACAAATTAATTCACTTTTGATGGGAGATTTTGTGGCTTATAAAGTGATTTATAAATTCTTCAACATAGCACTGTAATACCTATGGTGCTGGTATCATCCCCCCCCCCCCCCACACACAGTCGTTTTTTGCTATGCTTTCGAGGATCGGCTTGTGTTTTCTTTCGTTCCCTTATCTAAACCTTTCCCAGAGACTAAGCGCGCAAACCGGCATTCGAGGACAAAGGGACCTTCGATCGAGACCACAAAAGAACCTTTGTGCTCCCTTTGTTTGCGATCCTCGGTCGTAAAGCCATGTAAGAGCACACAGACATGTTTGTTTATGGCATAAATTGAGGATTTGCTATTGTCCTCTTCCCTTTTTCTTTGTTATACTCCAACTTTTTTGCAACAGCTCTCATTGGTTTTGTACACGTTTTCTAATCGAAGTCGTCCTCGATTCGGTTCCTGTCCTCGATTCATTGATGATGCTGCACGTGTGTGTCCTCAATTTACACCATAAACAATCGCACACATCTATGTAAACGCCGGCAATCGTGGACCCCCCTATTTTCCCTGACCCTTATTTAGCAACAGCTCTCATTGGTTTTGTACAGGAATTTCAATCGTAGACGTTCGGTCAATCGTGCCCCTATTGTTTGTGCCCCAACCCTTTTGTCCTAGGTCCACGATTGCCGGTATTTACATCCTCACACATACAAGTGTGTATTTGCCTGCAATCGGGGACCCCAATTGTCCCTCTAACTTTAACTTTAACCTGTTTGTACTTTAACTTTTTAGGAAGACCACACGAATCCAAAGTTGGGAACTCTTGGGAATTGGGGACCCTGTTGTCCTCTATTGTTCAACATCCCCTATTAAATGCAGAAACAAACTCAGTCACATTTATGGTGTAAATCAAGGATTTTCTATTGTTCCTCGTCACTGATCTTTTGGTTATAACTTTTCTGCAACAGCTCCCATTGGTTTTCTAATCGAGGTCGTCCTTGATTTGACTCCTGTCCTCAATTACTTGATGATGCTTCACATGTGTGTTCACAATTTACACCATAAACATGCACACACAGTCGTAAATTTCTAATCTTTCAAGGACAATGCTTTGTGTTTCCCATTGTCCCTGTAATATAACACTCTCCCATAGACTAAGCACATAACCGTATGATTTGAGTTTTCAAAAAAAAACCAACGCTTGAGGACTGAAAGGATCTTTTGTTCTCCCTTTGTGTGTCTGTCCTCTATCTTAAAGCCATGCAAGAGCACACACACACCATTATACAATAATGGTTAATGGCTTCATTTTAATGAGCGAACTGTCTGATTTTCCATCTGATTTATTATGAATAAATAAAAACATTTACCAGGTTCGTTGGGATTTCCTTGTACTTGTTCTTCACAAACTGCAGGAAGTTATGAATCTAGAATGAAATGTGGATAGAAAAAAAAAATTCATTCGATGACAACACGAAAAGATCAATTTTGTAACCAAACAGGCAAAGATTAAGAAAACTCCACCAGCAACACATTGCAGTTTGGGTGTGCGCACTGACAGGATAAAATCTACACATTTAAAAAGGTAAAGGACACCATCTTTTGTGCCCAAACAATTGAAAGAATGACACTAACCTCTGGTTGTAGCGCTGGTCTGTAATGCTTGTGTAATTCAATGATAATACGAAGAGCTACTAGGACATTCTCCTCATTCTCCCGTTCCAGCAAGGAGAACATTAGTTCAAGGATTGCTGGAACGTATGGCCGTAGAGTCTCATTGGTAGGCACACGATGAAGAAGCTCCAATAATAACTTGCGCAAATGCTAGCAAATCAAACAAACAAACAATGCAGGATATGAAAACTAAATTAAAGATGATCACAATACAGGTGATCAAAAGACATGAAGTCACTTTCCAAATTATAAAGGACTTACTTGTATGTGCATGTTGTCTGCTACAGGTAATCTCAAGACTGTGAGACTTTTGTATCTTGCCATTCCCACTGATAGGTCAACATCTGTGTAAGGCTAACCCGTGTTAGCACAAACACTCTCACATCAATAGTGTTTTGTGACTAAAGATATCTTTACATTGTACTTGCAATACTGAAATTCCATTCGTGTAAAACTATCATGTACTAGTGTCATTTTGTGTCTAATCACCAAGATTTTCAGATTACCAATATTTAAAATACCTCTATGCATCACATGACCACACAACAGATTCTAGCTCCCTATTCCAAGTAATATCGGCATTGATGGGTATTAACAAACGCATTGATGTGTACTTGCTTTGCTGAATGGGACTTGAATGAAGGCCTACAAAATGATGCAAAAAATCACACGACTTCTTATAATGCTTCCTGCTTAGGCTGAGTTGCAGATGGCCCCCATGCCATAACAGCACAGACTATAAGCATGCCTATTCCACCCTTGATTGACATTATACACATAGTCTCCATCCCCCCACATGTTGCACTTCATCCCTTACCCCATCACATCAGAATGCCCTCACATGAAAGACAGATAACAAAATGAAAGTGTCTGTCCGACTCATACAAGTAACTTGCAGTCTACTGTATTGGCATTTGGGATCACAGTGGCCACGGTTATCAAGAAGTTGTTGTTTATATTTCACGGTTAGTTTTTGCATCTACCGTGAAGTCAACAAATGTTTACCATACAGTGCACTGAGTTATTTGCAACCTTCAGGACTTTCAACTCCCTTCAAGCAACTTTAGCTTTATAGTCAACAACTGTTCTCTAGCTAGACTAGATTACAAAACTTGACTTTCTTGAACCAACCTGTTGAGCTTTTTCTGCTATGAAGTATGGTTTCTCCTCCTTAAGCACTCTCAGGAAGAGTGGGATTGCAAACTCCAAGAAAGCTCCATTCTGAGATGATGACAGGATGACCTGTGTGTAGGATTGTCAATATATGTCACAAAGACATGGATTTTTCAAAAATGGGAGGCACAAGATAACAAGGAATGACTATTAAAATGTTTCGCTTAAAGATTAAAATAAAAGTAAAAAAACAATTAGTTGCAAAATCTTTCAAATTCACTCCATGTCTAAATGTAGGAGACTACAGGTACATGTATCTTTGTTAATTATTATGTATGATTTGTGTGGTTTTTTTCAGCCAAAGTTGGCAAAGTGGTATACAATACATGTACTTCAAAGATTTAAACATTCCACTTTAACAGAAGGATCAGTGTCATATGAATTCAAATGAACAGTAACATGAGCCAACTTAGAGTAGGTGGAGGCGAGATCGGGTCCTCACCCTTCATCAGTTACAGAGTTAGGCAGGACACTTGAATACACTGATGTCATGTATACAGACTCTACAACCTTTGTGTACATGCAGATACGCCATGTGTCCTGCATGTGCAGCTCTCATGTGTGGTCCCAAAGCACTAACTATCATTCATGCACAGAGACCATAAAGGAAGGACCCAATCACAGGATTTTATCACTTTCCTTCACAGCTGTTACATGTATGTGTATCACACAACCACTGCCCATTAATCACATGAGATAGTTGTAACAGCCACCAATAACATGAATGACAAATCATGAGGGGAGTCAGGTTGGAGAGTCAGGTGGGCACAGTGGCTTCTGTCCTTGCCTTCCACTTCTATGGCCCGGTTCGATTCCTGCTATGGGCCAACATGCGGACTGGGTTTTCAGCCCCTACCTGATTCCATGGGTTTTCCTCAGAATAATCTTCTGGGGTTTTCCTGCCACCTCTAAAACTGTCATTGCCTTTCATTCTTTTCTCTAAAGGTTTTTTTTTCAGGCTTGCGTGCTTTTAGTGCCGAGGGCGCTTTTGAGGATTCCTTGGTTTCAGTACCAAAAATGTAATAACAATAATGAGTAATTAACACAGAATACAGACAATGTAGATGTACTACTACAATAACCAATGCAACAATAACATTAGCATGTTAATGTGTACATATGTACGTACCTCAAAGTTTTCACTTATCTCTTGAGCTGCTTTCAATCTGTTGTCATCAACTAGAAAGTAACAATTTGTTTAATTATTACAATAATTTATTTGAAGTCCCGTGATTCTGCTGTTCAAGGCTGCTTCATGTGGTGCTGTGATGTACGCGTAGTCAGCTCTTTTCAGCTTACATGTATGACAATCACTGCCTGGCTTACCATTATCAAGAGTTAATGGATCTTGCATGACTCTTCAATGAAGATTTCATGATCCATGAGATATATGGCAAGCCAATGTGGCTCAAGGAACAAACATGTATGTCATCATTCTACTGTACTCAAGCACCACTAGTCTGAAGACAGACCCTATCAACCTTAGAACCAAGGGGAACAAACTCTTGTTATGTGTATTTCTAAAAAGTGAATTTTATTCAGAACAGACCTGTTAAGTGTTATCAGCCAGAATAATACAAAATTTATGATGGAAATGTTGGTCATTGACAAGCAATCTCAGAAGTTGCTCAATAAAAAAAGTTCCACTCAAGCCTCCTACTTCCACTACATACTGCAAATTGATAAAGCAAACATTTTTTTCACAGAACAATGCAGAATCAAGCAAAGTATGGTCAGTGACCGGTACCACTGACATGGGCATCGCCAGGATTTTTTCCGGGGGGGGGGGGGGGGGGGGGCAAAGCAAATTTTCCCCAAAAATTCCTTAACTTCTTCATTATATTCTCAATTTATCATTTTTCCCAGAGTGAGCAGGGGAGGATTTGCCCTACCCCCCCCCCCCCCATCAAATTAACAGCAATATGGCTTTGCACCTCTTTTTCCTTTTTTTTTTTTCCAGGGGGGAGGGGGCAAGCGCCCCCCCCCCCTTCGCAACACCAATGACCACTGATATAAGGCATGCTAGGTACCCAAGCTTGTACAAGAGCCAATTGTTCACTAGATCAGTTGGTACACATGTATACATGTCTATTTATATAGGTACATGTAGAACATAACCATATTCCATAGCCACTAATTATGCTGAATGGTTCTTACCTGTCCTAGTGTCTGCCAATATAGAGACATTGGTGCGATACTTGTTGATGATAGTGGCTGGATCAATTGGTGATGACCCTGATGCTATCGGCATCGTGACCACTGCTGGCTTGGACTGAAGCATCTGATCAATTTGCTATGTGGAAAAAAATATCACATCTCAATCTGCAAACTTCCTCAAATACAATTATGGTTCTTTGCTCAATCGTTATATTTTGCAATGTAAAATTATACTGTGTCAACCACTGCAGCCTGTTTAAAAGTACCTCTTGGCCAGTAGGATGAGTCCTACCTGATGTCTGGTGACCAGGGCAGGGTGATGTCACAATAGATGTAATCCTCTATGTTTAACAGCCAGGTTTGTCAAATGTAGCCATGATGCTCTGTAAAACATAAACCAAGGCAAGTGATCTTTATGCATTCAATACCAAATTCCGAGACAAGGTTGATGACTGTCATGTCTGGTTTGCCTCAATGATTGCAGAATCAGGACTGTAGTGCCTTGAGACTACAGTACAATGCAGGGCTTGATGCAATATACATGTATAGTGCTGAGCATTTTTGAACAATTTTCAAATATTTGATTATTCAAACTTGGATTTGATCCAATATTCAACTCCTTAAAATGAGGCGATCAAATTAAACATGTCACTTGATGTGCCATCCTAAATTTCATTGGAATGAAATGGACTGCCAATAGTGTGGACCTGCCTCCGTCCAAATTGAAGAGTTCAATCAATTATTAAGAACGTCATGCATAGTTGGATGAAAAAAAGTGTTTTTCAGTAACTGTTTATTCAGGCATGTTAACTTATGTATGCATACCCAGTGACAACGCAATGCTCATGCGTGATTTGCAAAGTACGATAACCACATGCTCACAATGGGTCTTTCGAGACATGATTTTCATTGCTGAAAATTTCTATTTGCTCAACCAATAATCAAAATTTTGCTTCGTAAAATAATTAAAGTATACTTGTGATTAAAACTAAGAAATGAATTTTTTTTACGCTTTAATAATTAATGTACAGACTTAAAATGGAAGGAAATTCCAATTATGTACATGTACATGCACATGCAGTCATTTATAGGGCTGTTCTACCATGCATGGTGGACTGAGTGACAACATTACATGCACGCACAGGCACAAATTTGAAATATTAAAAATATACCCAAATATAGAATAAATATTTTACACATTAGGATTTATGTAAATAAGGCACCCTTTCGAAAAGAATTTCACGTGTCACCCCATCTAAATATCTACTTTGGACCAGTCGGTCACGATTCCGACCATATGCCACCTGACTATAGTATAAGGACACATGATATAGAATACATCATCGTGAAATTGGCTTCTTTAAAAAGGTAAAACAAGAGTAAAATAATGTTGTGTTTTGAGTCGTATTACACCATGGAGGAATACCAATATGCTTCCTCCATGATTACACAGACGTCCTAGAACCTTGAGCATCAGTGGTAAAGCAATGAAGACGTCGTCCCATTAGGCACCTGACCAAATTGACACCTCTGATAAATTACAGTACAGGCCTTTTTTTTTTAGACTCACATGCGTCTTGTTCATGACGAACCATTCACGCATTTTGACGCTATTTATAACAAATTTTTGACACACCATTTTTTGATAACAACTCACCAATGACGCACGTATGACGGACATAATGATCGACGAACGAATCTGGATAGCACGGCATGGAACACGCACACTTTGTGGACATGACTTGTGTGGCTACCGTATTGTAATAACGATGTTTAATTTCCATTGCGACCCATGGGCACCAGTGGGGCCGGGGCGATGCGTCCGAGCGCATGCACTTCCAGCTGAGTTGAGAAGAGGAAACCAGCGAACCAATCGTGGCGATGGCTACATGTGCACCGCAACTACGCAAGCGCTGCCAGGGCGAAATTGCGAATCGAGTTGCGATGCTGAAACTTGATGATCGTTGGAAGCATTTTTGAATGATTTGTTCCCTCTTCTGATTAATATTCTAATCTGAATATAGTAACTAGAAATCCTGGAGCTAAACAAATATTTTGTTTGCAATATTTTGTACAGCGAAAAAATGGGATGTTAGCCGGGCCTTTCTGATCATGGTCTATGGGTTGGCCATAGGGTTAGGAACATACATGACATTGGCCCACGAAAATGTTCGCTTTGGGGGAAACAAAACAATGTTATTCAGCTCAAAACTTTTCGGGACAAAGTTTGAATTAATTTTGAAAACTTATTTAATTGGCAACAATTAAAATAGAAAATGTTAATATTTTTTGCTCACACTAACTAATGAAATGAATAAATAAATGGGGATAGACGATCAGCCTTGGCAAGTCGAGAGGTGGGTATTTTCATGTTATGCACAAATAGTGCATACATGCCATTTGTGTTACTTTCAGGTTGTTTCTTCCTCGTCATGGAAAATCAAAGATGTGCTTGCAGATTTTTGACCGAGTCGGAAATATATTCCAAACATCAGACTTAAATCAATCTTGCCAAATTTCCGAAATTCAAAAAGGGAACCTAGCTAGCTACATGCATGGAGCTATGACATCAGTTCCATTCTTGAAATCAACAACAGTATTAAGGTTTCTTTCAAGCAGGCCGCATTAATGTCAAATCCAGTGAGTGCATGAATCTGGAGGCCTTCGGAAATCATGGTTGCAAAACCCTAAATAATCCACTGCGATTAATGGCCGCTACTTATGTCCAAAAAATATCTTAAGGACAACACCACCCATGAACAACATTTCTCATGTAACATGAGCCCATGATGAGCCAAAGTGGCACTGCATTGACAAACCCTCAAAACGCTACTGAAATCCCCGCGAGCCAGCAAGCACTCTGCTGTGTCCGGAAACTGGACGCAGCTATATATTCATAAATGCATCCGATGTTCGTGGTTAAAATCTAGCGAGTTGGAAAATGAGGCCATATACAATTCGCAGTTTCACCCTGGCAGTGCTTGCAGTGCATGCATGAAGCCATCGCCACGATTGGTTCACTGGTTTCCTCTTCTCAACTCAGCTGGAGGTGCATTCCCTCGAACGCTCGCCCCGGCCCCACTGGTGCCCACACAAGTCATGAGCACAAAGTGTGCGTGTTCCATGCTGTGCTATCGAGATTCGTTCGTCGATCATTATGTCCGTCATACGTGCGTCATTGGTGAGTTCTTATCCCAAAATGGTGCGTCAAAAATTAGTTATAAATAGCGTCAAAATGCGTGAATGGTTCGTCATGAACAAGACGCAAGGGTGCGTCATTGGACCCCAAAGTTTGACTGTCCTGTGGACATTGACGCACATGCCCCGGGGGTCCGAGGGTACGTCTTACAATTGACAAGTGCATAAAATAATGACAACCCAATGATAACATTTAGGGCTGGGTAACTCCACTGTCTCCAGCTAGCTTTATTTAAAAATGGGCCTATAAAATGTTGCCGGCTGAGTGCGTTGCAATTGCATGGTGACGAAACATGACGCACCCCTACGCATCTCACGATGTGTTTGTGTCACACCAAATCGTACTTGACGCACCCCCTTCGTCGCGATTTGACTGACCATTTTAGAGACATGACGCACATGCCCCGGGGTCCGAGGGTGCATCTTACAATTGACAAGTGCATAAACTGTGGAGCGTTGAACTTCGGCTAGCCCAGGTTGGACGAAGTCTTCATTGCATTACGACTAACGTCCAGGACGAGAATTCTCTACATAAGACCACCCAAAATTTGGACCAGATTTTTGTTACATTTTACCTCGTTACAGAAGCTTATTTCACGCCTACATTTTCTATGTGTCCTTACCTATTGAGCCGATGGGTTCAGGAATTCCATATGTGATGCTGACCGACATTAATCAGGAAAATAAACTCTAAAGCAGCGTTAAACTTGTACGTGTTTGTAGTCTCTTTTCATCAGTTTATTCCCAGAGTCGTACGTCATGTACAATGTACGTGCGTATGAAAGCGCCCTCATTTGTTTAGTTTTGGTTGGAACCGTGACGTCACTCCAGCCAACCGATGTCACGAAAATGCTCAACCAATGACCAAAGCTGAAACGTGTTTCTGGTAACTGGTGCGAAAACACGCTCGGTCTTTGGATTAGCAACCGCGCATTCAAGTAAGTGCGCGTGCGTATGAGGGTGGTTACTAAGCAAATCGCGCGTGCGCACTGCATATTCATGCTGCATAGTCTGGCCCCTGGACCAGACGTGATATGAGCGTCGAGAATAATTGACCGGCCTAGGGAACCAGACTACACGCTGCACAGACGTACATCATGTACGACTAGAATAGACTCGGCGGTGAGAAACTGATGAAAAGAGTCTACAAACACGTACAAGTTTAACGTTGCTTTCGAGTTTATTTTCCAGATTAAGGTCGGTCAGCATCGCATATTGAATTCCTGAACCCAGCGGCCCAATAGATAAGGACACATAGAATACTACGACGTAAAAATTGGCTTCTCTAACAAGGTAAAAATATTGAAAATAACGGTCATAAATGTTTTCGCCCGGTTTTGAGCACTTCATACTCTGGACTCCCTCCGTTACGTAGGGAGGAAAGTAGCTGGAGTTACCCAGCCCTAAATTTTATCATTGAGTTGTCATCTAGGGCTTGAGATAATTTTTCACGTAACCCAGCAGCGTAGGCAGGTCCCAAAAAAATTTGTTCAATTTTGTCGCCGTTACACACTAATTGCAACTGCAACTCACCCCAAACTTGCCTGGAATAACCATTACACTGTTTCATGCACTATCGGTTGCCGTTCCAGTACCGCAGCTGTGATGGTAAACCTCATATTAGTGCATGAAACAGTCATCGGGTGTTACGCTTCCGCGTGACGTCATGCGCGCAGCTGGCAAAAACGACTAGTACCAGCGCGCTGTGCATGGTAATCGACCGCCATTCATTGTACACAATTTTTTTTTGTGCACAAACCAATTGCAGTCCTGGCCATGCCTGCAAGGTTGTCAGGTTAGTGGTTATTCCTCCTTTTTTCACTGCAATTGTAGGCTGAATCTTCATCATGGATCGTTTTTTACTTCAAGGACCTGTGTAATGGTTATTCCAGGCAAGTTTGGGGTGAGTTGCAGTTGCAATTAGTGTGTAACGGGGACAAAATTGAACATTTTTTTTTGGGACCTGCCTACGCTGCTGGGTTACATGAAAAATTATCTCCAGCCCTAGATGACAACCCAATGATAAAATTTAGGGCTGGGTAGCCCCATAAATGTGGCCTATTTACTGGACTGCCTCCGTAAACATAGGCCACACATCCACATGTACAAAAATCGTTTCGACGGAGCCAAATTTTGATTTTCACATTTAGGCTTAGTTTGTAGGTTTTTTTTGCTTTAGAAGCATACTCACCCTCTTTATAGGCTAATCAGAAAGTGCTGCCTTTTTCAGATGTATATTTTTCGTGAAATTTCCAGATTCATTTTTACACGTTTGCGTATCAAAATTTCAACATGAAATTTCACAAAAATTAGACATCTGAAAAAGGCAGCACTTTCTGATTAGCCTGTAAAGAGGGTGAGTATGCTTCTAAAGCAAAAAAACCTACAAACTAAGCCTAAATGTGAAAATCAAAATTTGGCTCCGTCGACACGATTTTTGTACATGTGGATGTGTGGCCTATGTTTACGGAGGCAGTCCAGTAAATAGGCCACATTTATGGGGCTAAGGGCTGGGTAACTCCAGCTAGGATGGAGGAAATGGAGTCCACCTGGGCTAAACTTCGGCATGTCCGAACGGAAACAGGACAACTCGTACGCGGACCAACTCGTAAGCGAGACAACTTGTACGCGGATTGGTCAACTTGTACGCGAGACAACTCGTACGCCAGCCAACTCGTACGCAGGTCAACTCGTACGCGGGCCAAATCGTACGCGAACCAACTCGTACGCCAGCCAACTCGTACGCCGACCGAAATTAGCAAATGTAAAGAAATTGAACGATGTTTACGATCGCCAAAAGTTTACCCAAAACAGACGCCAAAGTTAACTATTTATCACTGTCCGATTGTATGACTGAATGACTGTGATTGTAGCCATATGTATTTTCAACGATTTAAATTCCATAACAACAACGATGTACAAGTTTAAAAGTTTCAAAGATAAATTTAAATAAAAAACATGATCCATTTTGCGACCGATGTGTAGTGCAATGCTGCGGCATGCACTTCCAACCACACAGCTAGTGTGGAGAATTTGTCAAGACATACAACGATTTTATTTACACATAGCGCGGGGCCACTATAGCAGTGTATTGTTGGAAGTCTACAAATGCAGCGGACATTGTACGATTTAAATTCTCACTACGTGGCATTATGTCGTATAGCGTACGGTGTGATCAAAGATCGGACAGTGTGCGAGTGGTCCGGGAAAACAAATCATAACTTTACGGTTATGAGCAAAACAAGCTGATTTAAAAATGAACTAATTGGGACGCCTCAGTAACACAAAATAATCGGAGTAATTGCAGAATACCCCGCCACTCGGAAATACACCCCTAAAATGGCTACGCGGTTGGAATCACTGGAAAAGAAACAATTCAAGTCCATGCCAGCTACGCGGATACTGAGTAGTGAGTGGGGGTCCATTATTTGAGAACGAAGCAAGCAGTCACAAAAGGAATAAAGTTGCTGAAAAAAATTCGAAGTCCAAACCTTATCCTTACGCTAGTCTATACTCACACGTACGAGTTGGCTCGCGTACGAGTTGGCCCGCGTACGAGTTATCCCACGTACGAGTTGCCTCGTGTACGAGTTGGTCCGCGTACGAGTTGTCCTGCGTACGAGTTGGTTGCATACGAGTTGGCTCGCGTACGAGTTGACCTGTATTCGTCCGAACATACATGAAGTACGGAGGGTACCAAAGTTCAAAGCTCCACTCAGTAGAGCTAGACAAGTCGGTGTGTTAAGCGACTGCATAACAAGCGATTCGTGGATTTTATAACCATACCTGTTGGCTGTAATCAAAACGACCACACAAGTCAAAGAAGACGGATGACCAAACGCAGAAACGCTTACGCCGTCTGCAGCTAGCTTGCCGCCATGTTGACATGATTCAGCCTCGTCCCCAGGAGTTACTTCAATTTCAACTTCAGTACGCCCTTCAGTGATGCAACCTCGTCCTCAGTGCTTACTTTATTTCCAATTACCTCGTTGGCCGGCCACGATGACCGTTTTAGCTGATTTTCGGCTAACTTTGACAGATTTTTTTTGTAAAAATCGAGTTTGACAGATAATGACAGAATGAATTTTGTTGGCAGATTTTTAATTATGGCAAAATTCTGCAAAAATGGTTATTTGACAGAAAAACATAACGAATTTGAAAAAAATGAGTACATTTGTTAAAAAAAAACTTCAATCTTTTCAAACAAACCCTTGCATAATGGGACTAGGTTGGCTGGTGTAGGTCATGTAGGTGCTGATAAATAGTCGTGTTCCCTAACGTGGCGCACTTCGAAGCTTACTTAACTTTCCTTGCCAGTGTTGCCAAACCTCTTTGTTGACAAACCTCAAATTCATGCAGTAAAATACTAGTACTTTTACCTTATTAATGCTTGCTATTTAACCTCTGTGAACAATTTCGGTTTCATAAAATTTAATCGAAAAATCAAAGTGCGCCACGTTGGGGGCCGCGCCGCCACGTTAGGTACATCAACAAAACTGGACTTCGTCATGGCGCAACGTCTGCATTTTGCCAAATTATTAACGCAATTTCATAACATCTAAGTTATGTGACCATAGATTTGTTTTATGTAATTTGAACCTTAATTAAGGCAATTCTACAAATCTGCATGTGATTTTAAGTGCTTTTATAGTTTTTTGAGTAATTGTGGGATTTGGCAGATTTTTGAAAAATCTGACAGGTGTTTGAAGCGTATTTAGCAGAATTTGGCTATGACCTTACGGTCACCCTACTGCCTGTTGTTTGGCCGGCTACACATAACACATGCACACCGCTGCGCTGCACTGCACTAGCACTGCGCGCTATATAGCGCCAGCGCTACATCAGCGCTCAGCATACGAGCACACGACCGCTACATGTAAGTGCGTAAAAACCGTATGTAAGTGCGTAAAACCGTACCGAATTAAACGCCCTGTTGATGTCATGGATGAGTAAATATTAACACGTCGTCATGTATTGTGGGCCTTCTCGGGTTCTGACGTGTCTGATTTTGTTTGATTTAATGATCAGATAAATGGTCATTGATTGCAGTTCACACAAGAAGATGCCTCCCCAGCGCTCTCGCGTTTCACTTCGCCTGGACATGAACGTTGTCTCGACCATGTTGACTAACCTTATCTTGACAATCACATTCATCTCATCAGCTTTCATCCAGTCCTCAGCTGAAGGTAGGGTTAGGTCTGCTATGTGCCATAATTTAACCCATGATTGGGTCTAGTATGTTGGTTTCTCTCTCATTTTTTCCTTTACCATAGACTTGTGTACGCTAGTTACTTTTACTTAAAGGGAAAATACAACATTTGCAAACATCAAAAAATAAAACTACCAAATTATTTTGAAATACCTTGACTGTTAGTGAATGACAGTGTAAAGCATCCTGGTAATCCTTACTTTTAGGACCCCTTTCCTATATAAGGTTAAAAGACTCACCAAAACAGCTGACTATGACACTCAAAAGTGACATTCTGATATTTATTGACACATTTGAACATTTGGCAATGACACCTCTTGAATATCAGCAGGTTTAATTTTGTAGAAAGAGGGCAGGGTTTTGATTTATGAGGGGTTAAAGACGACGATGACAAACAGAAAATAAATTTAAAAAGCAAGATGGCGAACTGCAAAAAAGGTAGGAAAGTCACATTTTCTTTGAAAGTGCTTCCAAAATTATAACTAACATGAGTTTGTCTGAAGAAAAAAGACTTCTTTAGCCTGCAAAAGTCACTTTGGTACTGGACAGTCATCTGCAAAAGTCAGTTTTGAACAGAACTCGTACAAAATAGAGGTGTCTAAAAGTAAGGATTACCAGCATCCTGTAAAATCATGACACCTGGTAATACTGTCATTTTTAAGGAAAGTGGTATTTTTGTATCAATTTCCATCGCTGATCGGCCGACCAGCGTTGGAAAAAAACTGGCTTTTTCCCCCCAAATACTGGCCCCAGTTGACCCACTTGTTTGCAATCGATTACACACATTTATGAACGGGTACAAGCCAGCTAGAGGGGTTCCTAGCCCCACTAGTGTGGCCGTCGGTATGCTGCGCTGAACCTAAGGCCACACACCGTGGTCCGCGCACTACTGAGGACGTTTTCATAAAATTTGCAGGGAATTTCTTACATATGGTTGTATTCTACGATGTCCCATCTATCACTTCTGGGATGCTTAGGTGTAATGATGTTCAATTTTCCGAGATATTCTTGAATCTTTCTGGAGCCCATATGCACTCGTGAAACGTCCGGTGATGGCAGCCATTTTGAATGTGACAAGAGATGACCTCAAGCTGTGACGTCGCGTTTATGCAAATTGCTTGTCAAGCGAGGGCGCGAGTTGCAAATGCGACGGCTGTTTCCTGTATAGTCGGACTCCCTATTATCGCGGCATCCCTATTATCGCGGCATGGGAAATTTCTCTTTTTACAGTGTCAAAATTCCTTCAAGTGGCGATTTTTATCCAGTTCACCAGTCATCAAGGATTTTCTATCGAGTTGTATAAAAAGGACGATTAAAAAATGTTGTGTCTTTCGGGACTTTTAACGATTTTAATAAATATTAACGTTTTCCAAAACTTGCAAAATTTTCCCTCACCGTGTCTGCTAAAAGGTACGTTTATATTTTAACATAAATCTTTAATTGCGCTCTGTCCGTGAAAGTTCCATTGTCTGGTTCCCATTCTTCAGCTGCAAATGTAAAATGAAGTCGAACGACGATATTTGCAGCGCGAAATCGTAACAACTTTTACGGGATCAAAATAAGCACCGCCCGTTAGCGAAAATAAAACGGCACACCGTGTAAAGTGAATGGCGCCCTCAATCGCTGATCAGTAGACTTGCCTCAGGGATTTGTGTTCTCCTTTAGGGGGAAGGGCAGGGTCTTAAGAAATCATCCTGCAGACATTTTGTCTTTAATCAACTTGAACGTTACAGGGAAAATATCAGACTTTATTCAGGGGTGTTTTGGTCAAACATAAACTATGAACAAAAAAGTTGGGATCATTAACAAAAATCAATTCCCGCATACCGCGATAATAGGGAGTCCACCTCCGTTCGCACACGCCGCGCATGTATATTTTCACAGCCATCGTACACGAAATAAACCACACCACCGTCGGATTTTTTTATATTAATTTAAAAAGGAAGAGTTATACTTCACATAAGACAGGACAATTCTGGAAGGTTAGTGGGCAATCTCAATTCCGAACGAGAAACGTGATAAGTACCGCGATAATACGGCGTTCCATCCTACCATGCATTTATCGTCTGGGGGCCACGTGCACTGATTTCTATTCAGGATCTACGGCACAGGAAACAGCCGTCGCATTTGCAACTCGCGCCCTCGCTCGACAAGCAATTTGCATAAACGCGACGTCACAGCTTGAGGTCATCTCTTGTCACATTCAAAATGGTTGCCATCACCGGACGTTTCACGAGTGCATATGGGCTCCAGAAAGATTCAAGAATATCTCGGAAAATTGAACATCATTACACCTAAGCATCCCAGAAGTGATAGATGGGACATCGTAGAATACAACCATATGTAAGAAATTCCCTGCAAATTTTATGAAAACGTCCTCAGTAGTGCGCGGACCACGGTGTGTGGCCTTAGGTTCAGCGCAGCATACCGACGGCCACACTAGTGGGGCTAACTGGTTCCCTGACCTTACAATTCCCCAATGTATGTAAACTGCTCTGTTTCTTCTTAAATGGAGTCAGGGAACCAGACTACAGGAAAATGATTGATTTTCTTGGTTTTTATAGCATTTTCGAACCCAAAACCTCAAAAAAGTCAGTGTTACTATATTTACTATATATTTCCAACCCCCCAATTCCATCCATTTCTGAAAATTACAGCAAAAGCAAATGATGTATATTCCCTTTAACTAGACCCTGTTTGTTCGATTTGGGGTAGACCTAGCTCTACTGACGACTGAGTGGAGCGTTGTTTGTACGGAGGGTACTGTTAGGGTGGTCGGCACTTTTGGGGTTTTTTGGTCCAAATATTACAAACTTGGTATCATTAGAAAGAGCTTCCAAAAAGAAATCTAATGGTACCAATTATAAGTTTATATCTTAAAGTATGGTGAAGTTATAGCCCATTAAAGGGGCAAGTCCAACCATAATTATTCTGTCGGCATGGTGCGGGGTGTAAAATTAAAAAAAAATAATAATCCAAATCCCCTCAAAATATTTGAGAAAGGTTTGGAAAACAATTTCAAGTTCATTTAGATGAGATCATATTATCCTAAATTTGTAATTGTATTCTCAGGCCCTCTTTATGGTACAAAATGTAGTCCTTTAGCTGGTATGTGTAAATTTCCTCGGATCTCTCATATTTGAGGTTGATTTGAACCAGGATGGGAATCCAGGGACCTGGAAACCTTGCATTAACATTCACCCAACTGAGTGTTGAAAGTATTATACGGCCAAAAAAAGGGTTTTTAACTTAGCAAAAGTATATCTTTAAAGTATGGAAGTATTTGATGACGGACAACATTTCTCCAATATGTAGGTTCCAGTGGGAATTAACTTTATATTTATTTTGTCCCCTTTTTTTAGGCCTTATGCAGAGATGTATATTCAAAAATAATTTAAAAAAACATTGAATCTTGCTCTTCATTATACATTGTACTCAGAACAGTCTGGTTAGACTCTGCATGGACTAAACATATTCAGGAACTAGAAGCCTAGGGCAAAAAAAAGCAAAGACAAAAATAAGCTAATTTTATTATGTTTAATGCAAATTTAGTTCAAGTTTGGAAAATATTCAGAAACAGTTGAAATATTACTATATTATTTTTTTAGCAGAATTGTATATTTGTATAATGTAAATTTCCCCAATAAAGCAATCCACCAAAATTTACCCCAGTAATCACAGCATTGAAATATTATTGCTTCATGCATGCATAAAGCAGGGAGGAAGAAATAGGCAACCATTGTGACACCGCCGTGCGCCATATTTTAATCACCTTGCTGAAGGCACTCCGACAACAAAACCCCCAGCGTCAAAAAGCGTCATGGGAAACATAACAAAAAAACTAGTCACACAAACTCCTGAAATTCCACCCTTTCAGAAACTACCCCTTTTTTAGTCTTTCATGATCTCCTCATGTGAGATTTTTAACGATTTTTCGGCCCAAAAATCATGACAATCTGTACCTTTATTTCTGAGTGAAACGTGAGTGAATGTCACGAGCTAAAAACAAGATGACCGCTCCGAGCGCGACTGCGATCACAACTTCCCAGAAATAAACATCGTTTTCAACAGCAGATTTCACGATTTCGAATATGGCGATCATCCAAAACAAATATATCATTGGAAAGATCCATCATTTCTCTCTGTATTCATCTCATCAGAGAAACTGTTCTAGTTTCAAAAAAAGGTTAAACTGCGCCAGTTTGAAACACACTTTCGCACGCAAATAGATACAAATGAAGATCGACCCCATTGCGCCGACCTCCCTAGTACTGTAGTTCAACGCTCCACTCAGTAGAGCTAGGGTAGGCCTAATCCTTATCATTAGGACAACTCTATTTTTTACGAGTTCTGTTCAAAACTTACTTTTGCAGATGACTGTCGAGTACCAAAGTGACTTTTGCAGGCTAAAGCAGTCTTTTTTCTTCATATAAATTCATGTTAGTTGTAATTTTAAAAGCACTTTCAAAGAAAATGTGACTTTCCTACCCTTTTTTGCAATTTGCCTTCTTGGTTTTTGAGTCAGTTTTCTGTTCGTCGTCGTGGTGTTTTTCCCCTTAATTTCCCTCTAAAGTCAAAGCCCTGCCAGCCACTTTCCACAAAATTAAACCTGCTGATATTTAAGAAGGTGTCATACTGTTCAGATATGGCAAGAAATATCAGAATGTCACGTTTGAGCGTCATTTAGTCAGTATTTTTGGTGAGTCTTTTAACCTTACATTAATGGGGTCCTAAAACAAAACTAAGGATTACCTGATTTAAGCTTCATGTGCCAACAAAAGAGGCCACGTTTTTACCACTTTTGAGAGCCCCTTCGTGTGCATACTGTGTTTTTATATTCTACATCTACAGTGTACTGGTTCGTGCGCATTTAAGCCATTTAATATTGATTTTTAGGTTTCATCACTCAGATTGAAAAAAAAGTATCAGTTGGGAGGGGAATTTATGTCATAAATCCCAAGTTTTCACATCCAAAGTGACTTGAGGGGGCCAAAGTCAAGTGTTATGTGCTTCCGTGATGCCATGTTAACATGTCTAATTTTGGCGATCGTTAAGTGTAGCGCCCCTGTTTTGTTTTGATCAAATTAGAGTAAAAAATGTTTTTTTATTGCTCAAAAATCATCTTTACAATCAAAAGCAGACTTTTCTCAATTCTAATGACACACGTTTTGCAATTTTGAACAGATTCTTGGGGATTATCGGGTCGCGTGTTGTTGCCGCGCTGTCATCGTCATTTTACCCCCAAATTTCCCTCAAAAAATCAAAACCCTGCCTATATCTATGACATACCTGTTAATTGAGAATGTCGCCAACTACATGTAGTTTGGTAGGTCCAATAATTTTAAAGTGGATTTTGTTCCCTTATAGGAACCGGGCCCTACACTACATGATCGCCCTAATTTTGAAGACAGGTGAAACTATGAGTCTTCCAAATGTCTTCGGGTATGATTTGGACATGCATCACGCTGGCTCCCGCCCCTTTCATTGTCGTTTCTGTTATGTCTGACAGGAACCAGTGTTCGCGTAATGCATGCATGCCGCATGCATTAACATGTGTGTGCCATGTGCCATGCGAAGCAAAATCTGCTTTTAAATATCATGTTGAAAAAACAGAAATGCCCGAGGATTTGTGAGAAATTTGTCTGAAAAAAAATACACTTTATTGGAGAAAATACACACTTTAGAAAAAAAAATATAAAATAGTTGAAAATCAGGGCAGGCGTGAAAATCAGGGTGGGCGGTGATGAAAACCTACAAATCAATTTTAAATGCAATTTATGCTGTAAAGCTCAGAGAGCTTACTGTACACACTTGTATCTTGCTGCATGGACGTACCGGTGTGCTAGCAAATTCAGAGATTTAAATTTAGGGCTGGGTTTCTATAAACGGGCACCTGGGTACCCGCGTTTTTTCATAAATCGGGCACCCGATTCCGGTACTACCTGTAGATGCACACCCCTACTAACAATTCAGGTAGGTTTGGGTAACAATACCTGTAAACTACAATTTTTTCTTAGCCTTAGGGCAATTCCATGCAAAAGAGGACATAGCTGAAAAGTGGAAAATTAATGAAATCTTCAGAATTACATGCATCAAAACCTTGAATGTAGTATCGAATAAAAGGGGACAACAAGTCCTTTCATTTGAGTGATGTGGCAGTAAGTGAGATGGAATATGGTCAAATATAGTGTTTTTGTCAGGGGGTGGGGCCAGTGTTATTATGAGTTTTGGTTTTTAAGGCAGAGAGCAAGGTTCATTTGCTATGCCTAAAGAGTTTTTTGGGTTTGACTATTAGATTTTTATTTAGTTTTATTAGTAGCAAAGATGGGCTGACGAGCTGTAATGTGAGTTACCGTAATGTGAGTTACCGAAATATATCTTGCTAGAGATTACATGATTGATGATTTTATAATAATTGTACATCATATGACTGACATCCTAATGATATAAGGGCACTGAGAAGGTTCTTCCAACAATGAGGAAACTTTCAAATGCAAGGTATTTAAAATTTAAATTTTTGCCAAAGAGAGTAATTTTATTGGCCTCTCTTTTTTTTTTAGTGTAGTCACTTAATGTTACAGGGGTCTTCTATGAGAAAAATCCACCCTAAATGTTCTGACTTTATAACTTAGTAAGTTCTAACTTACCGAGTTGATGGAAGAAACCTCCCCCCTCCCCCCTTTAAACATAACGTGAATTACCATGGAATTGAATTGTCGATGTTTGCAAGTTAGCCACACCCCTTATACAAAGCTATCAAATTTTGTACGTTAAATTTTGTTTGTCTCAGATTTTGCGCGTTCAATGTCCATTTGTATATCCTGTAATTAAACATTGAAAATACTTAACAAGCCAAATTCAAAAAGCGGGGTACATGTATATCTGTATACTCGCGCTTACATGTACATCAAAACAACGCATTTTAAAAGCTTTTGTACTTTGTTTTTCCACTTTTTAATGCTGTTGAATACATTTTGGTTGTTGGAATGTTCAAACAATACCTCGTAATCCTCACTTGTTTTTCTCATCACGAAAAGTGTGGGAAGGGGGATGATTCAATAGCCCCTCCTCCCCCCCCCCCCCCCCCCCCCCCCCCCCCCCCCCCCCCGGTCTAAGAGTGGGGGGATCCTTTTGAAGGCCCGTCCTTTTAAAAAGTGGATTTTATAAATCGTATTATTTGCCTGACCAGGGTTGTTAATAAAGATTTTGTGTATTACAGTTGTTGACAGTTGTTGAAAAATTTTCTTTGTTGTTCCAAACAGTCAGAATGCAGACTTAATAAACCTCTGCTTTTTTGAACGAAATAGGTTTTAGGGTCATTGTGTTTAAATTGTGATATTCTTTGAACGGATTGAGCAATTTTAGGGGTTTTTATCTAAAAGTAGCTTATGAAATGGGCTTTCCAGTCGTTATAATGTTTGGTGCTAGATATTTTTTAAAATATGAAATATAATTTTTGGGTTTGGGTTCTGCTTTTTTTTGTTCTCACCCTGTGATATAAACAAGGAAGCAGTTATATAGATTTCCATTACATTTCTTCCATAAGCTGCCAAAAAACTCAATAAGACTTTTAGCCTTCACAATGTTTTTTCTTCCCTCACTAGATGGAGTTCCTACCTACTCTTTGTTGGAGAATCTTGCACATACCAACCTATATTCTGTCAAGTATGATGAGGCAGCTGCAATGCACGGGCATTCCTCCAGATACAAGCGACAATCTTCACAGGACACAACTACTCCTCATTCAATGATTATAGATGAGGTCAGTTATGGGATTCCTTACTTTCAACATTTTAAATCATATGTATCGTTCTATACATCATTTTGAATTTTAAATATTGAACATGTACATGTGAGGGTAGTAGTAAGCAACTGGGGAACAAAATTAGAAACCTGAAAAAAAATACTGCGATGGGGAAAAAAACCCAAAACAGCGCCATACATTATGTAATGAGTGACAATGATCGTCAGGTTATAACATGCATTAATTTTTAGGATTTATTAGTTCACTTGACAATAATACGCAGAACAAGTAACATGGACCATAATTTTGAGGTGGATTGTGACTTGTGGTTATGATGAGCTACATGTACATTGTAGGACCACCATCACCCTACCCATCACCACATTCTGTACATGTATCCATAATTTAAGTTAGGAATCAACTGCTGTGCAAGAATTTACCAACATCAATTTCTGTCAATGCCTTATCACACCACGCTCTCAGCCAGGGCATAAACGATTATTGCTCTCTTCCATTACATGTGCCTTTGCCTATCGCCATCAACGTCATGTACAAATTTTATGCTGCTCTGAGGTAGCACATCTACTGTGCCTTTGTTACTGATGTCAAGATTATCTGCAGGCTACGTACACATACACGTGTGTACACCTTCTGAAATTACTGCAGTGTATGAATATTGTGTTTTTATCGTATATTCTGAATCTTTGACTTCAAATTATTGTGTGTTTTTTATTTACAGTCGATTAGTCAATAGACTATGGTCAGACCATTTTTTTTTCATGCCTTGTTCAGGGCTCATGCACTCATCCCTAATTTTTCCATTGTTTTTTTTTTTTTCTGGCATTTTGTCAATCACAGGCGGTGTTTCAGATTTTTTACTATGACTGTACATGTACCAATGATTTAGTCATGCATGACAATAGTTGCCAGTTTTTGTCCTGCTGATTTGTTGTCCAGAAAAAAAAGAGATAAGTGATGTTTTTCAGCACCTGGTATGTGGAGTGCATGAGTGTTATGTCAGTGGCATAGATGTCGTGTAATCTCACTCAGGATTGATGTTCACCTAAATATATGATATGCATTGTATACAACATCATTTGGAGAGATGAGATGCATTTTTACATCTGCCAATGCAGAATTTGCCAAATTGTTTTTATTTAGAACACTTGCAATTTACAGTTGATTATTCAATCACACCCATGCACGTATTTCACTGATTGGAATATTATCCATACGCAGAAAGGAAGTCATCAATACTACAATTCATCATACTTTTCTGAAGACACCAAGCACTACATTGATTTAGAAACAGAAGAATCCTTTACTGTGATTCCACACTGGAAACTGTCTGAAAGCCACCTAACTGCAGCGGTAAGCCTTTCAAATCTTGAGAGAGTCTTATATGTATACCATCCAATGATATCAAATCCTAGCCTTGTTTATTCAGGTATCAAACTGTTGTATAATGTCCTGATTTTCTCAGATCATGCATTAAATCCTGTCATACTCTGTAACGTTTCTAACGTTTGTTTTTCTGCTGGAAATGTAACACTGTGCTACTATATTTTTTTTCTGCTTGTTTTATCTCAATTTTGTCTAGCAGTGACTTACCCTAGCTTGTGTCTGCAAAAAAAATGGTAATATTTGAAATACTTCAAATGTTTTGTTTGCATACAGGTGGTAACACTGCCTTTCACGTTTATGTTCTATGGCCACAATGTGACAAAAGCCTACATAGCAACCGGAGGTGAGTCATCAAGTCATTGTCATTCATATAGTGCTTCACAATAGACTTGCCTTTGGCCTTAAAACTAAATACTATTATAATTTATCCAAACGTTTCCTTTTTAAACTGCATGGAATTGATATGCTGGCTGTTGTTTGGCTACCAAATGCGTTTGATTTTAATGTGCCTCATGCATCTGAAAATAGATGCATTGTGAACTGAACATACTTGTATGTTGAAAAGATTCATCTTTGGCAATAGAGAGTGTGATTTATCCACATGTTATTTGTTCATCTCCAGAAATTGTGATTTCATATTGTACATTAAAAATTGTGGCATTAGAAATGTGAACCACACATTGTACCCATTGCATTGATGTATTTTGTTGCCTATTTTCCATCACAGGTTTTGTATACCTTGGCACAGTTTTTCATGAGTTGATAGCAGCAACGCAATATGTAGCTCCATTGATGGGTAACTTTGATCCTAGTATCAATGATTCTGCTATCATAAGATATGCCGATAATGGTGAGTTTAATGCCATTGTGCATGTGCAAGTTATTCGAATAAAACTAAAAGAACAATTCTATAACACACAATGTGCAATGTGACCTGTCATCACAAAATGAGTGTTAAGTTGAAAAAGCCAACATTTGAAGAGGTGGTCGATTTTTGGAGTTTTGTTTTTAATATGCACCTCCGATCTCCAATCTCGCCCACCACTAATGCAAGTGTTATTGTGAGTTGTTTCTTTTGAGGGAGAGTTTTTTTTTAAATTATGAGTTTATATATGTTTTAACTATATAAACCAAAGATGGGTGAACAAACTGTAACGTGAGTTTACCACAATACATCCCTCTGGTTATTTTATGATTAATTTAAAAAGTGGTACATGTAGCATATGACGTACACCCTAATGATGTCAAGGCTCTGGAAACATTGTTTCCATCAGTGATCAGTATGAGGGAACTTGCAAATGTATGGAATTTAGATTTTAACCATTTCAAAAGTTATCGCCAAACCAACAGAAGTTTATTTTATTGGCCTTTTTCTTTGGGTAGTTTAGTCACCTCATCATTTCAAGGGATCTTCTGTGAGAAAAAAAGTCCACCCTATTGCCCTAAATGACTTTGTAGAGTAACTGCACAGAGTTGACAGAAAACCTCCTTTATTAACATGAGTTACATTTACCATGCAATTGCCCATTAAAACGTGTGCTGAAGTTTCAATAGCTAGAGTGTCTGTCACTTGGGATGAATATTTTCATCATGAATCAAGCAAACCTCGTCTATTCAGAGATTGGCGGCATACCCTGCCATCAACTGTCCAGTTTAATGACCACCTTTGGATCATTTCATTGTTGTGTTTTGATATGCAGGCACGGCATTTACAGTGGAATGGAATGGTGTTCATGTGCAACATAATATTGAAGGTAGGACCATTAACCACATAGATACAATCAAACTTAATGATCCATTAACCAAATAGATACCATAAAACTTCATGATCTAATGGGTGAACGTGGTACGTTTTAGAATAGACAAAGAATACAGATTTGTTTTTGAGAATTGTCAGCTTTATTGTAGTTATAGTCCTTATTCAAGGGTGGGCCATATTAAATTGAAAGCGAGGTAAAAGCTTCACTTTGGGAACTTGAGAATAGAAATGAAAGCAATGAAATAAAGTAACATGTAGTTACAAATTAATACCAGTCTGCTCTGATGAATAATTGAAAATGTGCAATTAATTATACGCTAATATTTTCTGCCACATTATAAAAACAAATTGAAAGTGAGGCTTGGAAAGCATAAGTAGTCTGGCACCATCCCATTCAACAGTTTACAAGGCCTGTTTACACATACGTGATTTTGTGAACACACAGGCTTTGTGAACTAACAAATACGCGATTTTTTTAATTAGCTCAATAAGTTGCACGACTTTGTCGCATCAATGTAAACATGCTAATTGATTTGTGCATATTGTATATAAATACTTGTGACATTACCGCACGGCAAATTCGCGTATGTGTAAATAAAATTCAGGGAACACGATCACAGATGGCTTCAACGTGAATAAGGTCTATTGCATTATTTGTAGGAACCAACCATATTAATGAGAAACCATGGCATGCATTGCACTATCTGCATACAAGTCTAGATATAGCATGTGTCTATTACATCTGACATAATTCTGAAGCACTCCTTACAGTAAACCAAATGGCAAACAAATACAAAATACTTTTCATAAGTCATTCTTCGTCTATTGACATCTTATATATACCTTCATTTGGTTGCCAAGGGAGAAATCGCATTAGTTGTGGCACTGTCCAATTGGTTTAAAGGGATTTTTCTGTCATGGCACATTATTAAATAACCATGGTGTTACATTTTTTAGCAAAGTGCTTTTTCTCAGTTCGAGACAATCAGTCCATACACACTACTGATACTACAACAGTGAACAGTTTTTGCATGCATGTTTTTCCACATCACTGCTTGCAAACTGACTTCATACATTTCAGATGCATTTACTGTTATCATGCGGGTCATTCTATTTCCTGTCCCTGTTGCCTTGGCACGTTGCCATCCAAATATTATGAAGAATGAATTATGAAAAGGATTTTGTATTTGTTTGCCATTTGGTTTACTGTAAGGAGTGCTTCAGAATTATGGCAGATGTAACAGGGACTGGAAAAAAAGTGAACCCGAAATTTATATCATGACCCATGCTGCAAATGCCACGTTTATTATTCAGGGAATGAATGTGTGCTTGGCCGGTTTTATACACTATGTTTAAGACCTGTTGGATGATGATAATTACCCTTGCCTTCGGCCAAGTCATTATCAGCGTCCAGACTCCAACCGGTCTTTAACAAAGTGTTTAATACCGACCAAGCCCATATTTATTCCAGTTCATAATACCTTTTCAGTCAAAAAAGTCAAAAATTATAAATTTCCAACAATTTTGTTCTACAATTTTACTTCACGTTTTTTAAACACCCCTCTAGCTATATTATGGTATGTCCCTCTCTCGGGGAAAGTCATAAACTCCTTATATGGAGATTGAAGCGCATACTGCGTAATGTGGCACAGACCGCAGCTGCGTCAGTGTATTGTGAATTTGGGACTATGAAATACTGACTCACTGGTAGTATTGTGCATGCCTACGTGAGGATTGTTCAACCAATAAAACGGTAAAAGGCACCGGATTTCATGGAAGTCCAAATTCATGTGGCACTAGAAAAGTGTTTAAGACTAGCCAGCCATGTCTTTATCAACCTTTTCAAATTGGCCACCGGCTCTAAACCAGTAGGAATGGGTAAATTGTCTTAGGTATTTATGAACATTGTTTTATCCTCTCACTTAATCAATGCATGTCCTTTAAATTATTCCATACTGTTAAACCTGATACATACTTCACGCGAAAGCAAGTGCAAAGCAAAATTCATGTCGTCAACAATGGTGGACGCGCTTTGAACGCATTGTTTCGCATGAAGTATGAACCGGACTTAACTTGGTAAGCAACCTTCCATAAGCGCAAGAGAAGCTATACTGCTTACTGGGTGTCAATGTCAAATTGCCAATACATCAGGCAAGCAGATTCAGCCCCACCTTCAACTGCAATTGCATATGGGATACTACCAGCTGATTTAGGTATTTTTGAAAGTAGACACCGTGAATAGCAAATAAATCCAGAGTCCCTTGTGGGGAGGGGGTATGTTCAGTCATTGTTGAGGTATTTTTAGTCAGAAAGGTAAAAATTGGGATACGGTTTTTTTTCGTTTTAGATTTGATATTTAGCTGTAAATGATGTCTCACCATGTTTTTGTAATGCAAGATTGAACTTATTTGCAAAAGAAGCCGCTGGTGTGTGATTTCTGTTATACATTTAACACACTTTGTGGATCTCACTTTCATTGATAATTAGCATCTCTCCATTATTATTGCATGCTAAACTTAGTTAGTTACCATTACCAACAGTCCAATCACCTACATGAATGAAGTAAGGACTGGGACCAATCAAATTCAACATGAAGCAGGCAATCAGTACTCAACATATATCACTCACCTACATGTACAGCCAAAGAGCAGTCACAGCCAGTCTGTCTTGCTTGTGTAGACCCAGAATTCTGGATTGATTTTAGCTTGAAGTACGTCTTGCATATTTCTAACCATTTGCACTACTTCTTTGCCTTGTCTAACATTGCTTGTGTCATGCAGCTGGAAGCTTTACTTTTCAAACCACCCTCATGAAAGACGGTCGCATAATATTCGCCTATAGACGTGTAAGTTACCCATTTTAAAATTTGACCATATTCCATTTGGTAACATTATTGCCTATGTGTCATGGCATTGTTTATTGGTTGTTCAAGGATTTGAAATGATTTGAATATTGATTTCAATAGTTTTGGTATGTGGGGGAGGGCACCTCTGCCGCCTGCTTGCAGGCAAGTTGCCCGGGATCAGCCACTTTGAAAGGCAAGAATATATTCACAGAGATGAAACTTTTCCGATTTTAATCGGAAATCTGACTTTTGAATTTTCCAATGAAATTTCCGATTTTCTTACAATGTGTCCCACAAAATTTGATTATATGACGATTTTTTCACAAAATGTCATTTTATTTCAAACATAATGTCGAAGAAAAGTCGATGAAAAGTCGATGGAAATGGCACATTTAAATCTTCGCGAACGTAGTTGTAATCTCTTTCACCAGTCGTTATTGGTTTGTTTCAACGGTAGAAACACAGGCCATAACACTGATCGGACTCTTTTCCAGCTGGACAAAAGGTTAAACATTGACAGGTGACATGAAAAAAATCACTGTGTCGCACGTGCGTGCATCTATGTACAAAGATGATATGCAATGGTACCAGCGTACGTACCGTACCGCACCGTCCGCTATCGCTAGCAGATGACCGGTCAGGAACGGGTAGCCTTGTGAACGATCATTATGTTGTGCAATTTTCGGAGGTTTCAGATTTAGTTGTTCAAAATGCAATGCTTTAAAAATCATGATGATTATCTCGAGGATAGTGAAGAGAGCATTAGCGAAACATTTCGCATTTGTTGGAAGAGAAAGACGATAATGCCTGATTTTTCCCCACGTACAAATGCAAGTGGGGTTGAATCATGGACATGATTGAAGCACCATGAACGGTGCCCTTGTCTTTCGGACTTTTTCCTCGCCTTTCTCAAGTAAGAAGTGCACATCTTTGGTGATGACTCCATTACTCTAACCGTAATTCAGGCGTTTTATGCAATGAAAACACTGACCTTTTTTTTTCATCGTAAAATAAAGCAGGAGTTGGTGTCCGGAAATTGGGCATGAAGTGTATTGTACATGCATGTACATGTGTGTAACTGCAGCGCGGCCCAGATTTCGGACACATATTTTTGTTCGGTCTATTTTCCGATTTTTTTGCCATATGCCAGTTTCATCTCTGTATTCACAGAGTGTGAAAATGTTATAATATAGCCCTAACCCCCGGGGCCTTTTTGTTTCATCCCCAATCCTCCAAAAATGCACATGTGCTAAACACCATTCATCCTCAATCCTCCAAAATCCTCCAAAACCATCTTGCAAACATATTGATGATTTGATGAAATATTGAATGAAGATTTTTTTCGTCGTGAAGAGTGTTTTTCTCATTGATTCAATGCTTGATTTGTATCTATTAGATCCCTACTTCTCCACTTGCTATTGGTGGTGGTAACGGCCACAAAGTAACTGTTGGTGTTTCCGATGGATTCTATGTTGAAGGTATGTCACTTCACAACCATAGCTCTTTATTTCATTCATGTTGCATTAGTACCCGTACAATGTCATTTGGTGGTGTTGTGTTTCCATCAACACTAAAAAAACAGCTGATCAAATTTCTACCTATAATTTCCTTGTGCATCAATGTTTTTTAAAGAGTGAACAGTAAACTCTGGCTAAACCGACATCGTACAATTCGTCAAATCGCTCAAGTCGGCCGTCTGACTAAAGTCCCGATTGTCTGTAATGCATTTCCATTGAATTTTTTATTTCTAAGTCGGCTTTTATACATGTAAGTCGCTATTTCGCTCCAGTCGTCGTGTTACTCTCGGTCCCCTTTCCATAAAAAGCATTACAAAATCCGATGTGTAAGTCGGCATTCAAAAAATCATGCATTGGCATGGACTTCCTGTTTTGCGGTTGGCAAGAAGTGTCGAGTGAAGAGTGGTTTGGCGCGGCCCGTGATCGCTGCATGCATCGGTGTCGAAAAAGGGTGTCCTACTGCATACATCGCATATATGCATCATGAGCATATCAATTATCAGTACCCCCTCAAGTCTTTACGCATGCGCTCTGTCCATTTTGGGGGTAGTATAGTCTTATTGAATGACTAGTGCTGCAGTCAATGCGTGCGTTGCATAGCGGACCACGCACGCATTTAATTTGCTACTGCGCACGTTCATAATTATGTATACACCTGGTCTCAACTATCAATACCCCAAACGTGATGATACAATTCGAGGATTAATTGGCTGGATTCATCTCAAGCTTTTAGGAGATAAACCAGGGTAAATCAAAGCCAATTAGTGCAACAAATCATGTGTGCAAAAGGTCTGTAAATCTGCAAAATGATGACTTACAGCAGATGTCGGCATTCGCTAAGTTGTCACAAATTCTCGGGTCCCGAGACTGCCGACTTCACCACAGTTTACTATATATTGTGCTGGCCAGTAAACCAAAAGTAGATCTGCAATTGTTGTAGTTTGTTTTATCTAAGGTTTACATGGTTTGTAACATTTAGATTTTGTGAATGCAAATGTCTTACAAGTTTGAGTACACTTGTAAGACCGAACATCAGGCCCGTCACCAGCCCTGAGCATCAGGGGGGCCATAGTACCAACTAGGGGGGCCCACTACTGTAAAAATACAAAAATATACATGTAGGGCTTTTGCTGTTGGGGGGGGGGGGGCCAATTGCTCGCCAAGGGGGCCCAGCCCCACCAGGTCCCCCCCCCCCCCCTTGACGACGGGCCTGCCGAACATATTGGCCTACACGGAGTTGAATGGATGACTCCTTGGTCAGTTCTGTCTTGAATTTGTAAAGCTGACAATCCAATTGATGGCCTACATGTAGCGAGGTTCTTGGGAGGTTGCCTTTCTGATGTATTCTCATCCACTGTGAAGATGAATGTACCGGTGAGAAAATGTGGAGCAATGAGAGCTAAAAAACATCAACCACAAACAAAAATGAATTGTGTGGTGAAGTGGCTGTGAATGCAACCAATGGAATAGTAAACCCCGGTGCACACCTTTCCGATTTTACCGGATCACCCCATCATTGGTATGGTGTTTTACTCTAACCGCAACATTACCCACACATATACATACCCGATTCTGTTCAATGATCAGTCACATGATGACCAGTCACTTGATGACAAAATGGCAGCCATCAATTTTGAATCATGTGACTTTCTTTTTCTTGAATCTGATTGGTTAACATAAATATCGCATTCGGTGAAATCGGAGTGCTGCCTGTGTGACAGGTAATTCTGTCCCCCCTGGTAAATGTGTCCCCCCGGACACATTTACCGGATCGTTGCCCGGTAAATGTGTCCGGGGGACACTTTTACCTAGGTAAATTTGTCCCCCTCCAGGTAAAAATGTCCCCCTGCCCAACGGTGAAAGTGTCCCCCTGGTAAATGTGTCCCCATACAGTATGTAATGAGAGCAGCAGCGTGTCGCGCGCGCCCGTACATGCTGCAAGATTTGAGGCAGTGATTATCACATGTGTACATATGCGTCTCCCTCTACAATGGAAATTCGTCCAATAGGAAATTTCGTTACGCGCTATGATGGGAACACAGACCAATCCAAGTAGACGTTGTATCATACTATCAATGAGACGAGGGCCATCGCCATGCATCGCCGCTGTGTTGAACTATCGCGGTAGAATCGCGATAGACTCTTAATCACCATATTCCGAATCGAAATATTGTGTTCACGTATCATCTAATAGACTAAATTAAATATTTTTATATTCATGAAGGGCAGACTAAAAGTCCAAAATGTATACCTTGTAGAGTGAATTCATCAAAACAATAACCTTCCGGGTTTTAAAAGAGGGGGACAGAATTACCTGGGGGGACAGAATTAACGGGCCAGGGAGGACACTTTTACCTAGGTAATTCTGTCCCCCCGGGCACTTTTACCGGGGGACAGAATTACCTGCCACACCTGCACACCTTTCCGGTAACACAGAATCCGGTGAAATCGGATGCGAACAAACAAACACGTTTGATTTCATGCGGTCGCCAGGTGTACGGTCCCAAAATGATTTCCAAGCTTTCGGACCTTGGTCATTGACTTGTGCATGTGTATGTGTATGTGTATGTGCATCAAAAATGCATCCAAGAAAAATGGATTTGGCCAACAACTTTCAGGGGCTGTATTGGTAATAACCTTTTGTTCAGTCTGTGATTCATGCATATGTAATGTAAAGCTAAGGGGCATTTTGAATTCTCTGCCTTATATCTGTTCATATCTGTTGATTGTGAGCACAGATACATCAAAGCTTGTGCGTTACATCTACCGCTACCATACCATAGAACTTGCCAAAGAGCTAGTGATAGACAACAGTGCCTTTGTCTTGACACCACTACGAAGTAAGTTCATGAACAGATTCCTTGTACTGTTTGCTAAAGACTGTTGCATTTTTTTTTCTGAGTCCCCATAAATGAAAGAATTCAACATGAGGGTGCTACACAATTGTTACTGAGCAATTTTAAGCGTGTGCACAAAGTTTGACACAACATCTCCTTTAAATGTCAAAGTTTTGTATGTAAACATTAAGGTAGCAATTAATGTACAGAACTTATTGTTATATCATGTGCTTGGATACTGTCATTTCATTTGTCTAGAATAGCCATATGTCCAGTCTGTTAAAAAAAAATGCATATATACTAGGTTCCATATGTGCTGCATATAAATTGCGTGCATTGTTTGCGCATGTAGAACCTGCCTTGCGCTCACGACTGACAGCTGCAACCTCTCAGTCTCATGTCCGGCAGGAAGCCTGCAGTTATCAAATGTTACATTGTGGTGATTTTACTTATTTCTCACATAGTAAGTTACAACCATTTATCTTTATTGAGTTATTGGCATGATATAACAAACAATTGTTGACTGCTATGATGTGGGATATGCCATTCTTAACACTATGGGTTTGGATTATAATCCTGTAACATTTGAATACTGTGACAGCTTGCAATCAGCAGAGTGGATCCTGTGAAATGTGTTTGGGCGAGCAGTTAGCTGGCTTTGACTGTGGTTGGTGCAGTGCCTTGACTAGGTGTTCTTCAGGCTTTGATCGTAACAGACAGGAATGGACGGAGGCTGAATGTGAGACTGAGGTAAGGAGTCCACTAAACATTACGGATGTGACCTTGCGTTACATTTTGTAAACATTTAGCAAGCATTTAAAGAACCGCTTAAACATTTAGCCATTTCACAAAGGCTGGCGCCTGCCCATCATATTTTTTTCCCGTGTACAAAGTCATCACTAAATCCAAGATGCCGGCGCTCATACAGCACAAAAGTGATGAAAAGGTTAATACCGAGTAAAACCTCCCCCAGCATTTACTACAGCTTGGTACCGCCGGCTCATTGACACCAACAGATTGGCAAGGATCTGATGATCCAGGCTGTACATGCCATACCAAATCCACTGAAGAATTTGGAACAACTCAGCTTGATTCCGTGGCCAAACTTGGCAATGGAGTTGCCTTCCCAGTTTGTTTCACAAATTCTTCAATGGAGTCATGTCGGGGCTTGGAGCCGCAATGGCCATTCCATAACCTGCAAACTTCCAACTGCCCCCCATTTCTGGAATGAAATCAGGGGTTGGCACGGCCAGATATTCCTGTGTAATCAACGCAATATGCGGTAGTGCATTGTCCTGCTGAAACAGCAATTCTGGGTCGATCAAATGATGGTCAGAAGAGATCAGAATGTTCGCGGACAATATCAACAAAACCACCACGTTACCAGCTGCGGGTCACCAACGCCTGCTACGCTGATGAGCTGAAGCAACCGGCCCCAGACTATTATTTCCGAGCCCCTCGTGCTCACAGACGGTGCTATATGCTAAGCAGTCGTTACATTCCTTGAAGACACACCTCTCCATGGCCGGCATGGATCATCCCTTTTTGGTGATATGACATTTGGGTGGCATCATGGAGCTTAACCAACAAAAACAATAGGGGTGTCACGTCCCCCCCCCCCCCCCCCCCCCCCCCCCCCCTCTATCGACACCCGCGCTTCTGGGCATATCACTAATGATTTGAGTCATATCACTCAACCTACCGGTACACTCCAATTTGATAAAGCCTAATCCTCCTGGATCTTCATCAGAATACACCAGGAGGTTTGGCAGGATTTGGCAGATTTTTTTTAAATTAGAGCTCGGTCAAAATTAGTTGATGTGGGGCTTGATGATCCTTTGAAATACAGAAAATAAGTCATTGTTTTTCTTCAGAGTGGAAGATTGGGAGGATTCCTGGACGTATGTGTTGGGAATGACAGTGTCCAACTTCACAAACACTAAAGAGACTGTTGCCTTAAAAACTGAAATCACTTTTTTTGTATCATTTTATTTCAGAAACACACTGATGTTGCTCACTGCTCTACAGGTAAATGAATAAAAACCCTTTGCCATGCTTTCATGAAACCACTCATTACAAAGAAGGCAGAGTCATTCCAGTCTCTAAAGACTTTGGTTGAATATTTTAACACTGAATGAACATGGACACAGAACATGGACACAGACAATATATTTGTAGGGCATTAACATGTTACAGTCCTATTTCTGTTTGTTCCCTGTAGGTGTTTCTGCCGGATTAGTGATAGGTATTATCATTGTAGTCCTGGTAGTGATTTTCATTGTTGGATTTATATCATGGATTGCCTACAGCTACACTCACCCAACCTCCAGATCTGGACTTGCACTGATTGAAGTGAGTACTAGACCATTTCAACTTGGATTTCACATTGTTTATGTCTTGAAAACATGTCTTTGAAGCTGGTGTAGTTGATCAACATAATTCTTGCAGTCAGGGTCTTTTCTGAGTCCCCAAATAGCGTGAAACAAGGCTTCACGATGCCTGCTTTGCGTGGTAGTCGGCTTCCTCACCTGACCCGCTTTGCAAGAGAGGTGAAGAGGCTGTATGCCACGTCGCACGGCGGGCAAACACCCGCTTCATGGGCGGTGTTTATGGTGGTGTTTATGGGGTACTTGCATTGTTCTCCCCTTTTTTTTCTTCTTTACAATTTCCCTTCTGAGTTACCGTTGCACAGAGACAGAGTTATGGGGAACCATTGTTTGCTTTGTGCAAGTACCCCACAAGGAAGCTCTCCTAAAAACACACAAACGCACACACTGTACGTCTGAGGACAAAGCATTGGGTTCACCTTGGTGCCTATAATATAACATTCTCCCATACACTAAGCAAGCTGAGTTATGTTTTATATCAGTATTGATGGAAATTCAGGGCATTCAGTTCTCCTGATTGAATACCAAAGCCTGAACTAAGCCAGCGTTATTTATACTATCTTTGCCAGTAAATAAATATGGGGTTTTTGGTTGGCTTGCAGGTTCGTCATTTTTTCAAGAAAGATTCCACCCGCAATGTCACTGATGAAGATCGTTATGCAGTGACCATCAGTGGAGACATCCAAGGTAACGCTGAGGCTAATGGTGGTGCAGCAGACAAGCTGGGCAATGAATCACTAGCTGATGGATCAACTGGAATAGTGGAGAGCAATGCATCTGTCACTGCACAGGCCTAGATTAATGGGAAACTTCACCTAGAAATCACTAATGGGCTAAGCCAAGGATGCATTCACTCAAACCATAGCCTAAGAAGAAGTAATACTTACTGGAAATTGAGCTTATAATGAATGTGATTCCTTGCATGCTGCAAATTCAATCAATCAGTTTGCCTGTCCTTGTTGAAATTCGTGTCTTAAAATGATTTTTTTCTGTTTAAAATTCTAGTTTCTAGGCATGTTATTGCAAGCGTTGGTTTCTTATGACATGGCGCCATCTAAATGACTGATTTGTCCGACTGAATTGATTTGAAAATCCATGTCCTTCAACGTTTTAGGCCCAGAAATTTAATGCAGATGCACATGTACATGTTTATTTTCCCTTCAAAGTGAACCAATTTTCATTGTCTTGTATGCATCGCACATATTGTAATATCAACACATAGATATTTGCCTTTATCATTGTTCAAATATTGAAGTGTCTATTTAGTTAATGTTATGAGCACATCATACAATACATACTGTTCATTATGAACCTATCACCCCATCAATATAAAACACTCCTAATCATTGGTATTCTGAAAAATGAAATCTGGTATATATTAAGAAACGTACATTCCAAAACACATGCTTTTCAGTCAACGTGCAAAATGCCTCGTATATATAGCCAAATTTATTAGATTTAAGCTAACCTTTATTTTTTTAACTCACATTGGAAATTGTATTCATGTATGTAACATAGAATGTTTGAAACTTTTAGCGTAAGTTGCAGTTGTGACATTTGTACTAATACTAACCAGCTCCTTAGCTTGTGAATTCAGTGAGGATCACCAGATGTTTGTTGTAAAGTTTGCAAAAGTTTGTATTCATGTAGTACAGATATCGTGACTTCTATGAATGGTTTACATTTACTGATCTCCAAACCAAAGCAGTTGACATGTTTTATAACACGTGTCATGGATCTTGCACTGATATCTGAGATATCTGATAACATATTAAGTATTTTTTATTACAAATTGAAAATATGCAATTGGCAGTTTTGTAAAATTAGCCTCTTTGCAGACAATTAATTTGTTTAAAGAGATTTTTTCCAGCAGTACGCAGATTTCATTGTAGCCTCTAATTAAGCTTCGTATTGAAGATGACAAACTCTGGAGCTGCATACAGAAGAACATAGTTATGAAAGAGGAGAATGTGTCTTTTTAATATCGTTTTCCTGCAATTAAATCAGTTTCAAGAGTTTGTCTCTTTGTACCAAGTTTTGAAATCTGAAAGATTTGCTCATGAAAGTACATGTAGAGCTTGCATTGGCTTGCAATCACAAGCACTGATGAAGCAATGTTGTTGACTTTGGTTTTGACTTGCACTGGGAAATACCAAGCCAATCTATATTTACATTATTTGAAAAATATGGGTGGCTTTTAAAAATGTTGACATCACTGTGTGCAATAAGGGGCAAAAATGAGAAAGAATCTTGCTGCCTGTTTGCAACAGACAAGCATGACATCACAGATAACTTGATCCATTGTGCAAACGTTGTGCAAAACTCGGGCATGTATTCCAGTGCCTACCTTACCATCTTTGTGTGGACCTGAAATCAAAACAGGTCCACACGATGCAGGTTGTGTGAACCTTCTGTGGACTAAGCCAGGCCCACACTAGGTTTCCCCTTCTCTGGAAAACTGGCTGAGAGGCATTTTGGGGTTAGGGTCATGTGTTGAAAAATGAAGAGGAACACTCAAGAAAATCGCCTGCATACCCAAGATTTCTGTTGTTTATTCACTATTTAAAGCAAATATTTTTGAATCGAGCATAGTCTTTGTTGTGCTCGCTGTTAGTCTCTGTGATATGGACATGCATGAGCCCAGATAAACGGGGAAAAGAATGTTTGCTAAAACACACCATTAAGATGTCAGCAATGTTACAAACCTAGTTGCAGACTATAACACACATGCACCAATTATCAGGTGCAGATAAAAGTGCAATCGGTTTCATTCAGAGAATGATTTGGTAACGCACAGTTTTCTGTCTCTTCATCATTGACTTGTTGACTTTATGTTGTATAAGCATGATCAAACTGCCCTGTACTTACTCATTTATATGAATATGTTTCTGGACAGGATCAGCCTTTCTCTCAGAGTTGTAGTCGCAAATTATCACAAGTCAATTGCAAGTCATGTTTTGTCTCTACAGGGTGACCCAAAAAAATGCAACCCTTAAACATTTCCCTTAAAAAAAAAAGAATCAGTGGATTTTTATGTCCCTTAAATCCCTTACTGTGGTAATGTATTGTGTACAGGATGAAAAATGACTTTTACATAATTGGCATTTTCTCAGCAACCCAAAGTGCTATTTTCATGATTTTTTCAGTGTTTGAAAGAAAAAGCTCTCAGCTTTAATCTGATACCAAAAACATAAAACTCCACCAATCCCCTTTTTAAAGGCAAATGTTTCAGGATTGCATGTTTTTGGGGGTCACCCGGTAGTGAAAACATTGTTTATCCCCGCTTTAACAGTTACCTGTTCTTATACGAGTTGATTGACACCATTCTGCTTTCTGTACCTGCAGACTTGAATTATGCAAAAAGTTATCAATAATTGATATACTCTCATTGTGTCAGTGTAAATACGAATGAATGAAATTAACATGTTTTTGTAAAATCAAATTTGTAGGATTGTTATTAATCGTTTACGTGAGAATTAGTCAAATGGAAATTGTATTTGTATAAATTGAAAGATTCAGTGGAATATTATGTATATTTTGGAAGTTTGTTATCTAGTACAGTACATTGCATTGTAAAGATATCATTAAGATATGTATGTGCAAATAAAAAATGCATCCAGTGTATTTCATTTGGCATGCTTACAATTATGTTTACCAGGCATTTTTGAAAAGGAAATATGTATACTCTCAATAGTTTGTCCTCAAATATCCTCTAATAGTTTGCTTATTTTACTGTTCTCAATACAAAAGGAAGACTGCCTTAATATTGCAAACTGCAAAACTGAGAACATGCATAGAACCTCTGATTTTATGTAGAATGGAATTAAAGGGGCACATTGCTGAAATGTTTTAGGTTAAGATTGCTTACTTATCTTATTTCAAACGTCTGGTTGAAAGGAAACTAACCTAATGTCGTACTGTTTCTTAGAATAGACCACAAAAAGCAACTGTTGTTTATTTCGGACACGGCCGACATTCTGTGGCATACACATACGTATTTCCAGCTGTAAATATGTGTCTCTTTCTTGGACGTTACCCCCAGCTTGTGTGTCCATGATATCAGATGATTCAATGTACGGTATAAGGTGTGTGTGTGTACACATAATGTACATACACACAAAGCACCAATACACACATCGTTTCCTGCACGCTCGCAGCATGCGAGTCAAACTTTTGACACTGAAGTTTGTTCTAAGAATAAACACAAAAACAGCCAATGCTTAAATGCTCTTTCCAATTAATTAGGGGTGTGCATCGGAACCAGCTACCCAAGTACTCGACCACCGATGTCAGGAACTGGTTCCAGAATATCAGATTTGTAATGACTCGAGTCAGTGACTCAACTCGAGTCCGACTCGAGTCACAATGTTTGGCGACTGGACTCGACTCGAGTTCCAACGGGCAACTGACTCAACTCAACTCGACTCGGGTCACTGCAAGCAAATGACTCAACTTGACTCAAGTCCCTCATCAGAAGACTCAACTCGAGTCACAGGTTAATAACACTCAAGTCCCAAAAGTGTTGGAATTGTATTTGCGGTGACTCACGGCACATAGTTATTTATGTTCTCGTACTTAGCGTTATATGGCGTTACTGTCAAGTTGTGGACAATTATTGCGTTAATATGCCATATCAAGGCATGCCACCTCGTGTTTTTTTTGATGTAGCGCGCAAACTATTCTCCCTGAACCAGACCTTAAACAAATTTCTTAATTCTTGGCATCGGCTTTGGGCAATTTCTCAAGCCCTTGATGGAACTCCAGCAAAATTTACGCCCAGCTTTAAAAAAAAAATTATTTCCATTTAAATAAGAAACACTTTCTTATGTTGCAATTTGGTTTTGACGTTGACATCATTAAAATTATTGCAGACATAAAGCCAAACCATGCAGAGATAAGGCCAAAAAAAAAAGTCTCCGGTTTCTGGTATGCGCGCGCGTCGCCGTAGCCATGCGCATCGGCAAAATGAAAAAAGTTTTTTTTCAATGAAAGATGATGTCTCAAAACTGCCAAACTCACTGGTTTGACTGGAATCCTGCTGCTGCACAATTTTAACGTGTTTTTAGATTGGGTTATGGTCGAGAATAAGCTTTATTTGGCCTCTCTGGACTCCCATATATTTGCACTAAGTTTAGTCGGGCACCATTTGCAGTCATCGGCCGACATTTGAAGCAAAAAAAATCAGGTAAAAAAAAAAGAAAAAGCCGCGTCGCCGCACCACTTTTTGGGCAAGCTCCATACCAGAAACCGGAGACTTTTTTGGGGGGGCCTAAACCAGAGTTTCACTTCTTGTCAACTGTCAGAAACATCCAGCAGAAGCTGTGTATATTTGGTACTATGCAGCATATTTTAAGTCTTTGGATCTTCATATTAAATGAACGTGAGCCTGTATGTGTTCCTTCCATCCTGTAATTTATTGATGGTGTTCAAATGTCAGTGACTCAAATTGACTTGAGCATACATTGGACTCGACTCAACATGACTTGACCTTCTTGATGACCTAATGACTTGACTCCAGTCACTTTCTCAAAATGATCGACCTGAGTCACAAAACCCAGTGACTGGTTACAACTCTGCAGATGATGGAAACGAGTGCCCATACTTAACTTTACAGATTACTTAGTAGTAACTTCTCCGACAATGAAAAAGAATGGTTTTTAATGTCATTTATGGGGATTTTCAAAATGAACACCAGGCAACATGGAAAAACAAAACAGATTCACGTTCACGTTTATTATGATTGCTAAAATGCAATTTACACCGTAAAGCTAAAGACCTCACAGTACACACTTGCTGTATTGACGTTCCGATGTGGTATTGTTATCGTGCAGACCTTTATGAAAAATGTGAACAGCAACTTCCACGATTTAAATTTTGGGTGTTTTTTTTTAATGAGTACCCGGGTGCCCGTGTTTTTTTTTCAATCGGATACCCGATTCCCATACTACCCGTAAGAGCACAGCCCAACAAATAACATAATTTTGTTGAAAATGCGGTTTTTTTAGCCCAATTGAGCACTTTCCAGGACGTACATGTAGTATACAATTTGAAATGGAATAAAGCTATATGGGAAAAGCCTATAGTGTGTGCACAAAAAGAAATCATCACAACATTGAAAATTGAACAATTTCAGTAAACATTTTATACTGAAGTATTAAGTTCAGCTTTGGGAAGTTTTGTATAGTTAAATTTGTAGCAAATTGTTTGACACAGAACTTTGATCAGTTGTTTTCATTGAACACCCACTACATTTGATGATGAGGCCAGAAATGAATTTTCTTGCAATTTTATGGTTGATATGGAATTTGTGATTTTTGAAAAGTGGAAAAATGCATTTCTGAAACAATATCTCATAGCATATATATCTGTCTTGGATTTCTTTAAACCTTGTGCTAAACTTCCACAAACTCCCAATATCTTAATTTTTCATGTAATCAAGATCCATGGGTGCCTCACTAATGGGAAAACATCACATTATCAGAGGCTTATAGAAAATATCCCAGTTCATCACATAATGGTCGTCATCTCCAGTAACTGGTTCCTTCAGCCTAAATAAATCAGCCTAATTAAAATTCAACAGCAATGTTGATACAAGAGTTATAAAATGTTGACTTGAATACACTTTATGGCCATAGGCACTTGTTTTCCAAATATCGACCTACATCATAGCTTCTTTTACATTAATGAACACCTTTATTGGGCATGAAAGATGTGCAACAGTTCCAATGTGGAGCAGGGTTTTTTTCTACGACAATATATTTATCATGAACGTGAAAGGATTTTATAAGCATCTTTCCTGAAGTTCAAGCTAACAGACTTTGTAATTTCCATCTGTTCTATTCCTATAACTGCGTTCAAACGCATTTGTTAGGCATGATGTAGATTTTAAGGCAAGTCCCATACCCATGATCGGATATCTGATGTTGATAGACAGACATATATTATTTTACATATTTTAGGCCAACACACATGCTTTGGATAATGCTGCATGATCCTCCAAGTCCATTAAAATCCTTTATTTATTCATTCATCATTGATCCAGATATTCTAGTATATCCAGGCACATTTACAATGGACCCACACTACAAAGAAAGTACATTGTATGGCCATATACAAACAAGTAGATTTACCTGTAATAACAATTAATTGTTAAATCGTGTGCTTGGATTATGTAACTTCATTGGGCGAAAAGAGCAATGTGCCCTGTCTGTAAAAATGCAAATTATACATGTACAATGGTTAACCTCATATTCAATGCGCGTTGTGCGCATGTGTAGAACTTGCACGCGTGCTCGCGACAGAACTGCAACTGCTCAGTCATGCATGTCAACGGTCAAAGCACAGTGATTTAATTTATTTCTTGCATAGTAACTTACAACCATTTATCATTTCTACTTATTGGCACCATATAAAAAAAAACAAGTGTTGACTGCTGTGATGTGGGATATGTCATTTTTAACCCCCTTGGCTTTGCCTTGGGTGCTTTGTGCCCCTCTGGTGTTAAAAGCATCATATCCCACATCACAGCAGTCAACAAGAATTCAATGTGGCCCTTGCCCTTCAGCCACTAGCTTGTACAAACTGTCATGACTGTATGGGCCTTATTCACGAGTCGGCCATATTGAATTGAAGGCGAGGTGAAATCTTAATATTTGGAACTTGCGAAGAGAAATGAAAGCAAGTAAATTTACAATAAATTCCAGTCTGCTTCAATGACTAATATAAAATTTGTAATTAAGCACTTCCTTATTATTAAATCCATATTTAACAAAAAAATGACAGTAAAAATAAGGCTGCATTGTGCCAGCCTGCATAAATAGTCTAGCACCATCCCATTCAACAGTTAACAAATAATAAAACACATTCAGGGAACTCGACAAAAATGGCCAACTCATGAATATGGTCCATATACATGTACACCAGTATTAAATGTTTTGCTTAACTTGAGGACTAATGTATAAATCACATAATCAAAATACCGGTATCTCAAAATTTTAGCCTCCATACGGTCACCAAAATAACCCATTTTTTCAGTTCCTAATGTTACTCTGTAAGTGGCTACTCAAGCTAATTTTATACTCAAACCATTTACATGATCAGTGGGTTGTAATTATATACAGTCACTAGTGACATATAGCACAGTCATTTTTATTGGGGGGGGGGGGGATTTTGAAAAGGGCACTTGCACATCCGTGGTGAAATGTAGACAAGTTTATTTCTCCAGACACTTGGCCTCCGTACAATAAAAAAAGGGGGGGGCGTGGGCGCTGTTCAAAACCAACGACTATGCACACAAAGGGCTAATATATGGTGCTTTTCAGGGCGATACATGTGCGAAATTCTGAAAAAGGCACCCAAAACGGCAGATGCCACAAAAAGGGCACCACTTCTTTTTTTAAAAGGGCACTTGTTAAGAAAAAAGGGTACTTCGTAAAAAAAGGGAACTCTTCAATAATCATTGGGGGGGGGGATAAGCATATTGAAAAAAGGGGCATTTGAATGGAAAAAGGTAGTCTTTACAAAATATTGGGGGGGGGAAATACACCCCCCCCCCCACTTGCTACGCCTATGGTCACTTACAATGAAATGTATCATTAACTATCAGGACGCTTTATTAAAACCTGGCTTCACTATGAGTCTCTTGGACAAAAGGCAACCGGATTTTCATATCTTTCCATTTTCCTCTGACAATGCCATTGCATGGGTTCTAGCACTCAAAAGCACATCCAGTGCATGCCGTTATCCTGCTGTAGGTGAGATATGTCACATATGCAGGTAGTGAGTGACATTGTACCGGATGTGCTAAGTGATATCATTGACTGTCAGTACACAATAAACTGCCTTAAATTCCAAGGACCAAAGTATTTCAAAACTTAAAGTGGTTGAGCGATGGTTGATCTGCTTCGCTTTGTAGCTAGGCCCTATGTAGCTGTAATAGGCAGTTATTTTGCTATGAAATAAGCATAAAGCTACAGTAGCGTGCTGTTTTCAGTGTCCAATCTAGGCCCACTTTTACAATTCATGTATTAGTTGCCCAGAGGACGTGGGATGTTAATGGATGCACAGTGACACATGGAGTTCTGTTTCAGTAGTTTTAGTTTTCATGCTGCATGTGCATTGTAACAGCAATCAGTCATTACAAACTTGAGTCCTACTCACGTCACAAAGCTTTTGAATTTCTAAAGTTAGCCCTGAAGGACTGTCTTTCACTTTTACAGGTGCCGGACAAGAAAATAACCTAAACAAATGTTGATATATAAATGAATGCACACATTGTGTGCCTATCGATTAGCAAGCAACAGCATCTTAATATGACAATGAGAACCACAGTATTGCACAAAGTGTTTGAAGACGAGTAGCCTATATCTGATGTTGTGTTTAACTAGTAAGACAAAGTATCCCTCAAGACCAACACAATGAAGTCATGTTAACATCTGCTAAGTATTCACATCGACACCAGTTCCAGTTCTCGTGTCAAGCCTCAATAGAAATTTAAGGAAATAAAGAGAACTTCAAATGTTGCCAAGTGACAATAATTCTGGCAAATAAGCAGAAACCAGTTCTTTGTGATGTATACGTCCTTGCATCTGTATTGTGTTTGTATTGGTTTATCCATTTGAAATGGATGATACAGATGATAAGGTCTTTGTGTGCAACTTAAAAAAAACAATGTGCTGTGGTGCTGTAAAAAGATAAACATTTATGGTTGGCCAAATAAGGGAGCAGTTGCATTTAAATCTTGAGACAAACTAGGAACTGCCTTGATTCAATTCTCCAATTCTCTGTATAATAAACCATTGTCTATACATTGCATATATATGTGAGATTTTACATTAATAAAACGAAGTTGATGGAACTTCAGAATACTATGCAGTAAGCACATTGAAAACAGACACATGGCATTTCAGCCATGATTTAAAGTAATATAACTGACATACAGATCCTTGTCATTTGGTGGAACTCGCATCACGTGACAATCATTATTGCTCATACTCACGCAGGGGATCAAAACGTCCCATTCGCCCATGAGGAATGGGATTTACTATTCAACGGTGCGGTATTTGTAAGCAAATGCATGCTGGTGTGCGCATTGAGCGTTGCGCGTATTGTTTCCAAGAGCCAGTGGCTACAGAGTCGGGTCCAAATATTTTGTGAAGGGGTGGTTGGGAAGAGAGAAATTTATTTCCCACCACTTTTGTATTGGAATTGAAGTTCATTTTAACTTCAATCAAAGACAAGGATCTACATGTCAGTTATAAAAAAACAAATATTGAGTGGCTTTAAATTGTGAAATGGGAGGAATATTATCGCTCAGCAAAATCTGAACTCTTCCATTTCACAAGGCGAAAAGTCCAGATTTTACCTTGCGATAATATTCCTCCCATTCCACTGAGCTACTCAATATTTGTATAATATTTAGCTATAGAAAAAAAGTATTGCAAGCACCTTAACAAAAAAAAGGAAGGACTATACACTGTTTACAACATGCTGTCTAGATGAAATATACAACCTCTTCTTTATTATTAAGGTACATTTTTTTTCATTAGACCAGAAATACTTTTGGCAAACATTTTAGTAATTAAAGAATACATGTTTCTTATATATTTGTGCAGTTTTATGCATATCTTTATTTCCTGATTTTCCTGGCTCTTTTATTTGATTGTTTACTGCCGGATGTACAAGCCAAGCAACAAGGCTTTGAAATGGAATGAGTTGGTTGGTTCATCAGATGATAATCAATCTGCCCTACTGCCTCTGAGCACAGGTAACCCCCTCATACTGTGACAAACACACGCAAACGTGTGTTCACCGTCAATCGTGCACCTCCTATGTCCCTCATTTGTTTGTACTTTTTAGGAAGACTCTCATCATAGGTTTTGTACACGACCCCAATTACAGACGTATGCTGGGAATCGTGGACGATTATTGTTCTCTTTTGTTCTCTGGTGTTTTTCGTCAACAGTTTGAAAAGATATTAACATGTACAGTTAGGCAAACTCTCTGCGCATGGCACTCGCACCATGAGACACAGATGAGTACGTGTTCATCTTTTCAAGCAAAAGAGGGACAATAGGACGTCCTCGATCGACCGTGAACACATGTTTGCGTGTGTGTGGTTGTGCACATTCAGATTAATTGGGCTTTTTGGGTGCCATATATGCAAACCTGTACATGCATGAAGTAATGACCTGCACTTAGCACTCTCATGACTGTTCACAAGACACCAACTTCCGTTCATGCATAGAGTCAATATCAGCATCCTTCCCTAGATTCAACAATCCTGGAATACACATCAAAGAAAACTGTACACAAAGAAAACTGTAAACAGATGTTACACTACTTTTAAAAACACACCAACAAATTGAATATTTATATAAGTGGACATGTGCCTGCACATTGGAGTCCCTTTTTTGTTACTAAAAATCCAATCAACTTTTACACAATTTAGTTGCATTATACACTACCAATAATTATTCGCGTGATAGTTATTCGCGTTAAACAGGTTCAAGTGTCTTAGTCACATGACACTTCTCTCAGACTTTCAACATACATACTTACATCTGGTGATTCATAGATCAGATAGATTTATTTCAAGTAAGACTGATATAGTAAAGGTTGGTTCGTACTTCACATTAACGTACAAAAAGAAGCGAATTACATCAGCAACTTCACACTGAAATTGATGTGAAGGATGATTCTGAATAGGCTATGAAGGCTGTCAGTCTTGGTAATGCCTCATGTTTGGAATATCCACACCTGGTCTGGAGCATCATTGCATATTTGAAGTGCAGCATGGATCACATGACCTTCTGTCTTAGTAGCAAGGCACTGTCCTGTACTCGGATGATACAAGGCCTGGAAACATTCACAATCAAACAGACAATTATACATTGTCCACAACAATGACAATAATGTGGATGTCAAAAGTCAGGAACTGGACCAGGGATGTAGTAAAGTCCATCACCAGTCCTCCAGTTCCAATTCAACTAACAAGCTATGCAAATGAGTTTTGACAAAGGCATTCCTTTGTCATTGTTCATCCACTGTTACATGTGACTGGACTTGTGATGGACTCATAGAGCTATATTCAATTACTAGAGCGCAAACTCCTCATTCTTGCGCGCGGAGATTCTTTGAAGCCGCTCTGGGCGCAGACATTTTGAATTTATGTGCGTGTTTGTAGAACTCAATCAAAATAGATGGATTGAATTTTAAAAGTGTACTCTAAATGCAACGCGCAAGTATATACGCAAACAACTTCAGCGCGTCATGACAGTTCAAAAATCGCCACGGCGAAAAGCATCTGCAGCAGAGGGACGCGCACACATTGCACTGTTTGTGTAGAGCAAAATGAAGCGCTCATTTGCTGATCGTGCATTTCGGTTTTGGGCATATCGGCTTCGAAGACGCACCTGTATGGAATACAAACGCAGATATGCAAATAGCCGTACAACAGCCGTAAAAAATTTGGAGTTTTCTATAGGTTTGTGTACAAACATGGATGCGCCCATCAGGCATTACTTTGTACATCGAGCCAGCGCTCTAGTCATTTAATATAGCTCTATGGATGGACTCGACTTCATCCCTCAACTACTGTTGAATAAAGTGACACAAAAAAACACCACATAAAAAAAATATATCTCATCTTAAAAAAGTAAATAAATACATAAATTATGAATAAATGCCTCCTCTGAATCCCTAATTATTACATGTACCTTTCGGCAGAAATGAGCAAACTATATGTACCGTACACTGAAATGACTGAATTAACTACCTGCTATATAGTATCTGTCATTTAAAGAAATTTAAGGTCAATAAGATCATTTGCAAATTTGAGTCCATTATGGGAAGTCAATGCACACAAAACATGTATACAGTAAACTCCGGCTAAACCGACATCGTATAAACCGTCATATCGCTTAAATCGGCCGTCTGACGAAAGTCCCGATTGTCTCTAATGCATTTCCATTGACATTTTCATTTCTGAGTCGGCCTTTGTAAGCCGCCATTTCGCCTATGTCGGCGTGTTACTTTCAGTCCCATTTCCTCAAAACCACACAAATTCCTCTGTAAAAGTCGGCATAGTGCTCTGATAGTGCTCTGCGGTTTGCAATAAGTGTCGAGTGAAAAGTCCCACACACTGCTAACTGACATCTGTTTATCAATGGCACGGCCCGTGATTGATGCATCGGCCAGCACGTGCACACTTATCGCACGTGTACACTGTTTCATGCACGGTCTGTACATTGTGTGCATCTTTCGCTTACGCGTGCGCGATCAAAAAGGGGTTTCCCGATAGCACATCAATACCAGTACCCCCTCTCGAATCCACGCATGCGCTCTGTTCATTTTGGGGGTCCTCTTATTGTACCAGCACCATGCACACATTTAATTCATGACTGTACGTACGTGCACAATGTACACTACATGTACATACAGTATGCAAGCGTCCTTGCTTCGTACTTACATACATGTACATTCATGACTTTCTGTGATCAATACCACAACCTGTTTGTGATGATAATCATTGAGGATATATTTGCTGGAATCAACCATGGATGTAGAAATAAACCAGGGTAAATCAAAGCCTTTGAATTTTAGCCATGAATCTTGTTTGCATGATCCAGATACAGATGTGCATAGGCCATTAATTTAATCTATTTTTTTCACTTCGTGATTCAATTATGTATTTGTGTAAGTCGGCAAAATGACGACTTGCAGCAGAAGCCGACATTCGAATAAGTCGTCACAAATTCTCTGGTCCCGAGAGTGCCGTCTTAGCCGGAGTTTACTGTAATTCCAATTGAACTTGCAATGGTGTAAGTCTCCCAAATATCCCTGTACCTTAGAAAAGAGAAAAGACGAGGCTGTTTCCCTCTTCACTTCAACCAGTGATAACATACTATGCTAAGCCTGGGTACCATACCTGATCATTAAATCTCCATTCTTGTGATCCTCTAGAGCCATGGCATTTCATGAGTCTTGGTAATGCAGCACTATTACTCTCAGGTTGGTCAAGACACAGGTAGTCAGCAAGACGCAACTCATGGGATTCACTCTCATACCATAGCTATCACATACAAACAGACAACTAACTTCAATTCACACATGTTGTGTTTTAGCAATTTAAATGTATTTCATGTTTGTAGGAGAATCTCACATTTTCATTTTGTGTGCAAGCTCTTAATCATCCATGAAGAATACTTGACTTGACTTCAATGAAGCAGCTTTCTATGATGTGAGTGTTCGCAACTTGATCATGCATTTGAGACTGCTAAGACCCCATAGATGCTTTTGTAGTCATACGGCTTTTTTTTTTCGCCTACAGGTTTTCACATCCTTTATTGATAAGTTAATCGCTGCTGTTATTCCTCTGCACAACTGGCAAATTTTATTTCCAACAAGTTTTCTTTTGTAGAAAGAAGTTGTGTGGGAGTTTTACAAATAAACCCTGACCTGGAATGTCTACAGACAAACAAAACTGACCCAACACTAAACAAAAACAGTTCTGCATACGTTAGCCGTAATCATGTTAAATAATTTTTAAAATAGTGGAATCACACTATATAACCCAGTACTTATTTTACAAACAACCTGCGTACAACTTGACAAAAGTCACACTGGGATCTCGTGGTTCATAAAAATGATTTACTGACCTGATTTTTTTGTCTCCTGTTGCACTTTTGTAATAACAGTTTAGCTCCCTTCTGAGTTGCCGAGTTCTCAGCTACCATGCATAATGACAGGGAGGGTTGATAAAGCTGTCAAAAAGAACAAACAATGAAAGTTACATTTTTTTTTCCGAATTATGAAATTCAGCTTTAAAAAAGGAAAACAACTGATTTCAAATTCTCCCTGGAATAACTTCCGGTCTGATGACATAAATTTGAAATTTCTCAAAGTATTTCACTTTTATCCACACAATGTTGGTCAGCAATTTGGTAAAATTGGGACAAATAGTTTTCATATAAAAAAAACAACTCAACTTTCTTGAAAATACCACTAGAGGATCATGACATTATTGGGCCTTCCTTGGCAGCCCTCACTGAATCTCTCATTTGAAAAAAATTATTGGATTGTAATTACATGTAAATGTTTCTGCTGTCAAGATACATGTATATTCATTTATCAGTGCTCTTCTGGTAACCCTGGAATAAAGTTCAAGCGGTTTTGTGCCCTGGAATTACAAATGTTACACAAGACATTACCTACAACATCCCACAAAAAAGAACATGGGTACTCCAATCAGTTCAAAAGTAAAAGGCCAAAGTACTTTGTCAAATTTTGATTTTAAATGGCTTGGAATTTTATATCTGATGACGTCATGATGACTTCTGTTCACATCATTGGACATGGGATCATCTCCATACAAGGTCTCATCAAAAGCCCATGAGCATTTGAAGAAATCAGGTTTGTTTTGATTTTTAAGGCTCTCATTGGCATTTGAATTTACATTACATTAACCATAGGGTAACCTCCGCGGTAAAACAAAGCCACTTCAAGTACACAAAGCAAATGTTCATCTCTAAGTATCAATGTGAGTGTTCATTTTGTTCATAAGTTCTAAATGAAAACAGATGGTCATGTTTAAGCAAAGATCACTTGTAATTCCTGATGACATCTTCATGACCTCATAGTTAATATGCACACCTTCGGATCAGTGTGATTATGATATTGCTTTTCCGTTTCAAGTTATCGTCTAAAAAAAAAGTTGCGGAGAATTTTTTTAAAGAAAAAACAGAAAAGAAAAAAGTTAGAAGGAAGAATATCTCTAAAAATGTAGAATGATGATCAGGTTGAGCCCAATAACCCAACTAAACACCTACCAGTCCCTTCCTTATAGCCAGTGGTGGTCGTTTCTTTTCCTGAAGTGCATGGTTTGCAGCAAGACTACTGGTTTCATTTGGTAATCTCATTTCTGGGTACACGTTGTCTAAATACCACTTGAATGATTTACACTGAAGCTTCTGTCGCAGCTGGACTCTCTTCGAGATATCACCATATGTCATGCCACGGGCAAGTTTATTTGTTTGGAAAAAGTATTCCTATGTGAAAGAAATATATGAAAAATAGAAGCAGGAGTTAATTACAGCATTAGTCTGTGACAAATTTACAGATTTTCATGTCATGGTCACATGACATACATGTTTGTAGGGTACAGATTTACATACCCTTTAGCGACAATGACACTGTTTTATATACATGAGACCATATGAAAATGTACTCCAAAATCAGATTCATTGGCGAAATAGCTGCTGGAGAACATTAAAGGCATATAGGATCAGTTACAAAAACGAAACTGTCAAAATACTCTGAAAAAGCCCGCTTGATTGTATGTGAATAATAGTATGAAACATCCTGTGAAATCATTGAGCCTGGTATGCTGTCATTTTCAAGAAAAGAAGAACTTTGTATCAGTAGTAATGATGATTATTTTTAATTATTTGTTTTGTTTTGTTTTGTTTAACCAAGGCAGCCCCATCACTTTTCAAAGAACTGTTCTCCCTTTTCTCAAATACTACATCTGTTAAATGGTCAGGAGCCAGTTGATGGCTAGGTTAATGTATGTACTTGTCCATGACAGAGCTGGCACTCAGACACACTCCCTGTGGCCTATGGGTTCTATGCAGAACAGATTCCGCGAGCTGCACTTTGACACTTGAAAGTGAACAGTGTTGTTCTATTTTTCATGTTTTTCCAGCACCAATGGACACAAAACATTGAAAAGCTCAGCGGAACAATGTCTGCTATAAATAGCGACCCTTACAGTCCAATTTATGAATGCACGTTAAATTTGTATACCTTAGGAAATAGGAACTTACTGATACTGAGGATTTTTAAGATTTAGAAACAATCTTGGAAGTAGTACAATTGATTTGAAGGATTGATGAAGCTATACACTTACATACTTGTGATGGAGGACTACTTGTACACCGAGTGAATCTCACAATTAAAGTTAGTTTGATTTTGTGTTTACTTTCATGTTTATGTGTACAATGTCACTGTAAGTACATTTTGAATACTTCAATAAATTGAAACGCTGCATTCAAAAGATGAAGTCATGTGTTATCTAAATAAACTGTTTCTCGGGATTTACTTGTGACTTGACATACAACCTGACTTGTGATGTGTCTTGTTGGTTGATTTTGAAGGATCTAGAAGGGTTGTTAGCCAGAGGGCCTGGGGGTTTGGATAAAGGTTATGACTACAGTAGATTACTCAACACACACAAAAAGAATGACCTTGTAATCATCCATCCAGACATGTGCTACTCGCAGGGCATTGTGTAATGTTGTGTCTTGACCTGATGGGGAACCATATGGTCGACGTTTGCGAAAAACATGACCAACCCTTGAACACGGCACAATCTCCAACGTCCCTCCACATTGCCATATCTGCATACAAATATACTCAGTTCAATACGGTACATGTATATGAATATTTAACAAGCATGAAGACAAGACTTCAGCTAATTCCTTAACAAAGGAGTATGTATACATAAGAGACAAATGTACAAGTTTTGTATATAATTGATGCAGTTCACTTCATACAATTCAGCGAAGAAAACCCAACCGTCAATGATGTACTATGAATTTGTAAATAATGACAAAAACCACATACATTTCTCTCCTATTTTTGAAATTTTTACTCTCATTTTGTGTACCAAATTTATCTTTCTCTAAATGCAAGTAAAACCCATATTTCTTTCTTTTTTTGGAAAATACAATAATTTCACTGTTGCTGTATACAATGCACACATGCATGTAAAATATTAATCATTCAATGAACACAAATAGACCATAATACAAGTCAGCCAATTTGGTATCTCGACGATGTAGTCCAGGCCAAAGGTCATTTGGGATAAAGTGGCTGACGTGATGTTATGCAAACCCCCACTCTGCTCGTAATTAATTGCTTGTGCATCTCGCAACCATCTCCTTGCATGTCCATATGCCTTCCATGAGCATTTGATTATCTCCAATGACCCGAGACGTGACCCATACCACTAGTGGCTTATGGCTTATTGTAGTAGTCCATGGAGTTTTGCCCAAGATGAGGGTACTTTTTTCAGTCTTTCAGAAGTAACAATATAATTAAAATGTAAGTTTCATTATGATACATTATTTCTCCAATTTAATACCCCCATGCATTTTTACTGAGCAGTTCAATGTTTAGTCTTTGATAACAATGGGCGTCTACATGCACGTCCCGGGTAGCATGGCCTACCTTGTGCCCAGGGTCTATTCTAGCTGTGTTGTACAAAGGAGCCGCCATGAAAATCCTCCAAATATCTTGACAACAATCCTAAGGTAACATGACATGGTGTACAGGTTGAGGACTTGGGCAAGTGCAGCGGTACTTTCCTCGCCTTCCACCGCTGTGACCCGCGTTCGAATCCCGCCTGGACCAATATGTTGGTTGGGTTTTCAGTCCCTGCCTAATTCGGTAGGTTTCCCTAGAATATCATTCTGGGGTTTTCTTCGTACCTCTGAAACTGTTATGTCTTCTCATTGTCTTCTCTCTATCAGTTTCTTCAGGCGTGCATTTTAATACCACAAATAATTGATTTAACAATAATATTTACTCTGTAGAGTTCATCAGGTCATCATACATGAACTTTAGTAGTACGTCACATAAACAGTTATCATTCAATGAAATTTCACAATCTAATACATGGTATAACAATGATTAATTTGGTGCATATGTCTCCCATATGGCATGAGGCTAAGCGCCATATGGGACACAGACACAATACCTTACATGTTCCACATGTACCAGTAGGATAACAAATTTATCTTGAAGCAAACTTGAAGCAGAGTACACATACACCGTGTATGTGGTCACATTTCAGCTTTTATCCCACTGCATGTGCCTGCAGCAGGAATACGAGCACATCTTACGATCACTTGCAATATATGCTATGTGCCAGGAAAGTAGGCTTCAAGTTTGCTTGATGATGTACATGAATGTACTAGTTTAAGATGTCAAAGTTTCTTACCCGAAATGATATTTCCAAGTTTTCTCCACCCCATATATCCATACCTTCATCGTAAGCACCAAGTTGATGGAAGTATTCAGTATTGATGGCAAACAGACCTCCTGCCATGGTAGGTGACCTGCCATTCATGTATCCACACACAATACATTGAGGATAATTATGGGTCAATAAAGATCCAATTTATGACCAGCCGTGTGGTTGCGAAGGACGATTTCTAAATATTGCTTAACACTTCATTTTGAATGAAACTACATGCACACAGACATGTTCACATTGGCAGGGGAAATCTCTGAAAATTAATTTTTCCCGTTTGGAAGACCGTATCTTCGTGCAACTTTCAGGGTTTATTTCCTTTTAATAGTGATCTAAGTATGTGCTAAAAATATGTTCCTTACTTTTTGTTGAAATTGGAAAAATATGCCTGGTTACGTGATTTTGGAAAGTTGTAACACATGACATTTGCAATATCTTTAATATCTTTATTTATTATAATATATTTTCGAACAATTTCTTCCCGACTTGAAGGTCAGCTTTACCAGTAACCAGTACTGACATTTTGGCATCGATGACGACGATCTTTGTCACTAATACGAAGTATAGAATTTCTTCTTCCGTTATAATTTAACATTTCAATCATACTGAGCTTATTTTCTGAGAAACACAACGTTCAAAAGGCCATGGTTTTTGGGGTTCATGAATTTCATTGCTCTGTTACAGCGTTTAAGTATGTAATTGGATTGTCTTTACATAACAACCAGCACGCTTTCGCATTCGCAACCACACAGCTGTGACTGCGCACCAAATGTACGAATAAATACTACTAATTGCACTTCAATTCCCACAGAACAATTAAGATGCAGTGATGAGGTCATCAGTCCGTCTAAACCTGAGTTGTTCAAAGGTCGAGGGGCATAACATGGTGTATCCTACAGGTAGCTGTATTGTGCTGTAGTGTTGGTAATGATGGAGTATATCAACAACACAGCTGTGGCATTATGTCATGCCATACAAGTGTGTAGACTTAAACAAAATCCTGGGGGGTAAAGATGTAAGAATTTACACCTGTGAGAAAAAAAATGACATTCTTCGTCAAGATGAACGAAGCAAGAAACTGTTGTAAAACACATTGTCTCACCTGAATGGTTTAACAAAATCTTCTTTTCCACTGAGTTGACTACTGTTGAGATTATCCCATTTAAAATGCAGTCCCCAGTTGAATCCCCCTTTGACCATAGGTGATGTTTGATAATCAAACGTATCCGAGTTGATGATATCGATGATAGGGCATACTACGGTATGGCTATCATGCTGAATACGGTCTAGTAGAGGCTCTAACCATTTCTCATTCACCTTAAGACAAAATAAAACCAATTCATAATTGTACATTTGTACATTATTTTACTACACACTCTGTTGCTACAACAATCGTCATACTATAGAATAGGCACCATGCATACTGTATTTATTTTGGTCAGACATGAGTTTCATGCCTGTCCCACCATATGGTGCTTTGTTGTAGCAACAAGGGAATATTTCATATTGCATATAAAAATACATTTAACCAAAAATGATCAGAGTTTTGGGGATCACCTCAGTTTTGGGGATCACCTATATATATTAATATTGATGGTTTTGTGGGGGCCAATAGTCCTGCAGGGACACTCAAAAGTCCCCATCACAACTCTCTCCTATTTTTCTAAGAACACTAAATGTCCCCATAATGAGATCACGGCCAGGTCACGTACAATATCAGTCCGTAGTCTGTCCAGTGGTTCAGTGTGCATATTAATTAAAACCTGTCTTCTTTTCAAAGGCTCATGTTGGAAGATGGGATCAGTTGGACTGATGGCAGGGGCTCTCCTCCAAAACGATAACTAGTATTTATACATGTATGTTAACGATTCGTCCTCAAAAAATGATTACTAAAAAAAAATTAGATTAGTATGTTAGTATAGATTAAATTAGTACAGTATGTACCTGAACCTCTGACAAAAAATTAAAGCTCAGATCACATGCTTAACTAATGAGTACAAATGCTGAAAAATGCCCAGATGTGTTTCCATGCCCTAGATGTATTCCCTTGTGAAAGGCTTTCTAACCCATGTGCATGCATGAACCTGTGCAAGATGGGCCCTTGAAAAGCTTACAATGTACAGTACATGTAGGTCACATAGCACCATCTACATGAACATGCACTTAAGGCAAAAAAAAGTCTCTGGTTTCTGGTATGGAGCTTGCCCCAAAAGTGATGCGGCGATGTTTTTTTGTTTTTATAGGAGCCCAGAGAGGCCATATAAAGCTTATACTCGATCGTAACTTCATCTAAAAACATGTTAAAATTGTTCAGCAGCAGGATTCCAATCAAACCAGTGAGTTTGGCAGTTTTGAGACATCATCTTTCATTGTAAAAAAATAACTTTTTCATTTTGCTGACACGCACGGCTACGGCAACGCGTGCGCATACCAAAAACTGGAGCTTTTTGGGGGGGCCTAATGGAGTCCATGTACTCTACGACTTTGTAAAACTCGAGGCCTTTTCACACTAGAAAACCCATCCCAGGGCGAACTTGCCCTGTGACTTTTGATTTTTCACCCTGGAGTTCACCCCTGCACCGTTTCAGACTTGTTTTGCGTAAAACATGTTTATCTCGCCCCGAGGCGAGTTCGCCCCTGGGATTTGCACGACTGTTTCTCACTCAAGTTTTTAAACTTGGGCGGCTGGTAAGGCAACGTACATATGAAAAATGCTGAGCTTTTTATTGCCAAATTGAGATATTAATAAAAAAACATCAAAAATGCAAGAAAACATGCCTCATTAAATTCTTGAATGTATGCATGCATGTTGAGTCCTGGCCCTATTTTTACACATGCTTCACCCATCATTTTTGCGATGATTGTTCATATACAGTCGGTTTTAAGCGATGTTTCATGTAATCAACCTCTGATGGAGGCTCGGAATATATTTAACTATTATTACTTATCCAATTATTACATACATTAGAAGCCAAAGGAATAAAAGCCAGTGTGGATTTTCATGTAAAAAAAGTCAGGTAATTGTTTTACAACTTGCAGTCCAGTATTACGATCGATCAAGCTATTGGTTGGATGGTTGGATTTGCTTCAGTCAAAGCCACAAAAAGGTGCATATTGTTCGCAGTATACCATTATTTTCAGTTGCAATTACATCCAACTTCAGAGTCTTTTTCAGTCCTCTGATGCTTGACCAGGGATGGAACTCGCCCTACATTGCTCATTTCACACTACAGTTTTGCCCTGGGAAAAGTGTCTCACCCCGGGGAACAAATATTCAACCCTGGTCCCGAGCAGGGTTTAACTCGTTCCGGGGAATGAGTAATCTCAGGGGTGGCTCGGAGGTGGTGTGGGGGTGAAAATTACAAGTGTGAAACGTGGCTTGTTTTCACCCCTGCATTGCCTACTGCCCCCCCCCCCCCCTGATTTTGTCTAGTGTGAAAAGGCCTAATTACACTCAAGGTACCTCACAGTGACTGTCCAGAAACATAAGCACTTCCCCTGTGGCTTGTCTGGCTGCAATAGTACGTGCTCTGATTAAACCTTCCCTCTGACTATTGTGTAGTACTCTCACTAATGGAGACAGATGCTTGTTTATGTACTCATCAAGTTCAGCTTTTAAATGATCTACATGTAAGGAAATGGATAAGGTATAGATTAATGACACTAAATTCAATAAACTATCAAAACATTGCACAGGAATGATTTGCAATGGAAATTTTGAACAACTAAATGGCAAGCTGCATCATTTTCAATTATTTCAAAAAACAAAAATATAAATTAAAGGTTTAAACTACCTCACAAGAGGAAACATGCCAGTGTAAGTGTTGGCTAAGATCGATACAATTGAAGAAGGAAAAACGATTTTAAAAATAATTTTAAAATTAGTTAGGGAATAAGAGTGTGAGGACCCGGTCTTCACTGCGTGATAATGACAGAGTTGGGGGATTGCCCAAGGCGAGGTCCATTAACAGTGGTCACCCCCAAACCCGGTCATTATCACACAGTGAAGATCGGATCTTCACACTGTTATACCCATTAATAAATACCTTTCTAATGAAATAAACAATTGAAACGCTCCGAATTTGTGACTTTTCTTTGGCGATATTTCCAGACTTTTTTTCAGGGGCCGTACTTTAGCTTATAATGTGTTAACTGTTATCATCGCCCTCGTCTAGGTTGGGCAACGTCTTTATTGCAATATGACTGATGTCCAGGGTATGAACTCCTGCTGACATAGCAAAAATATTTCTACCTGACTGAGGAAGCTAAAATTTTGTTTATATTCCTTGTGTCCAGAATTTCAAAGATGCTTGGTTTAGAAAAAGTGAATATATGTCTGTGGGCGACGTGTTTACAGAAATATATCGCAGATTCATGCTTTTGTTGTAACATCCTCAGTATGAACATGTCGTGTGAAGACTTAATGTACGCGTACGCATGCCCAACATAGCAGCTGTGTTGCATAAGTGCCCATAAGTCTTCACATGGTGGTTGGCTGTATTGTTACAAGCTACCGGTACCATAGGACTGTTGTATATTTGGCCATCATTGGCTTACATGATGCTGGATCAACACTGGTTCAGGGGCCATTTTTGCTTGTTTTTGAAGCCAGTCTTTATATCTCCTGTTATCATGTGATCGGGTCTCGCCCAATTAGAAACTATCAACTCTTAAAGGTATTTATTAATAATTATTAATAAAAATTTGTATTAAATTATGTACATGTAATGTTCAAAATGCTTCTGAAGTCAGTGACCACCACATCTCAAAATGTACTCTGTTTTATATGATAGTTGAGTTATATGGTAATGGCCACTTAAATATTGGGTGATTTGTAGGACACTTTTATAAATGAGCATTTTATGTTTCAATGTTTCAACTACAAAAGCCTTGTTATAGATGCATACTGACAGCCATTTCCTGAACTGATTTGTTAGAGAAAGCTACAGGTTGGTTCATGAACATGGAGATTTCATACTTACCAAAGTCACTATAATCATCAAGTAAGATTATTTCTTGAAGAAGTTCTCTTGGTGTTCTATCCAACACACTGTGTACAGTGCGCAATAATGTAGACCAGGCCTCATTGTAAAAACAAATGATGACACTGACTCTGGGTAGATCTCTAGAGTACACTTTGTATTTACATCTGCATGATGAAACAAAAAGTGTCACTCAATCATTTAACTACATGTATCTGGACTTTCTGAGCTTTTACTACAGACATATCCATTCATGCCATTAGGCACCACACACTTCCCATTAGGCAACCACACATGCAATGCCACACTGCATGGTCCAGAATAGCGTTTCACGTGTTTACATATTGGATCTTTGTCCAACATTAGCCCTCCAAACATACTGTACACTCTGTGCAAAGTTGTCCTTTCTGTCAAAATTAGACAAAGCTCTCAGCCTACATAAAGCAGAATTGACTGGCTGTGACTGTTTATGTAACTTGATACAGCTATTCTTGGACTGTAGATGGTTGATAAGCCAGCTGTGACTACCACCTGCCTGAAATTTGATCTGAAAAGGCATGGCAGGAAAAGGATTGATTTTTGACTGTCTGTGACTGTGAAGGCAGTAGGAAGGTTATACATTAATAACACTTTGATTGTTCCAAACATGAGATGTAAACCAATGCATCCGGTCTCATCTTCATAGACTTAGCACTAACCAAATTACTACACTTGCAGCCAAAGATACAGGTACTAATCAAAGTGGTGATCACTAATTGATGATCATTGGTTTACTCTTAACACTGGTATGCTTAACATGTACAGGGTGTATAAAAAAAAAGGAAACCCAAATGTAAATGCAAATTATAAAAGAAAAATGTAATAAATATTTTCAAATAAGTTAATGATCATGTGAAACACCAATAAGTCCCCTTTCCAATACCTTGACTGTGTGTCTGCTGATGACTGAGCATTCATTGTTATCTGTCAAGGGTCAAAACCTGCACTGGACCAAGTTTGTGCAGAAGGGCAACTGGTATTCTGGGCATGTGGAACAGCTCAATTTAAAGAAGACTTCCTTTTCCTGAAAACAATTCATCAAATTTTGACATAGTAATTTAACCACTCTCAATGTAGAAGTTAACCCGTCATGGCCCAAGTTAAAAGTGGCCACCACCTCTTTCCACACAAAGCTCTGCACGACATATATCGCCAACCGCCTGTCTGACCTTTGTACATGTATAACAAACTAGCCAGCAAGCAGTTACTTTTGCACAAACTTGGCACAGTGCAGGTTTTGACCCTTGACAGAATAACAACGAATGCTCAGTCATCCGTGACCACATACACACAATCAAAAAAACGATCATCGGAAAGAGGGCACATTGGCGTTTCACATGATCTGTAACTCATTTGAAAATAATTATCAGATTTTTTTTAATAATTAACATTTACATCTGTGTTTCCTTTTTTATACACCCTGTATTACTAATCATATAATAGAATGCGCGAAATGCATGTCATTAGTGAAAAAGAGACTTTTAACAACAAATATGAAACCATTCAGGGTGTCCCATTATTTTCACATATCAGATAACATACACACGTTCTACTTACAAAGGATTTCTGGAGTCTATTAAACTGCGGTGATATCCTATTCTTGTACTGACTAATTCATTGAAGGCGTGTCGTCTGAAGCCTTCATCTCGTAACCTTCTATCATCAGCTGTCCTTACTATTCCTAGAACACTCTCACTCTTTCCTTGGCTCTTTGCCTGTTGATCAATATCATTGTGTTGCATCTCCTTGTGTCCAAACTGGCCATTCTCCTCATTTGGATGATTATTGCTCAAGTTTACATCAAATAAGATGTTGTTTTTTACAGCATCATCTTTTGCTATCGGCATATTTTCTTCATGGTTTACTCTCCACGGCTTGACAAATTTGTGAGGGTGGTTGACCACTAAATGGTGTGGATGTCGTTTATAGTCCTGACTGTTCCAGAAATCACTCTCCTGATGATTCACATCAGCTAAAATCATGTAAATGATAATAGCCCATGTGACTGAAGCTACAACAATGCCATAGCAGAAACACCGAAAACGAAGACTAGCCATTATGCAGTGATGTACCGGTATCAACTGTCAAACATCTTAATCTCAGGCATGAAAATACTGTAAAAGAAAACAATTTCAGTTAAACAAATTACCAAAAAGAAGTCATATTTTGCATTGAATCATACATTCCATGCCTTTTATTTTTATCCACACATGTGCAAAACCAATGCATGCCCTGGCAAGTCATACACTCTTGGCATTATTTTGAACTTTTGAACATCTATACTGAGCATCTCAAATGAAATAACTACTTATTAAGTTACATGTATGTATACTTGAAAGTGTTCTTGTTCTACTAAGGGTGGTACTGTTTTCTTTGAATTCAGGTCTTATTTTTTAACTACATGTACGTGTCTCTCATTTTATTGCTTTATGGGGACTTACTTCGCATGTATACTTCTGTTGTCTTTTTTATCAATCGGTAATTGGAATTCATTATCTTTCTTTGTAATATGTGATTTTCACTTCATGTATGTACAATGTCCAAAATCTTTGGAGCCCTCTGCAGTGACGCCATGCTTTTTCAAAACAGCGTTCAGTCATGGAGCCCCTACCTAAAGAGGGTGACAAAGCTAGTACATGTACCATAATTAAGAAGAAAACCATACAATGAAAGGATGGAAGAGTTACACTTATTCCCACTTGAAGTGCGGAGAGTAAGGGGTGACCTTATTGAGACATATAAGATCCTGAATGGCTTCGACGATATGGATTCACAAAAGTTCTTCTTGCACAGGTGCATTTCGAATGATAAAAGGGAGTCCAGAACTAGTCTGAACTGGTTTCCGTCCATAAAAGCTGCCGTAGTTCCAAACTCCCTATTATCATTTGAAATGCACTTGTGTTTACAAATGCAATCCAGTCTACTCATCATAATCGATGCATCGCGCGCTCGGTACGAGAATTGCATTCGGGATACGGGGACCATCAAATGAACGCTGGGCATGATGACCACATCGCAATTCAAAAACGAGTCGGGAAATTTAACGTGTTCACGATCGCAAGGGGAGCTCCCCCAACTGAATGGGACATTTCACTTTTTATCCAGATCGTAAGTAAACTTCAGTACAACCATCTTAATCATCGATGTCTGCTTGTACCTCAGGTGGCAAATCTAGTAATTAAAAGGCCGTTTTGAGGGTGAAATCTGATGTTTTGGGTGGGCAATGTTGGGTTTTTGCCAGTGGGATAAGGACAAAATTGTGTTGTTCAGCATACGGATTAGCCTTAGTTGGACCCTACTATCGCCAGACAATGTCCGAATGTTAAAAAGGCGATAAGTTGGGTCCAAGTTACTCGGACTAGGAAATACCTACTTTACTTAGGCCCCCCCTCCCCCAAAAAAGTATCTGGTTTCTGGTATGTGAGCGTGTCGCCATAGCCATGCGCGTCGGTAAAATTAAAAAGTTTTTTCAATGTAAGATGATGTCTCAAAACCGCCAAACTCACTGGTTTGACTGGAATCCTGCTGCTGCACAATTTTAACATGTTTTTAGATAGGGTAACAATCAACTACAACATGTATAGCTTTATGTGGCCTCTCTTGGCTCCCATATATTTTGCAATAAATTTAGTCGGGCATCATTATGATACATGATATAGGCTTATATAAGTCCGAGTAACTTGGACCCAACTTATCGCCTGTTTAACATTCAGACATCGCCAGACCATGTTCGAATGTTAAAAAGGCGATAAGTTGGGTCCAAGTTACTCGGACTAGGCCTATCCTCAACCCTCCATTATCTGCGCGGGTAACGCTATACGCGCGTGCGTTGTCACACACAAATTGAAGGTAATTGGGTAGAAAAAGGACAGCGTAGCTTTAGGGGGTCTGACGATACATGCAGTCATCAGCCGACATTTGAACATGTTGAAGGAAGGGAAAAAAAGGAAAGAAAAAAAAGCCGTGCGCCGCACCACTTTTGGGGCAACCTCCATACCAGAAACCGAAGACATTTTTTGTGGCCTTATGTCTTACTGTTAGAAAATTTTCTTGACTCTCCATTAACAATGTTAGCAAGTCATGCAAATAGAAGTAGCGTTGTTGTGCGCTTTCTTGAAAATCACGCATTCTTAAGAATGCGCATGCACATTCTTATGATTGTGCAACTGGATCCTTACGCAATCTTTGCAAAAAATAACTCTTCCAGATTGAGCGCACATTCTTAAGAATGCGCTACAAGATAACGGTCTTGTCAATACCGAGCACCTGCTGCGCTTGGCAAGTCTAGCTGCATCCTGGTTCACTGATTCTTAATAATTATACTGTTGCAACGCAAGGCGCTGAAAAGTAGTGGATATGAAAAGTATACGCGTATTGGGGGGGGGGGGGGACCGGGAAAAAATATTGGAAAGAATTCTGATTTTTGGGATAATAAAAGCGAGGGGGGGGACGTAAGAATGAAGAATGTGAAGAATGAGAATGAATACTGCGACATCCCATAGTGCTAATGCTATTTCCCATTTAAATTGCCACCAATTTATTGTTCACACCCCCACCATTACGCCGCAGAGCTGGATTCTATCTAGTCAAAAGAGCAATTTTGGCAGCTTCTGGACATCCTTTTTTTTTTCGTGGCATGCATATGATACATACAGGGACTTGTAACTTGTCTAGCCTAAACAAAGCACTTCCCAGACTAGTTCCCAGTCCTCCGTTATTACAATATAGTGGGCAGAAAAATGCAATAACAGGTTTAATTTGATTCAAATTATCGTAGTTATACGAGTACAGAGGCATAGAACATTTTCTTTCCTCTTTATATGAATTGTTTCCCTTTTAACCGCTATAGGGCCTACATTTCATTTATTATAATTCATGTAATTATGTCGTGCAACGTTTGTTAAGATTGCGCAAAATTCATAAATTGTGCACGTGATATTCCCACGCAATCTTAAGAATGAGCGCTAATTCTTAAGAACGCGCGCTCATTCTTAAGAATGCGCGCTCATTCTTAAGAATGCGCGCTCATTCTTAAGAATGCGCGCGCATTCTTAAGATTGCGTGATTTTCAAGAATGGGCACAACAGCGTCAGGTTGCAACATTCAATAAACAGGAATGTCGTAGATTAGAGGGCAGGGTTTTGAGTTTTTGAGGTAAATTTGGGGGTAAAAAATGACGATGACAGCGCGGCGACAACACGCGACCCGAAAATAAAAGATGGCGATCACCATCGCAAGGCACAAACCGCGCAGGAAAATCGTGATTTCTACCCCAAGAATCTGTTCAAAATTGCAAAACAGGTGTCATTAGAATGGAGAAAAGTCTGTTTTTGATTGTAAAAATGTAAAGCCTAAAGGTGATTTTTGAGCAATAATTCAAATTCTACCTCCATGCTTGATCAAAACAAAACAGGGGCCCTACACTTCACGATCACCAAAGTTTGTGACTTCCTGAATTTTTGAGAAACGGAAAACATACTCACCACTTTCAAACACAAATCGTGATTCTGATCCCCATCCGGATTTTGACTGGACCGTAACGATCACACAAAGCGCCGCGCAAGGGATTTGCACCAAAGTTCAGGATTAAAAAGCGCTTGAATATATGCGCATAATAATTAATATTGCAACAACGCATTCGACAATCGACCCAGATTTTTTTCAGTCGTTTGCTTATATAGCGCCCTCTATGGAACAGACGTTTCCAACTGTCTGCATTCAGAAATATTTTTTTTGAATGGCATCACGGACCACGTGTATGGTTCGTGATGTGAAGGCAGAATAATAATTTTGGGTCAAACTTAAAAATACATGTACTCTCCATTTCACAATGCAATAGCGCTGATATATTTGACAAAGCCGGTTATTAGTATATTCAGGGGTTTGTCACCATGGGCATCGCCAGGATTTTTTCTAGGGGGGGGGGGGGGGCAACATTTCTGTGCCAAAAAATGCCAGTATTTCTCAACACATTCTCGATTTATCAGTTTTAAAGGGGGGCAGGGACATTCCCCCCCCCCCCCCACCCATTAAATTTACACCACTATGACATCGCGCCTCCTTGCCCCCCTCACGACGCCCATGTTTGTCACTAGCTACTTGGTTATGCCCCAAAGTGGGAGAGGGGTGTACGCATGTATCTAGTGGCGGCGCCAGACTTTAAAATATCTGTATCTCACTATCTGTATCATGTAGTCGGAAAAGCATCCCGAGGGAAACATAACACCATTTTGTTGTGCATCTCCTGTGGGGCTACGACAAATTTCATCACCCGGAATTTATTCTTTTACATAACCCAAATATTTGTTGGAAATGGATACAAAATTTTTCTTGAAAATGTCTGTACACCAGGTGCCATGATTTTACAGGAAGTTTAGAGTGTCATGCCCAAACAGTCCGGTAAGGTTTTTCATAATAAGTTGGTAGGTTTCCTTTTCTTTCTTTTTTTGAAGTTGAATGTATATTCCCTTTAATCTGATGGCTTTTCTTTGTGTCCAAGACCGTGAGCCCAGTCCAGCCTTCCCTATATGAAGTAGGCCTAGATTTGTCACAGTTCCCACTGTACTTGTTACAAACAGTGAATGTCGCACTTTAAATGTGGATCTCAGGCACATGAAGATATGTTCCAGTAAAGGTTGAACCAGCATGGAATAGGCTATGCAGTTTTTTTTTTTTAATAATCTTAAACCTGTGTACGTGCGCGCGTGCCCATTGTCAATGGTCCGAAAATACGCCACTTGGGGCAACTTACTGTAAGATTTGTATGAATGAGAAATGTATCAAATAAAACCGCAGAATGGTGTATAAATAAGAAGATTGGCAGGACATTATCTACGGCTATGTGTGTGTGGCATGTTTTGTCTAAAGCACCAATGTGTATAATTATGCTTTCTTTGGCCTAAAATGTGTCCACATTTTATTCATTTTAACAGCGAAGAAACTGAGCATAATTTATCCATTTGTTGATGTTGGGAGAAAACGGGTGGGGGTAGGAAGGGGAGGCGGGGCGCAAACTGTCACGGGGCAAGAAAAAACGGGGGGGGGGGCAAATCCCCCCCCCCCCCCAGCACCACCACTGCAGGGAGTACGATATTTTGGAGTGTCCCTTCGTTTTATATTTAATTTTTCTCCACATTTTCATGTCAACAACCGATCAACCAAGTTTATTTTGGACAATTTGTTTGTACATGTAGCTTCAAACCAGACAATATAATAAGTTTAATTAAACCATCAGAATTGGAGTTATAGCGGGCCGGTTGAGCAGCAGGCTGGTTGCACAATAGGCCCCCTATACTCTTCATTTTAAAACATCCCAGAAACACAAATTGACAAACTGTTTGTAAAAACTAGGCACATCAACTCGTTCAATTTATTGACCGCATGAGGTTCATTATCAGTACAAAGACATTAAGAGACATTATATGTTGATACCGCTATTTCTTCAAAGTACATGTACATGTACATAATAAGTCAATTTTTTTAAATGAGCATATGGGCAATTCCACGGTTACTCACGTTACATTTTCGTAACGTGAGTAACCAATTTTGTGCGTCTTGTTTATCATACATAACACATTTTTCTGGATGTCATCTTTGGTGCTTGGGTAGGTCTAGGTCTACTCTATCTACCATGGGAATAACAGTTATTAAACCTTTTCAGTAAGGTAATTACTGCCCAAGGAAACTCAAAAGTACATCAAAAATGTAACGTGAGTAACCGTGGAATTGCCTATATTCTACACCTCATTCTTTTCAACGATCAATTAATAAAATGATGAAATACTACAATAATCAAAAAGAAAACTGCATGTACAGGCGCCGATTCAGGGGTTGGGGTATGGTAAAAACCCTGCTCTGACTCCCCCCCCCCAAAAAAACCCATGTCCGCCTGTCCGCAACACTCAGACACAGAGGCATAACCAGCGGGGTTGTTTGTACATATTATGCAATATTTCATGATCTGACAGGCCTGGCACCCCCCCCCCCCCCAAAAAAAAAATCCTGGATCTGCCCCTGATGTACGCGAAAGGAATTTTTAATACGTTTAGGTCATAAAAACTACTTAATTCAAATGTCATCCTAAACAATGGACATTTGCCAATTTGGTTATATCCATATTTACCAACAAAACATACCCTGCTATAACTAACACCACTTTCTAAACTGGTACACAAACCATTGTTTAAAAACAAATGAGAAATGGGCAGGGTTTTCGGCTAATTAAATCATATAAAAAGTTTCAGAAAGGGTATGTGCTTATTCTATATACTAGACAAGTTACTAAAACTCGATAAGTTATTATTTAATCATCAGGACACAGTTATTTTGTCTTACAAGCCCCTCAATTCTTTCACTTTTTGCAAGACAGTCATCAATCCAAGACCTATAAGTGTTTTTTCCTTTCCCCAGTTTCAATTGATCCACCACTGTTTTCATTTTTTTAGTGTTTCATTATATTTGATTGCTACCTCAGATAAAATCAATTCCATCATACTTTTATTTAACACCCGAATTACAATTGTGTAAATGTTGCTATATTTTCTGTTAAATCTTCTCTGCTTTCCACAGAAACCAAATTGACATGTTGCTGTGTGTTATCATTCACAGTGTCTCAGATTCATGATCTAAGTATTCTTGTTAGCCAGGGTAACCTTGTACCTCATAAGGCGGTACCCTGGCAAACCGATTCCACAAATTTACTAATTTGACCTCTCACGATTAACCATTTATGACACTTCCAAATATGGATTGACACAATTTCTGTCCAATCAAATTGCTTGTTATAATATAAAGCTGATCACCAACATGGTCAGACAACTATCCCTATGTTGTGCTACATACTGGGATTTTGGCTGCCACTGCTTATGCCATGTACCATAGGCTCTTGCACCAACCAGTCCTCACTCCAACAAAAATATATCTACCAGTCAAGATGCACTGATTCAACAGTTCTCTGGTGATCATGTAGGCTGTCTACTCCACAACTACAAAATACTTGGCATTTTGTTCACAAGGCTACATGTAACATGCAAAGTTAGCCATACATAATTTATAAGAGTTTTTGGCTCTTCCAACCTGCCCCAATTTAAAAATTGTAGCATTGGAAAGGGGCATCTGGTTGTGTATTCTTGGTGTTTTCTTTCCTCATTTGGTAAGGAATATGGCTGTACAAGTATATGCATGTAACAAGAGGAACATGACCAGTAGTGTAGTGTTCAAACTGAACTCTATTATGGACATAAGTCTAGCAGCAACGCAAATTTGAAATATATTTAATATAAATACCAGTAAAAATAGATACCCATAAAAAAAAAGAATATAGATCTTTATATTTATAAAAAAAAGTTTCTTCTAAGCCTTTCCTATCCATTCACCTTTTTCATGGAGGGATGAACATGTTCAGTTGGGCAAAAATGTAGGTTTTGTCATGCTTATCCCTCCATGGATGTAGTGACAACTAGAGAAGAACTGCAGGAATGCTCCTTTAAAAAGTTAGAAACAGTTCCTAAAAGATGAATTTCAAATGAGCAGCTCTTTTCTGTTTTATCTTCACCATAAGATAGTATAGAAAGACAGAAATTAATCTAACTCCACATAATTTCTCACACATTGTGGTCAAAATGGAATTGATTATCAATACAGGGTTAGTAAAAAAAAAAAACGAAACCCAAATGTCAGGACTATTGTTTTAGTGAAGTTCTGCATGTAGCACTTTCAAAATCTAGGATATGAAAGTGGTTTTAAAGTTCTGTCCACGAATCAAAAAAATGTCAGTGTTTTTTCAGTAAAATGAAAACAAATCACATGTGTGATATGTGTGAATTGTTTTCGTTTTGCTGAAAGAACGCACACTTTTTTTGTGATCTTTGGATTGAATTTTAAAACGGTGGTTGTGTTTAAAATTCCGTAACTTGAAAAGTACATGAGTGATTTGAATGATTTCTGTATTAAAAGAAAGCCTATGAATTGGGCTTTCATATTCTAGATTTTGAAAGTGCTACATGCAAAACTTCACTAAAACAATAGTTCCGACATTTGGGTTTCATTTTTTTTAATCACCCTGTACATATGGAAATGTGTACATGTGGAAATGTTGTTTGAGCAACTGACATGTTTCATCATGACATGATTGGTGAATCAGAAATTATATCCTGAAAGCAAAATTAGCAACATATCAAATTTGACAAAAGATGGGATGATAACACTGATAAAAAGCAACTTTAAGTGACTACAGAAAAACATTTATTGTGTTAAACACTACAATGATACAACTTGGATTCAGATATATTTTTCTTCCTTACTAATACAACCTCTTATACATGTTATATGATGTATAAACCTTACAATTCTGTTGCTATTCTGACAGTATCTAGACATCAGCCGTGGGTCCTTTCTTCAGAGTACATGTATAGTATAGACCTTCAAATACTCATGACAGAGCGGATAAACTACACAGAAGAAAGTAATAAGAAATGCAATATAAATAATCAACAACGCAGAAATAATCAATTTTGAGAAAATAACTCGGGTGAATTTTTTATCAATTTAGTTCAATCATGAAATCTTACCCATGATTTTATTATCAATCCCAACAGCTCTGAATTTCTCAAAAACAATCTTTTTTTCTGCAGCATCCGTGTTCCATGTTCCGTGTGACAGGGTTGGTGCTACAAAAATGGGTTTATTCAGTGGCTGTCTGCATAATATAGGTTTTTCCGGCCAATTTCCTGAAATGTTCATTCACTTCTGAAAACCAGTAATTCATGATTGTTCAGTCAAGCCACTACATATTGTATATTACAGTGGTGTTAAGTTACTGTAATGTGTTAGATTTTGGCAGTGATTCAAGTAAACATGTGTGCTTGTTTTAAATACTTCCTGAACCAATTTCAGAACAATGCTTATAGTTTTCTCACAAGGAATGCTACAGATGTAATTATAACACCTCACCCACAGATTCTGTGTCTTGATTGGCCGAGAGCGAGTCACATGGAGCTTTCTATTTTTGCTATCTTAAGCACGGCCAAAAGTAACCAAAGCCCATAGCAACCAAAGTACTATACCCGTTGCAACCAAAGTACTATACACATTGTGTGCAAAATGCATATCGGTGTGGATGTATATTGCGCGTATTGTTTCCAAGCGCGAGCGCTACAGAGCTAGGTTCAAACATTTCGTGAAGGGGTAGTTAGCAAAAGTGCAAGTTAATTTTAAACTAATTTCGTATTCGAATAGAAGTAAACTTGTATTGTATTCAGATTAAATGTATCAGTTATTGCTTAAACTCAAGCAGAATCTGTGGGAGAGGTGTTATAAAACAAATATTGACTGCTTTATCTCGTGGTGTAATAAAACTAGCCCCCGTCAGTGATCCATGGAGCACTCTATTTTCCCTCGGCTTTACCTCGGGAAATGGAATGCTTCATGGATCACCTCAGGAGGCTAGTTTTACCACACCACTCAAAGCAGTCAATATTTGTATAATAGCAAGTACAATATACTTACATCATCATACTGGAAATTGGCCCAACCATTTCTCTGGGTATCCCTACTCTGAAACATAGCTGCAAAATAAGAGGGAAAAGGATTTTAATGATCCCTATGAAATGATGTAAAACCCAACAAAAACACATTACGTGAATCTCCCATTTGAGCTAGACCCGAGTTTGCCTATGACAAACTCGGGTCGTACCTACCGATTTCAGATTCAGCAGCTTTCAACGCGATCTCTCTTATCTGATCAAAAGTTAACGAGCCGTGAACAGGTGGTGTATGGTGCCTCTGCCTGTGAGCTTACTGACAAAAAATATCTACCAAAGTCTACTAGGTTCTTGTTTATAATGTAAAGTATTTGGAAAAGTGTCAAAAGTTATTATGTGAGCAACTTTGAATCATAAAAATCGATCAAATATATCTCGAGATATCAAATAAGAAACAGTCCGACTTCAGCCATGCTCTTCAAGGTTTCCGTTATTTGACACCACCAGCTCACGGTCACTGGCCCTGGGGAAGTGGGTGCCAGGGTAAGTGTTTATCTTATAATTACTTTACTGATAACAGCTGATAAGAGTCACAGTGAAATCGGTAGGTACAGTTCAGGGGTTTTGGCAAATGGGAGTTTCACGTAATGACTTGTTTTAGTATTATTAGGGTAATTGTGACCCAAAGTAACAAAACAAACCAAAAGTCCCCAAAACTAAACAGACCTTTAAAGTAGCACACGAAAGGGTTAAAGTTATTTTTTTCAGTTCCATACAGTTTTATCAACGGTATACATGTATATGTTTTTGGAAGTCTCCTAGTCAAATTTCAAAGTAAAGTTACATTCTTGGGAAAAACACATTTTTGTAATGTCTTAGGGAAATTTGGATGTACGTACATGTACTAGCATCATACATGTATTGTCGGTCACACCACAAAGTGCTGTATTGTGTATATGAAAGCAATATAGACTCCATCACTTGATAATGTGGAAACTATCCTGTCTGTCACTTTGTGGTGCACCCAATGATATTATGAATGTAATCATCTAGCAAAAGCACACTGCTGATAGACTGACCTGTCAAAGCTCTCAAGCGCACTGCACATGACACAAAATCATCAAATGTTATGTGGCCTCCCTTGTCATAGCGTTTAACAAGCACGCCCACAGCTTGAGGACTAAGATTGTACCCTGCGTGTTGAAAAGACGAAAGTAACAATGATCCACTCTGACCTGGTTATTCTCCAAGATGACAGGTTTGTCATTTCTCAGAGATGACGATAAATTGGATGTAAAGTTGACATCCATTTGTAGATTACTAAATCAGTATTCATTTTGCACTAGGCAACAAGCAACAGATTTTACTATGAACACACCATGCAGTGGAATGTTTTTGTTGAGTAATGATAATTTTCACTTAAAAGGCATCCACATGCACAAGTGTACATCTACACATTAACCCTCATCATCCCAACTCCATCAAAACCCATCCCCCAATTTTGATGGATTTTGGGGGACTTGGACCGGTAGACCTGATGTGACCAAATATTGATGGAGTATAATGGATTTGGGCCTGAAGCAGTGCTAGGGGTATCCAATTGATTTAAGCTTCATGTGCTGATATTGTCATATAAGTCATGTGTATTAAGTCCATCAATGTCAACAAGTGCGTTAGTGGTGGATTCCATTATGTCATGTTCATTTTTGTATTGGAAGCACAGTGATTGATGGATTTTGATAGATTCGGTCCAGTTCTAAGTAAAATACAATAGGGAATTAGGGTTATTAAAGTAAACGTTGGGAGACTGATTCTGCAAAAAAATGCATATCCATGTATAAGGACAATTATGGCTTGACAGACCTCTTAGAAGCAAACCCTTGGTGATGATAGTACACTGTACTGTGAATTAGGCTAAGGCAGATATACCCAGGTACCTGATTCTTGAAACCCGGCTAAAAGGGGTGGGCACCCAATTCCAATTTTTTTTTTTTTTTACTATGTATACATTTGAATAAGAATAGGACAAATATTGTGGATCAGGGTACATTGTACATACCAAAGCTTCTAATCGCATTCTGCAGTTCATGACCCTGGATGGTACCTGAGCGATCAGAATCAAAGTTAACAAATGTCTGCTTCCACTGGTTGATGACAGTCCACAGTTCCTTGAATTCATTGAAACCCATCTTACCAGAATAGTCACGCTGTGTCAATACAAATGTCTCATTAAGGAAAATCAGGTGAACACAACACTCAATAAAAACTGTTTGGAGTAACATCAGCAAATTCATGATAGCTGCTCTAATATCCTACCTTTCTTGATTTGACAAGGGGTCAAGTGACTTCATTTTACTTACAAAATGCTGGTTTATAAAAGGTTGAACAATTTACAACCTTTCTGTTTCTTCGTGACTGCTTGTCAGTTTTCTTCTGTGATGTATATTTCATGAAAAGTATATATTATACATGTATGCTGAAATACTGGTACAACTGAAACTCACTCTATCCAGCATGCTTGGATTTAACGCAAAGAAAACTTCAACCCTACATGTACATAATGTAAGTTAAAACGTAAATGTTACACTGAATTGGCATTGTGTTAAACACCTAAAATTCCTTGTTTGTGAATGAATAGATATTTATACTGGCTTAACATCCATTTCTATCATTGCGATACTATAAAGCAACTTTACTGTGTATGCATGTAGGTTTATCAGTTTTTCAACTTTTCCCCTTCATAGTAAATTTTCTTCTAAATCGAACATTGAATTGACTCGAAAATCAGAACAAACACTGACCCTCATCCTGATGTGTGCATATTACTTTACTGTTAAGTCATGATGATGTCATCAGGTAGTGAACTGCAAGCGATTTATAGTGAAAATTTAACCAAATTCAAGAGAGAAAAAAAAAGTGCTAGTGTAAGAATGCTAGGCTGAAAAATGCGACATCGATGGCATATATGGAACACCATACTTTTTGCCAGTTTTCAGAAATAGACAGACAGACAGACTGACCATCAAATGACATGTTGAAGCTCCTGCCAGAGCTTAAAACCAGCACTCATACCAGCACGCATTCTGTAAGATTGGGCAGCTGAAATCTCACCAATCTTAAGCTGCATATTCCAACAATCGTTGGATACAGGATGTGTACCCTTTGCCTAGAGAATTGCCAACATTTCGCCCATCTTCAAGAAGGGGGATAGAAGTACAGCATCCAACTACCGTCCTGTGTCCATCATATCCATTTGCAGCAAAATCATTGAGAACATCATTTTCAGTAAGATAATGGATCACTACGACCACCACAGCGTGTTGTAATAGATGGAAAGTTGTCTGGCTGGGCATCTGCAACCTCAGGAGTACCACAAGGGACAGTTCTTGGCCCCTACCTATTTTTGTCATTCATAAGTGACCTACCATCAGGCATTTCTTCTAACATCCGCAGATGACTGCCTGCTCTACAGATCCATCACCAACACCAATGACACCAAAGTACTTCAACAAGACCTAGATCGTCTTCATCAATGGTCCAACACATGGCAAATGCAGTTCCGTACAGAGAAATGCCACTCAATGAAGTTCTCCCTCCGTGGCAACATAATCAAAGCCACATATCACCTAGGAAACAGCACCCTGACATCAGTAGCAGACTACCCATACCTCGGGCTGACACTCTCCACCAACATGTCCTGGTCCAATCACATCAATAAAGTCACTTCCAGAGCCAACAGGATCCTGGGACTTATCCGGCGCAAACTGAGAGGTGCTTCGCACAAGCTGAAAGAACAAGCCTATCTCACGTTGGTTCGCCCGCACCTTGAATATTGCTGTGTTATATGGAATCCGTACTCCAAGAAGGACACCTCAAGGATCGAAAACATCCAACGTCAAGCAGCAAGGTTCGTATACTGGACAGATATCGTCGGTGGGAGAGTGTGTCTGCTATGCTGCAAGAAAACCAGTGGGCTTTGCTTGAAGAAAGACGAAAAACATCAAGTTCCTTCTAATGTACAAGATCCGACACCGTCTCATGGCAGTTAACCCTGACCTCTACCTCACTTCACTGGTTCCTTCATCAATGACATCATATCATCCTAATAAGTACCAACCCATTCTAGCTCGTCTCCAACTATACCGCTACTCATTTTCCCCTGCACACTCGCCTGGTGGAATGCACTCCCTGAAAGTTAAGGGAGAACCCTGAATGGTTCTAATGCCACTCCGTATGTAGTCAGGTAGTTGGCGTGGTTTACATTGAAATGACATCCCACTTACAAACCGTGTACAGCAGAAGAAAACTTCAAGCAGCTTTTTTATGATCGTATGTGTGTGCAATCATCAACTGATGGTCATTAGATCAAAGCAATACTCCCCTGTGAAGTTGGCAAAGTGGTTTGTACAAATCAAAGGATACGTCAAGCATGGCAATCATCACACGGCATGTCTCAAGGCTGAACTCTGCACATTAAACATAGACAAATGTTCATGAAAATATGATAGGGATCTACATGTACCTTAATTGCTTAACCTTGAAACCCTAACATGACTAAATAAAAAGCAACTGACTAGCATTCTGAGTATTTTAGTGGGTAATCCCAATCAATGGTATATGGCAGTGCATAGGTTATCAACATGATCAACTCATAAGCCATGACAGTGGGCTTGTGAAGTGGGTTTTAAAAATAACTGTTCTTTCACACAACCACTTTATTGTCTCAAACTCTCTAAACATCTCTCTATTTATGAATCATTCTACAATGGCTCACTCAACCATGTTAAGCAACACAGCCCAGGATTACTCAAAAGTAATATGCGGGTCTAAATGTTCCTTCTTCAGGTTGGTATATCGGAAGAGAAGTTTTAATTTACAAGGTTTCTTTTCTCCAATCGGTAAAACAAAAAGGTGCAAAAATTGGATGGGGGGGGGGGGAAATATAACAGGCCATCAGGAGGATCAGACATCAGAGCAAAGGTACATGTAATTCTTTTTTTTCCCACAAATAATATTTCAAAACATATTTCCAGTTTGTTAAATTTCCAAACTTCTTGGGTATCAAAAGATGTTTGCACCTCACTTTGAAAGATTTTGGCACAGCTGGTATCGGTTGCAAATAAGGCTTGAAAATGCTCATTTTATCATTGTCCCTTCTCACAAAAACTTGTGCCAGAATGCATTTGCACATAAACTTGAACAGTCATGATACAATCAAGTTGCATACAATAAATTTATTTATACTTTATGATAAATTCAGGTCAACAATAAATTCATAAATAAGACACAAATAAAGGTACTCCATGCCAAACTTACGTTGGTAACTTCCAGCTATGCCAGATGATGTCAGGCACCGTTGTAACTCTACCGGTTCAATCTGCCCATCCTGCATACATGTAATCAAGTTACCGTGTAAGTGTTCATAGGAGTTAATATTGAACACTAAATCCAAAGCCCCGTTTTGGAGAATTTTTGTGGATTCAGGATACTGGGGAAATGTTGGATTGAGGATTGTTAGCCTAGTGGTACTGCATGATTTTTGATGGATTCAGGATACCTCCATATTGAGCAGTCACCTACTCCAACATTTTTGTTGTGACATAATTGGTGGATTTTGGTGGATTCAGGATAGTTTCTAGTAAAGATAACCAAGGGGTTAGGGTTAAACATTTGTGTAATTTTGTTTTTAAACACAAAATTTAAAATATGTACAGTGTAAACATCCTGAACGGGTATGCACTGTATCGAGATTGGGAGGAAGTGGAGGAGGTACTCTAGGTGTATACGTCACAACTTACAAACCAACATGAGATGGGGGTAGGTATGATCTCTAAGGAGTCATGATCCAGTCTTAAGATCACATCTCTGCAAGGTCAATATTTTGTAGCAGGGATGAGATTGTCTATTTAAAAAAGTCTGAAAATTGGATGAAAGGTCTGAAAGATGCATTACTTTCTATACAGATAATGTCTTTCTCACAAATTCCAAAAGTCTGCAAAATCTCATGCCTGTTGTAGACGCAAACCAACAGTTGCTGCAAAAGCTTCTGGTGCTGACATTTCTTTTTTGTAGATTTGACTTGCTCACATCAGCTCCAATTATTGTTTGTCACTGGTTGACGCCTTAAATAGAATTTATCTTGCTGTTGTATGATTTATCTCACTTTTGTATAGGAAAATTTAGACTTAATGTTAATTTCAACGATTTTGGAAGCTACTGCAATTAATAACACTTTGTACTGATGATGTCACACATTGTTTACCGCGCAGTGCATTGCAGGAAAGAGCGGGGATAACCGCTAAAGATCGTATAGTATCTAGTGCACTCCACACAGCATGTGTGTGGATCCATCTCCAATTTCAAAGAGCTAGCGTTTGCTATAATTCTCTCTCGAAAACTGTTGTGTGCCAGCCATGATTAGGCCTCCCCCCAAAAAAGTTCTGCTTCCGGTTACCCAACCTACCCCAAGTTAATTATATGGCGTGACCCTAAAATTTTTATCAGCTAGTTTAAAAAAAAAAGAATGTTGTCTTTTTTGTCTTCATGTCATAAAAACACTTTAATAGCTCAACAAACTGTTTACGTCAAAAACGCTTGAAATGTTTCTACTGTCGGTATTAACTTGTTTGACTATGGAAGGAAAGCTGCGTTGTTTTCCCCCAATGTGATCAGCAAGGCTTCCTGGTGGAGAAAGCACATGTACCGTATGCATCAAGTATGCAGCAATTGTAGATGGTCGTTCCTGCTGCACTAAAAGGGCCAACAAAGTGTAACGGGTCGAATTTGATACAGTTAATATGCCAAACCAAAATAGATGGAGAAAGAAAAGTTCTGCAAGTTGATTCACAGAACATGATGTCTTTTCTGTGTATGTATTTTCTGTTTTAATATATTTATTTCGAGGTTGTACCGCTCGTACTTGAGGTGCACTACAGCGTAGCGTGTTTCCTGGAACTGAGTTTCTACCGTTGGTAGTCACGCACACTGCGCTGATACTGCATGATATACATGTATGGCCTGTGTTGGCCAGTGTTGTCTAGTGGTGTGCACGACCTAAATTCTCCGTTATTTTTTAAAATTCAACGACCTTGAACATATTTTACATTGATGAATGCAAGGTTTTATCACCTTTGTAGGTAGATTTCGTGGTGCAAATGAAAATAATTCAGACCCCAAATATACAATACTGCATATTTCGTATCGCGAGCGGGATGCGATGACTCCCACAATGCACTGTGGTAAACATTGTGACATCATCAGTACATAGGGCCATTGTATGTTTGCAATCATCAAGCACAGACACCACTTACCTGTCCTGCCACTGCTTGGAACCATCCATACAAAGGATCCTGACATACAAATTGACATAAAAGGCAATCATAAATTTACAGTTTAACAGACTTCTAGTATGTATGTAAAAGATCTGTCTCAATTTGTAAACCTACATGTAGCAAGTACAAGTTTCATTCATTTACCATAACAGCAATAAAGATCACTTTCATTTATAGCAATATCAAATACATTGTAAACTATATTTTTGTACAAACACTGTACATGTGTAAATAACATTCATGTTGCACAGATAGGCATCATGGACAATATAATATCAGACTAGCCTAGACTACACTGCATCTGCAACTCTCAATTTTTATTTATTTATTTTTTTTTTGGTGTTGCTTTTCCACACAGGCAGATCTACCGTATGTAAACTGGTTCTGGGTTGGGGGGGGGAACCAGTTTACCCCGAAAGAACTAATTTTATTGTCATACTACAATACCTCAAATTTTGCAAAGTCAATATTCCATGAATCCCCAACACACAGAGGTGGCGATCATGTGATCTTTAGAAGGAAAAAAACAGCTACAGTTTTTGGACTGTATTTCTCTTTAAAATATCCTCCAAAGTCAAGGATAACTAAGAAAAACAAGAAATCTATTTCAACAAAAAGTAGGATTTGATTTAGTGGTGGGATTAAAATCCAGATTTTTAAAAAATCTGTTTGAATTAAACTCTTTAGTTTACAATTTCGAAACCGGATATTCAAAACAAAAAATAAATCCTTCCCTTTTTTGTGAAGCTAAAGAAAACAACTATAACATCCCCAAATTTGCCCCATGGACTCTGATTTTAACTGTATTCACTTGCTAGTGGTCTTCTTGGTTCATAAATAGCTTGCCTACTCGGCCGATCAGTGAGTTTCCATCCTTTTCTTTTTACATTCTGAAATGTTTTCACAAAGGCCCAGTTGTCTCTCAATCCTGCAAACTATCCAATCAAACCATGCATGCAGCACCTAACTTGTCACTTTTTTGTTGGCAACACTGTCAGCTGAATGGGAGATATCTCACTGAAATTCGGATAACCATCATTCGCTTTGAAAAATTAGGATAACCAGATTTTGAAATCTGCAACTTCTTCCGCCACTAATTTGATTTATAAAATGAGGCCAAAAAAAGTCTTCAGTTTCTGGTATGGCGCTTGCCCCTAAGGTGATGGGGCGACGCAGGTTTTTTTTCCCCCCTACTTTTTTGTTCTTCAAAACTCAGCTTGAGGCGGAGCTTGAGGTGACCTCTGTCAGGCCATAAGGCTTGAGAAATCTACACCCACTTACGATCTCGACCGACACGAACAGTCTTCAGGAAATTAGATAGTCAAGATGTATGAAATAATATATATGGGCCCACTGTTTTAATACACAACAAACGTGCACTGACAGAAGGGAACTTTTTTCACGTAAGGTTAGGTTAACTGTTACTGTTAGGCTGTACCTAAGCTAGCCCAGGTTGGACGACGTCTTCATTACATTACGACTGACGTCCAGGGTATAAATTGTACCACTTCAGTGGTTGTGTACAAAGTAGGGGGCCTAGGGGCCTGGCCTAGGTATAGCCCAGGTTGGACTCCGTTGTCAAGCAACGGAATCCAGGGTATGAATCTCTCCTGCGATAGCGAAAAAAATTATAACACATTTTTTTCATATTTTTACCTGACAAAGGCTGAAATTTCGCTTACATATTCCTTGTGTCCAGAACTGTGCCCACGCTGGGTTTAGAAAAGGCAAATATGTCCGCGGGCGGCGTGTTTACCGAAAATAAAACGCAAGTTCTACGCTTTCGTTGAAACCCCGCGTGAAGACTTACACGCGCGTGCCATTTGCTGCCGCTTGCTGCCGTGGCGGCAGCGTGCTAGGTGTGCATGCACGCGCGCGCGTAATCTTCACACGGGAGTTCGTACTGAAATGTTTTCAACGAAAGTGTGGGACTGCGGTTTATTTTCGGTAAACACACCGCCCGCGGACATATTTGCCTTTTCTAAAAGGAATATGTAAGCGAAATTTCAGCTTCCTCCGTCAGGTAAAAATATCCTCGTGTGACCATTTTTCGCACACTTAGTACTTTGACCGATTTTTCTTGCATTTAACTACATTGTAAGCCCTACACAATTATGGACTTTAATATTGTTAGAATGGCTAATAAACTACATGGAAAATAATTTGAACAATATCGAACGTCAAGGAAGCACCAAGAACGTCGTCGTCTGCAGATGAGTCAAATTGGCAGCCACGAAAGTTTCGTGCCCATATTTCGCGCACGAACGGAAAACGTCATTCAACGGAGTCTCCATTGTGACCTACTTCTGAAAACAATGTGGATCGATGTTTGTTGAATAAAAGTATAAGTTTATGTGCACAACTTTGGTCTCTACTCTAGTTTGATAAACTAACTTTTGTTTGCCATCCCACATTGTTACTAAACACACGTTTGTTTAAATATGAAATAAATGAATTTCGTTCGATTTTTGTAAAAACAACTGCATGCAAAATATTTAAAATCATATCATAGTTCAAAATTTGAGGTAAATAAATTAAATCCATAATCTTATAATATATTTTTTGTCGAAAATCTAAGAAGCTTAGTTAAATCTTATCCATGGAAAGAGTTCCGAGAATTTTAGTATTGCTGAAAATCAAGCATGTGCCAATTACATAACATTTTACAAATGTATTCTCCAAAAATAAAAAACATATGCAATATAACTTTAGTATGCCGTGGCTATATTTTTAAGTACATGGACAAATATGTTTTTAAATGACCCCTCCATCAAAAACATAACAAAACCACCCTTCTGTAACCATGTTCTCCGGCATTTATTGCTCATTCCTCCATGCTCATTCTAATTCACCTGCAATCAATCAATCAGTTATGTAGGCGCACGCGCCTGCACGCGGTCGACCGTACTGTGGCCTCGACACATGGTTGCATGATACACATCATTTCAATAAAAACAAAAAATAGGTATATTGCCTTCTTTTTGGGTACTCTAAACATTACGATTAGGTCTAATTCCAACAGAAATATATTTTAAAGCATATTCCTTCCAGCAAACAACTTGGTACCGAAATTTGCATCTCAGCGAAACCATGGCGAAACAGATCGTAGAATAATAACGCGATATAAGGTGCACGTCGTTTTTGTGCTCCTTAATCTGATTACGCCCACTGTTGTTTAATGAAAGTCGACCGAAGTTATCTTTCACGTTTCGGGGTTGGACGGCGATAGTGATTGGAAATTCGTAGCGATGTTTTTATTAGTTTTCTGGGCCATTAAAAACGTTATGTTTTGTATCTAGTCAGTGCGGCAATAATTCACTCTCTCTTTGATTTCTTTCAAATTAGCATGGAACGCCGTATTATCGCGGTTCTCGTTCAGAATTGAGATTGCCCACTAACCTTCCAGAATTGTCCTGTCTTATGTGTAGTATAACTCTTCCTTTTTAAACTAATATAAAAAAATCTGACGGGTGGTGTGGTTTATTCCGTGTACGATGCCTGTGAAAATAGACATGCACGGCGTGTGCGAACGGAGGTGGACTCCCTATTATCGCGGTATGCGGGAAGTGGTTTTTATAATGATCCCAACTTTTTTGTTCATAGTTTATGTTTGACCAAAACACCCCCTGAATAAAGTCTGATATTTTTCCTGTAACGTTCAAGTTGATTAAAGACAAAATGGCTGCAGGATGATTTCTTAAGACCCTGCCCTTCCCCCGAAAGGAGAACACAAATCCCTGAGGCAAGTCTACTGATCGGCGATTGAGGGCGCCATTCACTTTACACGGTGTGCCGTTTTATTTGCGCTAACGCGCGGTGCTTATTTTGATCCCGTAAAAGTTGTTACGATTTCGCGCTGCAAATATCGTCGTTCGACTTCATTTTACATTTGCAGCTGAAGAATGGGAACCAGACAATGGAACTTTCATGGACAGAGCGCAATTAAAGATTTATGTTAAAATATAAACGGTACCTTTTAGCAGACACGGTGAGGAAACATTTTGCAAGTTTTGGAAAACGTTAATATTTATTAAAATCGTTAAAAATCCCGAAAGACACAACATTTTTTAATCGTCCTTTTTATACAACTCCGTAGAAAATCCTTGATGACTGGTGAACTGGATAAAAATCGCCGCTTGAAGGAATTTTGACACTGTAAAAAGAGAAATTTCCCATGCCGCGATAATAGGGATGCCGCGATAATAGGGAGTCCGACTATACTTCTCGGAAAAGCTTTTGATTTCCGCATAACTGCATTGAGAAGAAAGGCGATGCGACGATGGATCATTGACAGTGATTTGACGTCGGTCCGTGTTGTGTGAAAAAAGATACGAGCCGAGAATGTTGGTTGCGCGAATATTGGGCAGCGCGAATTTGGGGCACCGCACGATATGCCAAAAATGAATTTGTTTCGCTATAGAATTTATACCCCGGACGTCAGTCGTAATGCAATGAAAACGTCGTCCAACCTGGGCTAACTCTCCATAGACTTTGTACATAACCGCTGAAGTGGCGTCAGGTTGCAACATTTTCATGAGATTTTTTTTTACATTCTTACCTGCTGAGGAGCACCGGGGTACCCAGGATAAGCCATTCTATTCGCGTTTTGAGATGTTGAAATCAAGGGTGTTGCCCGCGCGGTACATATACATGTACGTAGGTCATGTAGGTGTACGTGTACGTACGTGCATATACGTGCGCTCAAACCATGCCAGCGCCACAGCATGGATCAACCACAGCTAGTACCAGGGACGTGACAGTGCGCCCTCTCGCGTCTATGATGAGTCCTTAGCTAGCTTATGCCCAAAGATGCCACACGCACGCCGGACTAGTGAAGTTTCAGTTTGAAATACTTAGCGCGCTCTCAAAACTGTGGTAGGGTTCTTGTTCTTTGGTATTTCGTAAATTATCTTCTTATTTTGTATTTATTTTGAAAGACCTATTGGCCTATGTTTTGGAAATTTCTGCTCTTACTACTAGTTTTAAACTGGCTGGACTCTATGATATGACTTAGCTTGAGTAACTCCAGCTTACTCCTAGAACTATGACAATGAGGCTCCACTACGTGGAGCCTCATAGTTCTAGGAGTAACTCCAGCTTACATGCTCATAGTCATATTCATTCACATGTGAATGAATATGACTCTAGAGCATGTCAGCTGGAGTTACTCAAGCTAGATATGACTAGGCCAGGCGCGGTTCTAGAACCAATATTTTTTTGGGGGGGGGGGCTAGCACGGTGGATCCAAAAAGTTTTCAGGGAGGCGTGTACTCCTAGAACTATGAGGCTCCGCTCACGCGGTGGGGGGGGGGGGGGGGGGGGGGGGCTCATGCCATATTTTCAATGGGGAGCGCCAATAAAATCCTAAAATCATTCACACTATATTAACTAATTTAATGCACTCTTGTCACGGCTATTTCTTCTTTAGGGGGAGACCGTTCGCATGTACATCACAATCCTTCTTTTTGCTAATGCAATTTTTTTTTACGGAATTTATTTTGGGGGGCTAGACAAAATTTTGGGGGGCTACAGCCCCCCCCCCCTAGCCCCCCCGTAGAACCGCGCCTGGACTAGACCCGTGAACATGGCGTAGTTTACAAGCCACGTTCACGGGTCTATGATATGACGAGCTTGTGCTTGTGCTTGTGTGGGGTTGTGGAGGAGCCGGAGCTCGCCTGTGTCAATGTCACTGTATCACCATATGTCATGCTGTGTGTGGGGAATAATAATTTGGAGTTGCTGCTTAACCAGTTCGTGCCAGAGGCCGTGTATACATGCAAAAGTTTTGCAGAACGAATGACAGATAAAAATGCACGGAGAGAGGCTGTCATGTCTGTCACTGTCGGCGCCTAGCCCAAACTAGTGTGGCCGCAATATTGTGCAAAATATCGAGGCCACACTAGTGGGACTATGCCTATGTACATGTAGGCGACCTGCTCACAGCGAGCGTTGAGTGAAAAGTAATCCTGTGCCTTGTTCCGTTCTTGTCAAAATAATCCCAGCGTGAACTGGTTAAATTTGATCAAAGATGATGTGTTGACTAAGCAGTTTCATGGTAATATGCGCCATCTTGTTCCTGGGGCAAAAAGAGCACGCGTTGCTAGACCTGGGCGTATTTTGGAATAACCGCATGATGAATTGGAAGTGCCAAAGTTTTCCATTGAAGATGCGTACACAGCATGCAACGCGTGTAAAATTGCCCTGCCGGCAAGATGGCGCATATTACCATGAAACACCTTATTAATCGTCTTGGGCATTCCAATCTACCCCAGTTAGTGGACAAAATTTAGCATTACAGGTGTGCACTATGGGGATGGGTGATTGTAAGACTTTGGTGTTAGTAATGGTATGTCGGGAAAGCTGGCTTTAAGTAGCGATCACTGTCGACCAAGTTATTGGTGATCTTGTACATTAGGATGAGTTTTAATCTTCTACGTGTAAGTTGTCGCCTTCTCTCAAGTCTCATGTCTCTCCTCCAGTGTATGTGTCCAACTTATTCTGTGCAGGTGGTGCGGTTGTAGTTGCGTTTAATGAATGTAGCAGCCCCCTCTGGATTTTCTCGATGTCTTTGATGTGTCCTTTCTGGTGGGGATCCCGAGTCAACGGCAGTTGTTGGTGATTGGCCTTTAAATTATGAAGGACACGCTGAGATCGATCCATCAGAAACGAAGCACTCCAGATGATGAGCTGATCATTGATACCATAGTGTTTTAATTTGCTGATTAAACAGTGGTGTGGTAGGGTGTCAAAAGCTTTTGTAAAATCTAAGATGATAACATCAACGCTCTTTTTCTGGTCGAGTGCTTTGGTGAGATCATGAAGTGTGATGACAAGTTGTGAGTCACAAGAACAGTCCTTTTCGAATCCATGTTGGTTTTCTGAGAGAATGTTGTGATGATTGTGATGGTTCATAACCTGGCTGTGCATGACGTACTCTAACAGCTTGCAACAGATACTTGTATGGGACCCAGGTCGATAGTTCTTAGGTTCAGGTCAGTTGCCTTTCTTGAAGATTGGTGTCACGTTGGCAGTTTTCCAGTCAGATGGGAAGCATCCAGTTTGGAGGGATTGGTTAAAGATTATGGTCAACACAGGTGCTATCTGCAGAGCGAGCAATCGAAGAACCCTGCTGGGTAGGCCATCAGGTCCTGCTGCTCTCGAATGATCCAAGTCAGCAAGAAGTTTCTCCACTCCTGGTGATGTAACAAAGTTGTCCATGAGTGGGTATGCTGGCCATGGGGCTCCTTTGTCTTGGATATGTGTAAATCCTCCTTAGTGAAGATGGAGAGATTTCCGCTCTTCCTCTTCCTGTCTGAGACCAGCTGGCCTTGATAACGAAGAGCTGCAATTCCACTGTTGTCTCTCCCCAGACCCTTAATAAAGTGCCAACAGATCTTCGGGTTTTCATCCATCTTTGAGAGTATAGTATTGATGTAGTTCCAGTACGTCCCATTTTCTTCCACTGTCCTGTTAGTTGGTTTGGAGTGCAGCAAATTTGAGCAGAAGTCCTCCACATATCCATCGGTGTCAATTTGTTTAAACATCATAATTTTGCGAGGTAGGTATTTGGTTCGCTGCAGTTTGATATCCACCTGTATCATGATTGCATCATGCCTACATGTAGTCTGGACATGTGGTAGATATTGTTCATTACTATACCTCATAAATATTCATCAGGCAGCCACGGCATTTCATTGGTCCATTCCAGCAATGCAACTGTGTGAAAGTTTTTACTATTTCCCCGCGTCTTCATATGTGGGCGTCACGCGAAAAAAACAGGGAGGTACTGTCACACACTTGGGTCGCAGCCTTAGATTTGTTCCAGTACTGTATTATCTTTTTACCAACGACGCAGGCACTTTACGTGCATACAAGATCACCAGTGAGGACAGTTGTGCAATTATTATTATGTCTATTACGACATACATCAAAACGGCGACCGGTGGTGCTTGCTTTGCGATTTTAACCGAGGAAGAACTGGGTGAAATTTTTGACAACAATGATAAATCCAGTGTTGTGTGTGAATGTTAAAGTTATTAAATGACACAACATTAACTTTCTATTCTGTTTGTCGCCTTAAATTAAAACTAATGTTTCAGTTAAATCAAAAACATGGTGAACTGGACCAATGAAATACCGCAGCTGCCTGATAAATATTTATGAGGTATAGTAAAACAAATATATCATGTTTTTTGTGGGGAAATAGTGAATACAAATGATCCCTCGTTGTTGGATGATTGGGACTATCTCCCTCGGCTTCGCCTTGGGATATAGTCCTAATCATCCAACACCTCGGGTTCATTAGTTTTCACTATTTCCCCCAAAACCATGTTGTATTTGTATACTGTTGTGGGATTATTGGTTAAGAATAAATCTATCAAACTTTCACAATCATCCTGACGATGCCTAGGTTCTTTGATCTGCTGTAATGTTCAGAAGTTACTGACACTGGACACCTTTGCTGGCATACTTTGGGATAGAGTTGGATCCCCTGTATCCATATGTTAGCAGACTTCGTCCCCTCGGATACCTTAGGAAACTTCTAGCCGATCGAGACTGTTGTTCTTGTCATCAGGGCGTCTATAGAAGCATCCAATGAAGACAGACTTCGCACCTTTAATCTGAAGTTGTTCCCAGGGGAGTTCACTGCAATGAGTCACTCGCATTCATTGATTTAAATGGGAAAAAATCAAATGGCTGCAACATGATAATGGTCTATTAGATATCTCGTCAATTTGCTTGGTGTGCACGGTGTGGACTAACCCGAACGTTATATGCTCTATGGCCCCGCACTGGAGTAGACGCTGTACTATGGGCCATAAGTACATCAGCCCAAAAGGTCGGTTATTGGAAAGAAGAAAACAAAAATTCTTGGAAATCATTTGGACTCCTACTCGGCTTGTTAGCCTTGAATACAAGGCTGTGTGTGATCAGCGTGCAGTCATCGATGTTATTGAACCGGGCTCACAGGTCCACACACACAGCGAACCTCGGTCCGTCACATCATACTACGAAGCCTGGCACGCAGTACATGCACACAGTATGTACAGTACTGCCCATGGTCCGACAGGACAACAGCCTGGATTCAATTGTAACTTCCGGGTTTTGTGGTTAATGAGTTGCTTACGATCCAATGGGTCTGATTGGACGAGCTATGCCCTGGGTCACTTCGCAGGTATGCTGGTGTTGGGTTACCAAACCAACAATTATTGATCAGATGAGGAGTATGCATTATTCAGACTGAATGATTTCCATATCCTGTCACCCTCCTCCCCCCGTCATTTGCCTGAGATTCACGATGCAAGGTAAAGAAACACATAAATCCCGGAAGTGACAGAATAATCAAGGATGTGCTCCTCCTACGGAGCATAGGCTGGACTCATGTACGAGTGGGTAAGCATATAGAGGAGAACTGATTGGTTGAAACTTAGAAGGCTTGCATATATTAGCATCTTATTGTGTAAATTGAAGTGACTTTTAAATATTTTGAGTATATTTTAACAACAGAATTACAGAACATACTTATCAAGTACTGGTAACACAGAAAATGAATCCGTAAGTCCGTAAAAGCCTGTGTTCTTATTCACTACAGAGTTTCTTTTTATTTGTTTAATTTATTTTATAAGATGGATGCAACAGCAACACAGACACTGGCAGATTGTTCTTTACCGGCAAGGGAAGAATTGATGACATTATGTGAACTGAATGGTGACTTAATAACAACACAGTTTACAAATGATGATCTAAGCAAACGGATTGTACAGGTACTGCTTTCATTAAAGGTAGAACTAAAAAAGAGATCGAGAGACTCTCCAGGCAGATTCTTTCTAACTTAATCATGTGGAAATGGATCTAAATGCTGCTAGAATTTCACATTATTTGGTTTTTCACATTATTTGGTGAGGATGAGAGCACATTGTCCGATGTCGTGGCTCTGCTAACCACAGAATTCCACGCTGACTACCACCATTTTGTGCTAAACGCCTTGGTATAGATATGTTGTGCTGATCCTGTAAGCACAGAATCCTTAGTTGTATGCATGGGCAGAAGCCGAATTATTGCTAATCCATGAAATATGCTTACCATAAACACAGAATTTTCTGCTACATGTATCATAATTAGCGATTTTTTGCTAACAGTAAGTATTAAGTAGAGTCAATAAATTGGGCCTTGGCTCCAGTCATTCACAGTTCAGTGTACCATAAAAAGAGGGCCATACAGAGGCTTTTATGAGAAGATAGTCAACAAACGCACACAAACAGTATTCCGTGTGTGCAAGTGTTTACATTATGTCGGTGTGAGACTTCAAAATGCATCATTTTTTGTGTGGATATGGCATGAAAACTATAGTAAACATGATAAACTGTAGGATGTCAACTCATTTAGGCAAACAGTTGGCAGTGTACTTCATTGTAAATTGCTCCTATTGTAAAAGCAATACTATCAGTGCGACAGTTCTGGATCACTTTTTATACAAACTCTTGTTCGGAGTTTCCATGCGTGAGTGACATCATTTTATAGTAAAATTCCTCCTCTTCAAGTTAAAACCAAATGTGTTCACACAGACTCAACTTAAAGGGAAACAAATCATGGCTCTTGTACAGGACTGAACCCGACAGTTGCGGATAACTTTTGACAGTTCCGGATCACGCACCCTGCACTACCTGGGACACGTACAAATTCATCACTCACGATGCGCTCATCATGTAAACTAAACACTCAAAACTGCATTGTGTGCATGAGTGATCCGCAACTGTCTCATGTGGGGATAAAAATCTTTCGGCGAATACGGCAAATCAGTTAATTCAAATGCTCAAATCATTATTACTCAGTGATGCTTGAGATTATGTCCTTGCAAGGAAAATATAGTGAAGAAAAAGGATAAATGAAGACTATGTTCCACAGGAAACCAGATGTTTGCCTTTACGCGCTTCCTTCACAGGCCAGTTAGGAAACAAGGGGACATTTCGCTGAACTGGATTGTGGGTGATGTTTAAGTGATTTCCAAAATTTCTTTTACCCAACTACCGGTATTGCAAAATGAAAGACCTTCAAATTGGTGGGGAAAAAACTCGAAAAAAAGTTTGGTTACACTTGAATTACTATATTAATGTTATTAAATCATGTAATCCAGAACTGTCTAATCTGGAACTGTCGCACTGACTGTACGTTATTTGACTCTATTATCAATGTCTATGTCTTAGTTGGAAATGGCCATCGGCATCCTTGCCTTGCCGGTTTCCCTTAAAACAATTCTGACAGACTGATCAACTGTGAAAGATTTTGTTTAGAAATGTAACTACACTAATGACTGCCCATTCTGAGCACAACATAAACTTGTTCTTTCTTTTTTCATTATAAAAGCCTCCCATTTCCTTCCAATACCAACATTTTCTTTGCAGTATTTTGGTAGTTTCAGTTCAGTCTTACCAACATTGTAGTACTGAACATAGGGCTGGATGTCCAAGTTTTGTTTCAGTACAGAAATGGATCATCGGGTATAATTGTGGTAGTGGTTGGTGGGGGGGGGGGGGTAAAAGTGCCTAGGGAGTTAGAATTACAGTACATGTACTTGTACATTGTCAGTGTTGCATAAATTGTTCTTTAAAACGTCAATTTTTAACTTAATTTACAAATTGGTATCACAATAATCCTGATCTCAGGATAAGCGTATTTGTAGGTTATGATGACCTATGAAGTATCACATTACATCACATCTCTGTTTCTTTCCAGGGGTTCGTTTTCCCCAAAGTCACCCTAGCACTTGAGACTCTGTCCTCTTTAGCAACAGATGAAGATGCTCCATCAGCCTTTTTACCATGCGATGCTCGTGTGCCTTTGTGGAAGAAATGCTGGTACTTATTCAAGGAGCATGGAACTTGCGGTCTGCTCAATGAATTAACCAAGACCAATGCAGAAGGTGAGACAATATCTGAATTTTGGGCTCAATTTGACCATTTTATACACTGGCTCAAGGCGTATTCTACACACTGCTGTGCATTGAGCCAACCCGACAGGCTAGGAAAGTAATCCTTGTGGCTAATAAATCAGGACATTTTGTACTTCTGAATTCTTTTCAGCTGACCATATTTTCTGTTAAAATGGGACGTGACAACCATTTGAAAGGTTGTGCACCTGTATATGACATCCAAAATGCTTGGAGTTTTGCACCGTGATACGATTTAAATGAAATGCGTTCTGTTACCCAAATCATGATAATCTTGAAGAAGGATTACAACTCGATATGTACACTTACAGAGACATTTTGTATCTTGGCCCACACGTGACATTAGGGAGATATTTCGATGTCTTCCTAAGGTCACAAGTACCCTTTAGGGAGGAGTTTGGGATTGGTTTGAAGGAAAGTCAGATAGTTGGGGGAGTCATTTAGAAATAGGGAAAGTTGGGTAGGTCATGTCAAGTGGGTCAACAGTTATATGATGACATACTTGTGTACACAAGTCTACGTGTGTACCCTTTTCGTTTATTATTAGTTGTATTGCTATGATCACTTAAACAATACTGTTAAAGCTACAAACATTGGTTTGCATGTTCATCACACATTTCATCCATCTGACAAATGACTTTCCCGACTTGAACAAATGAACAAGTGGGATTATGCCAGGGACAGAAGTGACCAACATTTCATTGTATGCCTGCTTGCAGCACCTTGGTTAGTGTCAGCATTTGCATGTTACTGTCTGGCAGCTATCAGATGGGCAAGCTCACTGCGTGGATCTTTCTATCCTCATATTGTAGTAAGTATATCAACCAATATTCAGATTGATGTTACATGTACCGAGCTGTGAATATTCCATGTGGGTAATCGTACCATAGATGAAGCATTTAATATGTCAGGGAAACCAACTTACATGGAATACAAGCTTTGTATAATAACCCATATAAACAACAATACTGTACGTAAGGAAAGTACAAATGAAACTAGACTTATGTTTGTGGACAAACACAGGGCTTTTTCGGCAACTTTTTTGTGACATGTTACATGTAAAGTTTCAAGTATAAGTTCCATCCAGGAAGGATGTGTAGATCTGTTTATAATAAATGGCAGCATATAAATATGTGATTAATGACGTCATCATGACATCACATCAATTTTCATCGATAACACATCCCAGTCTAGGTACATACCCACTTTCATCGCAGTTGGACCTGTAGTTCAAATTACAATATACTTCTGGTTTCAACCGGAAGGAAGGGTCACGTGATTTGCACGTCATATCAAAAATGAAGATCCTGGATTATTCTATGAACTCCCGTAAAAAGCAAAATCACATCTCTCACAGTTGGTTTTATATTGATTTTCAAAGATTGAATATAAGAATCTTTGGTTGCTTGTAATCTGATACTTGACGTCGTCATGATGCCATTACCAGAAAGATTGAGAGCTATGTTAACTATGCGATTTGAGCCAAATATCTGGATTAAATATTGCGAGGTTAATTTTTCAGCGATTTTCATTGCAACTTCCGGTCTGGTGACGTCATCAATCTCCCTCCCCCAACTTGTTAGATTGAAGCTGGTTGTATACATCAATTATGAAAATGATTTCAGAAAACTTTGCTACACACATCAACTGATTATTCTTATTAACATTTGTCAACCCGCCACTAGAGGGCGCTCTAACATTTTGTGACGTCACCGTTAATGTATTTGGTAAAGGACAATTAGCCAGAGCATACATCGTTGAAAACAAGCACACATCTATTACCAATCTTAAATAACAAGGCACCAGGAAGGGTTACGTGATTTTACACATAATATAAAAAATGAAGGCCCTGGATTATTTTATCAGTTCCCGCAAAAGTCATGTTCAGGTCTCTCATGGTTGATTTTATATTGATTTTCCAAGATTCAATCAATAAATCTTTTTACACAAGAAGCACTAGCTACAGAAGAAGCACTAGCTACAGAAATGATGCTATGGCTATGCCCTAATGACTTAACTATGGCTGGCAGTGACACACAGACCTATGGAAGTTTTTGGGGGAGGGAAGCGGCATTTTGTGTTTAAAAATTTTGATGCCCAGCCGGCGAAGCCGAAGGGGCATACTGATTCTGCCTTGTGCGTGTGTGTGTGCATTTGGTTCCACAGCGGTATCTGGATTGTCCATGTATGTCTTGAACCTTGATACAATGAAGGTAGCTTGCAAGTATAACTTATAAGTTTGGACCCCATAAGACAAAGGCCAAGGTTATTAGGATTAAAACAATAGGATTTTTTTTTTATTTGATTTTTTTTTTCCAAACCAGTATGCATGTGCAAATGTAATCACTCACTAAAATATTAGGGGGCCTGTACACTGTTTATACTGTTTAGAGGGGCCTCGTAGCCGAGCGGTTAGAGCGTGGAGCTACGGAGTGGAAGATTGGCGGTTCGAATCCCATTCGGACCAAAAACTGGAAAACTCTCTCTGAGGACCCAACAGTAAAATGGGTACCTGATTCGTTCAGGGAAGGTAAGACGGTGAGAGGAGAGGACTGGGCCCCGCCACTTATATACCGCGCCCAAGACACAGTGGACCTCTAACATCCCACTGCCCCTACGGCCAGTAATGGCTATGGGATCTTTACCTTTACCTTACACTGTTTATACATGTTTGTTGTATAATCAATGTGGCTTCTCCACCCTTTTTTCTTGGACAGTCATATTTTTAATTGAAACATCAGAAAACAAGCACATGTGCATGTACATGTACATGTATTACTAAAACTTGAGACTTGCACCATAGTACATGTACATGTTTATGCAGCTCTGTAGGTTGTTCTTAGGATTTTGAGTCACTTTTGGACCCCATAGGCCAACTGTTCTCATTATTAAAAACCAAAGAAATGATGTCATGATGATAACTCAAGCTTATTCAAATAACCGTATTTTCTTTTGATTATTTAAAAATTCTTATTTCCATGTAGGCCTTGTAAATGCTCAAAGGATTATGCTCAAAGGATTTGCCTTTGAGAATTGCTTGCTTAAGACTGAAAATATCCAGTCAGTTTGCTTAAATCACATACAATGACTTCCCAACAGAAAAGCAAAAAAAACAAAAATTCATTATGGGATCATAGCCTAAAGAAAATAATAACGATGTCAATGAACGTTCCATGTGACCCAGGTAAGTTGTTAATAGAGTGGTGTAATGTGATGGAAATAGGCATGGCTGCGGGGCATTTGTGTTTTTTAACACTACTTTTCTTGTTTTTTTTAATAAATACTCACCGAATGCCAAATTTGAGTTATGTGAGATGCTAGATGTTTTTTTTTCCATCTCAAACAGTTACCCATTGAAGAAATAGTTTCACTGTTTAGCCTAACATGCAACTGGGAAGAATCAGCAATACGTGCTTTTGCTTGGCATCCTCACACCAATAAATGTGCAGTAGCTTGGAAGGATGATGCCATAAGGGTCTTTACAGCAAACAGGTAATGCTAGACATATATGTTGGTTATTTGCAATTTTTTGTAATCTTTTATGTTTTGTGCATGTGTTATAGGCTGAACAAATTTAACTCTTTTTGGGGAGGGGGGTTCCTGATAACCACAGTGTTATATTAAGTGAGTGTGCATCAAACACAAAATGTATCAAGTTTGCATGGGTGATCATATCAGGGATCCGTTGTTAGATTTGTAAGAAAATGACTTAGAATTGTAGAATCATTCATGTCTGTACATTTTTGAAACATTGCAAACATGCATTCAGAAGGTGCTTTTGTGTGATCACTATTTCCTGTAAAGAGGTGGTTGGTAAAAGAAGGGGTTACCCAGGGGGTAGGCTTGTGCCTCCAGACATCCCAGGAGGCTCATCCAACAACACTTTCGTGGCATTTTCATTTTCTTCCCAATCACTCCTTGTGAGTTGTGACCTAAAGTTATGAAAACTTGACCAAAACTGACACCTACCTGACCAAAAACAACTTTGATATGGTATCAATAGACCAATTCATTAAGCTCCACCCACTTACCTCACTAGTCAATCATCATTAGGCATTAGGGGAGTCGGGGAGTCAGTCAGTCAGTCAGTGATAAGATACATTTAGGTACAAAAAAGTACACTGTAAGCTGGACCACTGACGCCAGTCAAGACCATTTGTTGAGCAAAGTGAGACTGGAGCAAGTGTAATTTAGAAATGACAGTGAGTCAGTTTGTGAGTAAGTCAGGTACCAAGAGGACTGTGGGCTAGTCCTCTTGGACCAGCAAAACTAAATTGTAGTCACCGAGACGACTTTTATATTGATGCAAAGTTACAATTGATTTCAGTGATGTAGTTCCGACATTGAAGCATCGTCTTCAACGTTGCGTGGCCTGCATGACTTGGAAACCTCTATCTGCCTCAGATCTAGCTGTTGCTTGCCAAACGTGTATCCTGATTTGGCATATAGACCCATCATCCCTTTCCACAAGGTAAGTACAGATGGCCAGTCAACTTCATTTCAACTGGATTTCCTCTTTAACAAAATGTTATCACATTGGGCTGTGTCCTTGTTATGGACAAGCACCTGACAATATTATTTTGAATGATTAGGTAATTGTCATGTTAACAGAAGGTTAATCTCGGTAGATTTAGAGATAATGAACAACATAGTTTGCATTTTTTTGTAAATATGAATTAGGAGCTTGTAAATTATAGCAAATGTCACTCCACACCACTCATCTTTAATGTTGTGTGTCCATTTAAATATAGAGTTTGAAATATGTTGCACATTATGCAGTTGTTGTCTGCTGTGATGTAGTCCATGGTGTTTTGTATGCAGGAGTGGTGCATTTGCTGTGGATGCCATTTGCCCCTACATGCAAGTGTGTAAAACTCATGGACTACATCAAAACAGACAATTGTTTCGTTATACCTTACTTTTATTTTTTATAACTTGTTTGAGGCTTTTAAAGGTAACAATATGACAATTTGAATGTTGTTTTTCTGGTTTTACACCCCTACACATTTTAATTGAATAGTCCAATGCTTTGGTCTTTGATTAAGTGCACATCTGTGTTGACAGACGTGCGGGTATGGTGCACGTTGACTGGCGATGCCCCGGATAACTATCACCTACCTTTTGCCAATGGTCAAGCAGTGTTTACAAAGCTGTGGGGATGAAACTGTTAAAAAATCTTTGAGAATGATGAAAGGTGATGTTCCTGTGTAACAGGAAGTGATGTACTCTGCAAAGTCCATCAGGATGAACTTTGATAGTACATGTGCATGTACATCACGTGAATAGTTCTTAACCAATGAAATTTCACAATCTAATACCATGGTTGTACAACAAGAGTTCATATATCACATCAGCTTTAACTTGAAGATTTATGATAACATTTGAAGGTTTGCGTGGTGAAGATAGCAATAAGATTAAGTTTACGGTAGTACCATGTAACAAATCTCTTTTATGAGTTTGTGAAAAGAAATTGGGGAAACTCAACATTTCGGACAGTATATACTTTGCCTGTTGTCAGGAGAATGAGGGATACCAACTGAAAGGTGTTATGCATTGAAGATATCTGTTGCACTTTTTCTTGTTCTGATCAGACCATCTGCAAGTTGTGCCCAGATATTGAGTCAGAGTGGCCATGGTCCTATAACCAGCCTTGCATGGGATCCTAAAGGAAGAATTCTAGTTTCTGCATCTCCATGTGATACAGCTATGCAGGTCAGTACTGGTTCAAGACAGCCATGTCACCAGAAGATTTGATTAAGGATGGAGGGAATTTGAAATGTAGGCCGTAGAGAAAGTAAAGAGTGGGTGGGAAGTTTCTGTAGAGGAAGGAGCTAGAAGTTAAACTCATTCTATATGCACACTGTGTATGCAGTGCTGTTTTCAGTCATGGCTCTTAGTTTTCTTGAGTGGTGTACCATTTTTCAGCACAGGTGTAACTTTTCTTAGTCCATTTCATGGGAATTACACACTCAAGTGCATGTATGACTGGCGAGGCCACTGGGTTGAGGTTACATGTTACATGTGGACTTGCAACTCTTGTTTGGCAACCCTTGTCACTTTTCAAAAATGCTGGTAGTGCTGGAGATGATGTTCTGAAGAATGTCATGAAAACCTAGAACTTTCACATTGTCTTATGGTTCACATGTATAAAAACTTTGCTAACACCTTATTACAATAAAAAAAATATATTTTGCTATAAAGTTAACAGTGGAATTATAAATATTGGTCCATATATACTGATGTAATCTGCAAGATGTCTTTGACCTAGTCTTGAACCCTACCTTTGATGTCTTAGTGGTTGTTAGCATTATGCAATGCCTTGTCCTGCTCAATCTGTCCAATTGTATGAATGTCTCATTCTTAGGTCTGGGATGTTGCAAGAGAGTCGTGTGTTGCATTAAGGAGGAGTGGTGGTGGGGGTGTGTCATTACTACGATGGTCAGCTGATAACACAAAGCTCTTTGCTGCTACTCCTTCCAAGATGTTCAGGTATGTCATTAAGCATTGGCCTCCATCTGTTGGGGGCTGTCAAGGCATTTCATTGAATGTATGTATTTCATTTGTGACATATCACACAAGGCATGTGTCACTTAACAATTGTTGACTGCTGTGATGTGGGATATGACGTCTTGAACACCCGAGGGGCGCATAGCACCCGATAGTCCATGATTGAAATTCGTGTAATTAAACCAATAAGAGCTGTGGCTAAAAAGTTACAGTACAAACAAAGGAATGAGGATTAGGAACAATAGGGGTCCACGATTGCCAGTGTTTACAAAGATGTGCACAAGCATTACATTCACTGTGTGGACTTCCGAACAAAGATGTCCACATAAACCAGAGTAAAAACAAAGGAAAAGGAAAGAGGAACAAAAGAAATCCTTGATTTACACCATAAACAAACGTGTGAGTTTGTTTCTGCATTCAGAAGGGGACGTTGAACAATAGAGAAGAATAGGGTCCCCAATTCCCGAGAGGGCCCCAATTTGGATTTGTGTACAAAACATATGGGAGGTCTTCCTAAAAAGTACAAACAAAAGAGGGACAATAGGGGGTCCCCGATTGCAGGCAAATACACACTTGCGTGCGTGCGTTTGTTTATGGTGTAAATCAAGGACACACACGTTCAACACCATTGGTTAATCGAGGACAGGAACCAAACCGAGGACGACCTCGATTCGAAAACGTGTACAAAACCAATGGGGGCTGTTGCGGCAAAAAGTTAAACAAACTTGGGCGTGGGTGTGTGTGTGCATATTTATGGTGTAAATCAAGGACACACACGTTTAACATCATCGATGAATCCAGGACAGGAACAAAATCGAGGACGCCCTCGATTAGATTTAGAGTATAAACAAAAGAAAAGGGAAGAGGAACAAAAGAAATTCCTTGATTTACACCATAAACAAACGTGGGTGTGTGTGTGTCAATGTGGCCATCCTTCACCTACATGTAGTTGAGGTGATGGGATTGATTCAGATTTAATTCTTTTGAAGGAGTTCATTTATTGCACTAGCTCATGAAATTCCATGTTATTAATCAATGGAAGTTTTCTTGACAGAGTTTGGGAGACCAGAATGTGGAGCTGTGAGAGATGGCTGGATTTGTCAAGTCGATGCCAAGCAGCCTGCTGGAGCCCTGATAGCAACACATTGCTTTTCTGTACTGAAAATGAGCCAATTATCTATGGCCTAGGATTCAAGGATATTGGGATGACCACTGGAGGAGCAAGGGCTGCAGTCCAGTGTGCTGACATGTCCAAGATCATGCTGCAGTGTCATGGACAAGATACCAGGTAGCTCTTTTTTTATCAGTAGTTCAGTACTGTATATCAATATACATGCCTTAATAAATCCCCCATCATCAGATTGTTGGGTCATTGATCACTTGTCATTGATTAATTGTCCCAACCCATGGCCCGGCCATACCGCAAAAATAGTTCCGTGGCACTGTCACACTATTGGTTGTGTAGCAGTGAGAAATGGCTCATCAGAAAAAAATCCTGGTTCAAATGATTAGATCGTGATTTAGTTTTTAAACTGGGATAAAAAAAAGGAATCAAGAAAACAATATGGACTTCTCAAAAATTGAATTTAGTCTCTTAAAGAAATGGTCTTCAAACAAAAAAACAAAAAAACAATTTCTATCCTTAAATAAGAAAAACACTTGTTCTCAAATACTTTTTAAAAAACTCAATCTGGGTCAAAATCCAAGAACAAAAAAAAGTTAAAAACCAAAAACCAAAAAAACCAAAATTAAAAAAAACCAAAATAAAAACCCCACACAGCACTAGTGGAAAAAAGACTTTAAAAGCACAGAAATGAACTAACAACCAATGACTGGACCAGCAGACAAACCCTAGCAGGAAAAACACTCTCCAGGTAGGAGGAAAATAACAGACTAAAATGTTAACTTGTCTCTCTGCTGGTCTGCTGAAACTAAAACTAAATGAGGCTTCAACATGTGGCTGCTTATAATAGGGGTGGGCTAAAATAAACAAACAGGGGGATACACTACCAACAATGGGGGGGGGGGCATCTAAACTTCAACTAAAATGATTTTCTTTTCTAAGGGGATCTCGAGCTACTCCTATTTAATACACTATGAAAATTCACAATCAAAACTTGGCCCTGCCACAGTCGCGCTATCACATTGCTTTGATGATGAGGATTTATTCAGATGTTTTATGAAACAAATATTGAATGTTATACATTCGTGCCATGGAAAGATTTAATTTTTGGTGACAGATGGAATGTTCCAAATTTGAGAGTCCGGCGCTGCCACTGATCATTACAGCAGCGGGAACCAGTCTATCATTATTGCATGCATGCCGCATGTACATTGTACGGTGCATGCTTTCACCTGCAGCGTGAAGGAAAACATTATCTAATCAACCAGCAATTCATGGACTATCTAGAGGACAATAAACTCCTAACTGACATCCAATATGGCTTCTGACAATCATGGTCTACTCTAGCCATAAACGCACTACACGTTTCTTCATCTGTTTACATCTATATACAGTCATTGTTCTAACAGCAAATCTAAGAAGTATTCATCCAGTTTCTTCCCATGTTGCCTCACTTTGGAACCCCCTTACCTGTGTCTTGGTTTTCAGTTGATTTGGATATGTCCCAGGTCAAATTTAACATTTATAATCCTAACAATCCCCATCCAGACAAACTCCTACACCAGGTTTTGTTGGAATCTGTTGGAGTGAGTACTGCACTAGTACACTGATTATGCTTTAGCATGGGGTCAGGCATACCCAGTGGCGCACAGGGTACCAGATGTTTTTCAAATTTAAATCCCAAAGGGTAAAGGTCACTCGCAAATGGCTTATTTGTGGGAGTGAGGAAGGTTTCTAGTAAATCACTCAAAGGGATTAGGGTTCAATTTTGTTAAAAGTAATTTGTGTTTTTGGAATGATGTATATTAGATGTACTGATGGACTTTTCTGTAATGATGGACTTGTCTGTACACTTCTTGCAGTGCTGGAGGTGTAATTCAGGACATGGCATGGGATCCTACCGGTGAGAGACTAGCTGTGTTATTCAAACCAAGTCAAAAGAACACTCAAGACCTTATTGCACTCTTCAGCACTCGACTAGAACCCGTGCTAGAAGTCATTCCAAGGTGAGCTTTAATAGACTTTGTTCAAGGAGGCAGTTAAAGGTAGGGTAGATCATTTGTCATTTGTGCATTTTTTTTCGTTTGCAGCAACAAAAGTACTCAGAATCTAAAGACAGGCGCTTAACAAATAACCTGAAATTTTGTTTAACTCAGTGAATGCTGTACATGCCAAGAAAACAATATTCTAGGATCTTGATTTCAATTCAAAAGTTGCAGAGTCGTGTTTTGAATTGCACCCAAAAACAGCATCTGGGACATGTTCTCAATCAGCCAGTTGCAGCTAGGAGATGTCACGCACAGAACTGAATTAATAGCAACTGCATGCGTGCATGGTATCAATGCTTGCACGAACCAGTTAATGGATTTGCCAAATTACAAACCAACTACTAACGGAAATTTCCAAAAATGCGTCACTTGACACATCTTAGGAAATGGCTTTCTTTTATTATTTTCTTCAAAATGACAGCATGCCAGAAAGAATAATTTCACAGGGAGTTCATTGCCATTACTATCTTTAAACCAAGGAAGCTTTTCAACAATAATTTCGTGTGACTTTTTGGATAGCTGTAAATGATCTACTCTACCTTTAAAGTAAATTCGCAGATGTCAACTATTTTTCTCAAAACAAATCGTCTTCTGTTGTAAAGCAGACTCAATGTAATCAATCTGAATGGCTCTTGAGTGCTGAATGGTAACCATTGATCCTCATTAGTAAGACTTGATAGGTCATGCATATACCTGTACTTGCGCGCAGTGAAGATTCGAAAAAATGTGGACACAAACAGCTGGGTTGTACGGTGTGGATTAAATGGTTTGTGACCACGCAAGGGTGATGTGCACGTGCTGCATGGTCTGTGTGACGACCGCATTTCAAAGTTCTAAACATTTGCCAATGACTACACATCCGTGCACACACATACTGAAATTTGTATTCTTGTGGAGACATTTCTTTGTTCTCGTGTAGTAAAGTTTTCGAGTTTGAAAGTGAAGTTTCAAAATGCTCTTATTTTAACCAGAATTAATTTCCTTGGCTAAAAGTTGGATTTAATATCCCTTTTCTAAAACTCTTCCATTTGCGACAGATCAACCCACCTTGGAAATTCCTAGTTTTTGAGTAAAATCCAAATATACATGTATCTATTTCGTGAAAACTTGTGGAGACATATTCATCTATAGAAATTGTCCTGTGGAGACGTATACAATCTTTTGTTCCCTACTGTACACACGTCTCCAGAGGGCACGGTGTATCAGATCAAGATGGCAGGCGCTGTGTCCTATCCAGTCTTACTAAGGGAGATCAATGATGGTAACACGGCAATCAATGAAAACGCACATGCTAATGAAAATCGGCTGACCCATGATTCATGGGTCAGCCCTTAGTAAGACTGGATAGGACACAGCGCCTGCCATCTTGATCTGATACACCGTGCCCTATTATCATTGATAATGCAGCACCACCCTATGGGATCCGTGTGCCGACAAAAGAGGGTGCGTTTTTACCTCTCCCTAGAGCTCAGTGGACGGGACACACAGTGGTGTTCTCAGCTGATTTGATTTGGACTATGTATGTGTACATAATTGTATATATATATATATATATCTATTTATAACACCTCACCCACAGATTCTGTATCTTGATTGGCCAAGAGCGAGTCACATGGCATTCTCATTTTAATGAAGTACATTTTAATTATATGTAGATTAAATTAATCAGTTATCACTTAAAATCAAGCAGAATCTGTGGGAGAGGTGTTATAAACAAATATTGACTGCTTTATCTCGTGGTGTAGTAAACCTAGCCTCCCTCGGTGATCCATGGAGCTTTCTGTTTTCCCACAGCTATGCCTCAGCAAAAATAGAATGCTTCATGGATCACCTTGGGAGGCTATGGGCTCCGTGCGCCAACAAAAAAGGGCGCTTAATTCTTACCATTTTTGAGAGCCCCGTGGACAGGATACAAAGTGCATACTGTACTGTAATGGTTCACACGCAAAGTACGCACGACTTCCTGAATGTGCCTAAGCTGTTACAGTGTCTTCGCGTAAGCGTCAGGCATCGTTGGCTTGCGAATACATTCAAATTTAACTGGCGATGGTCTCCTCGACTAATCCTCGTCCCCAATAACTGTGGATCATTTGAAATATGCAGTGAATGGACCAGGAACCAGTCTAGGTCACCCCCAACTCTCATTTTCTGGCCGTTGAAGGGGCACTTGTGCACGGAGCCCACACCAGTAGTTTTAATACACCACTTGCAGTCAACATTTGTACATTACATTATGCTATTCATGGTAGTCATTCAGAACACATGTAATAGTATACAAATAACAAATGTTCATGAATGCAATGGTAAAAAAAAAATTCTTGAGGTGACAGATGAAATGTTCTATTTCACGAGGCGGAGCCAAGTGGAATGGAACATTTCATCTGTCACTGATTGAAATTATTCATACCATTGCACGAATGTGAAACAAAAACATTCATTATTTGTTGATTTGTTGTTGATTACGCAGTGGTTTTGTGCGTGGTGAGCCAGGACAGAAGCCAGAATTAATATCATTTCAGCCTAACTTCAGACAAGGAGCACTCCTGACAGTGGTATGACCATTTGACATTGTCTCCATTAAATGCACACAATAGATAAAGTGAAAAGTAGAACTATTAGACTGTATGACACCGTGGAGGGTCACTAAGGCCCAAAAAAAATAGTCTCCGGTTTCTGGTATGCGCGCGCGTCACCGTAGCCATGCGCGTCGGCAAAATGAAAAAGTTTTTTTTTCAATACAAGATGATGTCTCAAAACCGCCAAATTCACTGGTTTGACTGGAATCCTGCTGCTGCACAATTTTAACGTGTTTTTAGATGGGGTTATGATCGAGAATAAGCTTTATGTGGCCTCTCTGGACTCCCATATATTTGCACTAAGTTTAGTCGGGCACCATTTGCAGTCATCAGCCGACATTTGAAGCCCCCAAAAAAAAAACAGGTAAAAAAAAAAAAAAGCCGCATCGCCGCACCACTTTTGGGGCAAGCTCCATACCAGAAACCGGAGACTTTTTTTTTTTGGCCTAAAGGTACATTTTATTTTAGCAAAAGAAATTGCTATGAAGTACATAAACTAAGTTCTGTACAGTGAAAGTACAATGAAATTTTTGCTATGTAAAACATGAATTATGAAGGGAAAAGGGCAACATGAGCTTTGAAACACCATGTAACTCTTTTGACTGCAAGATTAATTGCTCTTTAGATAGATAAAAAAAATGTGCACCTGATCTATTGTATTTGGCATGTTTTGGCAAGAGAATAATTTCTTTTCTGTTGATGAATTTACAGTGTTGGCAGAGTGGAAAGGTGTCGTTTATCCCCTTGATGTTCATGCCAAGTCAAGCCATCAATGATACATCAAGCTCAACTTACAAGAACCCCACTCAAACTTCAACTCTTCCAACGGAGCTTTTCTCACAAAGTTAATCTCAGGCATTATTAAAATAATGAAACGGTCTACTGTGGTAATAAAACAGGATTACACCAGCACTTGCATTTTTTTTTTTTTGGGGGGGGGACATTTTTGTCACCGGACACTTAGTCTCTGTAAAATCAAAGGGGGGGGGGGGGGTTGGCTGGTACCATCTTCCAAAATAGCGGGCGCTCTTCAAAACCGGCCATTATGCAAACTTTGCTTTATGTGCCCATTTTCAGGGCGCATTGTAAGGGTTTTGGGGTTCCGTTTCCATATTCCTCGTTCATATCAGAACTCTCTACACTATTATGGAAAATGGTTACTGAAAACAAATTATCTGCAATTTTAGGGCCAGTTTTGTTTTCATCATGAGGGGGCACATATATGTCCACAAGAGGGGCACTTGGGTAAATCTGGGGGGGGGGGGGCAAGTGCCCCCCCCCCCTCCCGATTATGCTGCCCCGGAAGGATCCATGCTTAGCCTAGTCACTGAAAAGAGCAAAGTTCCAAATCAACATTTGTAGACGTGTATTTGGCAAACTTGTGTTTATTTATGAATTCACAAAATTCTTTAAAAATATATTTGTCATAAAAGCGTAAAAAGAAATCAAACATTCCTTCAGTAATCTACTATGATTTAGGAAACCTCCATGGCTGAAATCTGTGTCCAAAAACCTTTTAAATATAACAATGAGTTTAGAATTAGAATTTCAAGCATTGATTAGAATCAATGACATACTCTGCAAAAATGAAAGCATTGTCTTGAATGAAGGAAAGAGTACCAAATGCATGTCAGCTTTATGAAAGATATCATGTTGGTTTTCTTTTAAGAAGATTTTGCTACAACATCATGCATTTTTCTTAGATGCGATGCATTTTCCTTTGTGCTGTACTCTTAAATGTATAAAAACTATTTGACTTCCCTTTTGGTTAATGAGAAGTGCTCTTTAAACATTTTTTTTTTAATTCTATGCTTTTTTGGACAACAGAGGTGTCTATTTTTGTGATGTGATTTCAGGAAGACACTGTTCAGTTTAGGGGTTTTCTGTTCAAATTGTGAACCCGAAAATGTGCTCATTGAAAACATTTGTGAGAAAAGTTTGCTCTTTGGCTTACTGCAACAAACTGACAATGTATTGCCAAAAAAAGAAAACATTTACAACAGCACTCAGCAGAGCATCCAAAATTCTGGCAACTAACTAAAAATTGTATAACATTGAGGTTTCTACCTGAAATTACATCACACTTTTGCTCATGAATATGCAAATTTGCATAAAAACCCAAAAAGTCACCAAATACCCTTGAAAATGGCAAAACGAGAATTGAAAATAAGGAGACAAAGGTGCAATTTTAAGGTTTACATTAAAAAAAATCCATCGTATGGCCCTTTAAAATTAAGTACATTATTCAGTAAGATAGAACAGTCATTTGAAATGAAATGAAATTGAAACTGTCCAACATGTAATAACCATTTTAGACTGGTGTTCCTCGGTCATGCCAAGTTCAGAAGTATGAGTAGTTAACCCAAATAGACTTGGGTATCAGAAAGGTAAGCTTTCAGCATTCATTTTCCATTGAGTGTTGTCTGAAATTAAGATGCACCAACATCATTTTGGACAGCTGCAAAACTTGATTTGTCTATGTAAGTGTAGACACTCCTAATTGTTTCAAACATCAAACTGTTCACATTTATGTTCTTATTTCAAATCTGATGAATAATTTGGTTCAGCACGACTTTGGAATGTCAATCTGAAACGCATGTTAACATGCGCATGACAACACCTTCTGGAATTCTGAGAATTTTCTACTTGATTCGTATTTTAACTGCAAAATCTTGAATTTACAATATTTAAAACGGTGGTTTTAGCAAAGTACATGTAATTTACAGGTGCGGTTAAAATAAGGAAGACGTTATCGGGAAGTTCTACTTGAAACAAAATATCCATGTATACATAACTAAGCATGAAAAAAAAGAACCCAAATTTAAAAAAAAACTGTCTACAATAGCAGTTTCAAGGGTACATAGAATTATTACTTTTTTTTGTTGCTCTTAATCTTAAGAAGGGTGCATAACTTGTTCAAGTTTCAGCTCATGGGATATTCTATACATTTTAAGAAAACAATGTAGCAACATGCTGGGGTCTAACCCAACTTCAGCTGAAGGTGTTTAAGATGTTTGCATGTTTTTCTTACATTAAATGTCGTTGAATCCACACATAAGATTGGTAAACATAAGGCACCAATAATGCACCTTTTTTATTAATCAGGCATGCAACTTCTCCTCGGATCCGCTGATTTCCTCGTGTTTACTTCTCCTGAATGCCATTACAAATTTAAAAACACTGTAAAAAGTCTTTTAGTGGTTTAGAGTTTTCCTTGTTTTTTCTAAATTCCCAGTTGCATGCCTGTTAATAAATTCATAATTAGGATGACCGCAACTGAAAAATTGTCAGAAAGACTTAATATGATAAAATTTGGAACTTGCCACTTGGCAAAATGAAATCTCTTTCACTTAAAACTCTTTTCTTTAAAAAAAAATATATGATTCCTTTCTTAAAAAAAAATTCATCAAACAAAAAAGTTAAGTTGTTACTCTAAGGTATTCTAACATGTCTAATGTAAAGTTATGTTTATTCAGGCCAAAACTTCCAACCTAAAGTAAGCTAAAATTCAAGCCAAAACAGCAGTCTAGTTTCAAGGCAGCATTAGCCTGTTTCATGTTCATTATGTTATGCCCATTATTATGTTTAAATTTTGTATAAGAACATTTGTAATATATTTCAGTAACATTCGACATTCTAATTAAGCACTATTTTGAAGTTGTAAATCGCTAACAAAAATTGAAATGCCAACAGGATAGTGAATCTGCACATTATGATGATCATAAAGTGAACAGCCCCAATGTCAAATGCACTGCTTTCTGCTTGATTTTTTCAATTGTGCAGCCTAAATGGAACAAGGATCAGGAGAGAAAAACATTCCAGCTGCTTCCCATTATTTCCAGGCACAAATTGGCATAAAAAATTCCAATGAGATCAATTTTGATGCAAGGCCTCATAAAGCTATGCATAAATTCACAGCAACATAAAACTATACATGTACCTGTACATAGTTAAACTTCATTCAAGACATTTGAACTTCAAACCAATTTAACACTTAAACCAGAGGCACTGATTGACTATGATTAAATCATAAAATTAATTCTTGATGAATCTCAAGTATAAAATGATTATTAAAGAGGTGACATGTTGCTTTCTCCTCTCAGTTTCTCCAATAGGAGTAGGCACGTTTTCCTATAATAGGCGATCATTATTTTGTAACAATTGACGCAAATAACAACCTGTAGAAAATTTAATCTCTTTCGATAGTGGACATGGGAATCATATGTGTGCTTCCTCCAACAATTTGTTGTAATGGGCTACTGTAAATATGTCTATGAGACACAATGAAAGCCTACAAAGTGATTGCAATGAGGTTTTTGTCTTTTTGGATCACTAAATGATGTGACTGGAGTCATTCTCCAGCCAAGTCTGGTCAATTTCAATGCATTGTCAAATTCTTGCTCGAGTTGCATGTAGTTGGAGTCACTGACACTTAAATTTCATCTAACATTTAGTATCAAAAATATGAGATTAAGGACAGTTACAGCATTATTTAAATTTCTGTTCATTTGCTAACTGCAACTCAACACACACTTAATGCTGAAAAAGCTAGTACATTGTATCTTCCTGAACAGGAAATAGTTGGGTGATTAGCACCAGTTTATTATTAAGGGAATAAATGTGTGCTCCGGAGGTTTTTATCACTCTGTTTAATACCACTTAGAGTCTGGGTGCTGATAATTACCCGAGCCGGAGGCGAGGGTAATTATCAGCACCCAGACTCTAAGTGGTATTAAACAGAGTGATAAATACCGACGGAGTACATATTTATTCCCATTCATAAATACCTTTTCGGTAAAAAAAAATCATATAATTCGTTCAAAACATCCCGATTTTGTTCAACAAATTCACTTTATGCTTTTTGAAACATCCCTCCTGCAAAATAATGGAGTGTTCAGCTGGCGAGTAAGATGAAAACAACCCTTTTATGGAGATTGACGCGCGCGTATCATGTTCTACGCGATGTCGCGCAGAACGCACCTGGCGCGTTGCGTTTTGAATTTAGAACTTCAAAATTCTGACTCCCTAGTAGTGTTGCGCATGCCTACGTGAGGATTGTGAACGTTCAACCAATGAAACGATAAGAGGCACTGGATTTTTAGGAGTCCACATTTTATTGTGACACTGGAAAAGTGTTTAAGACCAGCTAGCCATGTCTTTATCATCCGTTTAATACCGGCCACGTGACGGGCTCTCGACCAATAGGAATGGCTAAACTGTCTGAGGTATTTATGAATAAGGGAATAAATGTGTGTTTGGGAGGTATTAAACACGCTGTTTAAGACCAGCTGGAGTCTGGATGGGTAATTATCAGCGTTCCAGACTCCAACTGGTCTTAAAAAGAGTGTTTATTACCGACCAAGCACATATTTATTCCCATTCATAAATACCTTTTTGGTCAAAAAAAAAAATCTTTTCGGCCCACAAATCAAAACAAGTCAAAAACAAGACGTTGCCAACCGTTTTGTTGACAGTTTTACTTCATGTTTTATGAGACTGCCCTCTGACTATAGTCAGAGGGGTGTTTCTTAAAATATGGAATGTCCCTCTACAAATCCTTACCTTATAAGGAGATTGGCGTGATGTCGGGCAAAAACGTAGCTGGGCTGGTTTGTGTGTAATTTCGGACTATTAAATACTGATTCACTGGTAGTATTGCACATGCCTACATGAGGAATGTGAACGTTCAACAAATGAAACACTAAAAGGCACCGGATTTCATGCGAGTCAAAATTTCATGAGTCACTGGAAGAGTGTTATAAGACCAGCCAGCCATGTCTTTATCATCTGTTTAGACCGGCCACATGACCGGCTGTCGACCAATAGGAATGGATAAACTGTATGAGGTATTTATGAATGGGATTTAATATTATACAAATATTGAATGCTTCGAGTGGTGTAGTAAAACTAGCCTCCCGAGGTGATCCATGGACATTCTATTTTCCCGGTGCGAAGCCGAGGGAAAATAGAATGGTCCATGGATCACCGAGGGAGGCTAGTTTTACTTCATCATGAGATAAAGCATTCAATATTTGTTTTATAACACTTCACCCACATATTTTGCTTGGTTTTAATATCTTAAATTATTTAAATCTGAACACAGTTGAAATAAACTTCAATTTCAATACAAAATTGGTGGACAATGTATTTCTCTCTTCGAATCTACCCCTTCACGATATGTTTGAACCCAAGTCTGCGGCGCGCTCTCTTTAGAACAATACGCGCTACGCGCAACGCGCACACCAGCATCCATTTGCACACAAATACCGCGCCGTGGAAATAGTACTCTGGTTGCTAATGGTATAGTACTTTGGTTGCTATGCGCATAGTACTTTTGGCAGTGCACAGAAAGATAGCAAAATTAGAAAGTAACATGTGACTCGCTCTCGGCCAATCAAGACACAGAATCTGTGGGTGAGGTGTTATAATATTTAAGGACATATTTCATGCATGCCTATTTCATGTATGCTTATGGGAAGTTATGAGTTACATGTACATGTCTACATGTACATCGAACTGACAGTTACCATCAGTGAAACGAGTATCAGTGTGACTTAACGTTACCATTCATGTATCAATTTGTTTTCTCCTTGTTTGATAAGCCATTCTTGTCTTGAGCATGTACAGCCAAAGATTTCTGCCCTTGTTCGTATTCCTCCATGATGTAATTGAAGACTAAGATACTAAGAATAGTGCCGATAAAAGGGCCTATCCAATAGACTACAATGTGCTCATAAAGGTGGTGACCTTTGCAATTGTAAGTCAGAGCAGTAGCCAGGGCAGGGTTGAACATCATTCCAGTCCAATCAAGACCTACATTTGGGAATATGCAAAAAAGGGAATTAACAAGGTAAATAATTTAATTGCAAGACCACAATAATGCTGCCCAACCTCAGCAGTGTCCACAGCCAATCAATTTGACCAGACTTAAAATCTGCATGTTTGAAAGTTCAAATGGCCCACTTTTTATCTTGAGAAAATTCAAACAATCAAGCGGATCAGACCATCACTGAGAACATATGAGCTACACAACTGACGTGGATCAAAGTGATGAATCTAACAGTGTCAGAAATAAAATTCATGCTGTAAAGCTTATAATGATTTACCCATCAAATTGGGAATAGTGGAATTTAAAATGGTATACGTGCATTTTGTTTTCAAATTCCATCCGCAACAGAACTTCAAATATTAATCTTTTGTTATTCCTTCCAGAGAAAGCAGTGAAAACAATGTGATTTCATTGGATTGTACAGCATCATTCAGTTAATGTCAGAACTTGTGGCACACAAGCATAGGCCCTACACTTATGTATCATGGAGGCTCACAATTGACATCACCTGCACCTCATTTCATTAAACACTTTTTCATCGACAACACATTGTATATTTAGGCCAGTGTCTAAATACCTTTGTAGCACACATTATGCCTGCCAAAAAATGACTGTTTTTTCAAAGTTTTGTCCATGACAGCATTAAGACTCATACGAGTTTGCTCACTACATATTTTGTGATGATATAGGTAGCTTTCCAGCAGTCATCAGGCTGTCCCAGTTACATTGATGACCAAAAGTGTAACCATAATTTCAAAATCGAACTAAAGGCCTATTGGTACATGTATACTGGTATTTGTATAGATTTTGCAACGTTAGCAGATCGGACACGATCATAGAACAAAATACTAAACAAAACCTGCAAAACATATCTCACCTGATACCACCACAACTGCAGTAGTGAAAGCATTCACCATTGTGTAATATTTAGGGCCCCCTAGCCCCATGCCTGCAACACTACGGGACACAAACATGGCTAAAGCCTCTACCAAAACTCCCGTCAATAAATCAACTTGAAGAGCTGAGACACATGACGTCCTGACCATCTCTGCATGGTTGACATGTGCTGAACTGGGTGCTAACATGTGCCATACAAACAACATGTATCTGTAGGCAAGCAACCCTCCAGCAACCTCTGCAGCCATTTTCAGGACACCGTTAGGAACGCTGATTTTCTTTTTCAGAATCTGCTCCAACATAGCCGCCGGGTTGCCATAAGCATCAAAGGTTAGACTGTATCCCAATCCAAGGCAGAATATCCCAAAGGCATAGACCCAGGTACCATAGCTGCCCAACACAACACCATTCTCATAAACGCAGCTTGTGAGTTGAAATGTACATAGAAACTCGGCCACATATTGATAAATGGATTGTGGAAGGATGCTGCGTGTGGTAACTCGCAGTGCTTGTGTAAGCAGGAAAGTAGCTAGAAGAATCGCTGATGAAAATACTATTGACATCTCGTCCTTTCAATCCTGTGAAATCACCACATAATAAGTGCTTCAAGGAGTTAAAATCCATTATGCATTAATTAATGATGATTCTTTCTTCAAGATGCATCCCCGATGCTCTTCAAAATGGATTTTTTTTATATTATTATTATTACTTTGTATAGTTATAAATATAACATACAAAGTAATAACAATAAATAAAAAAAAGAAAGAAAACCTACTTTTGTGCTATTTTGGGCATCTGCAACCCTCTGAAAAGGAACCTGCCCTTGAGTCAAATACTGGACCACAAATAATTCAATTTTATAAAGAAATAATTCAATGACTATACCCACAGGGGATGCGTCTTAAAGTTTTCTTCAGCAAAAGCTCATTAATTTTAAAATGAAAAGTTCAAAAGAAATAAACTGAGAATGGGAAAAAGTAGGCTTTTTAATTAAGCTCTCTTCAAATTTCCTCTGAAAGTTGCAGGATAAATAGACGGTACAAAGTTGGGTTAACACGGCTTTTTACTTTAGGAAATTAATATGGAGGAAGTCAAGTATTTGAGCCACATCTTGGGGCTACATCCAAGCTAGCTAGGGAGACCCCAGCTCCAATGCTCATTGGAAATTTGACAATAGAATTCCCGATGAGCACTGGAGCTGGGGTTTCCCAAGCTACATCCAAACTAGATGGCCAGGGAATGCCAATGTTCAGGTGTTTTACTCTTCAACAGGTGGCTGTGCATATGCGGCCAAGGTACAGCAGCTACCCAGTGGGCTCACAAAGCTGCTTGAATGCTCGATCATATTCAGCAAGTCATGTGTACGTGTGACTTGTACAAAACAACTATCATCAGTGATTGTTACAACTTAAAACTTTCATTAAACTGGCATTGGTAAGGACTTGATCGACATGTAGAGCAGCCATCTGCTTACTCATTTAAAAAAAGTTTTCCTCATTTTCCCCCCCAAAAAATTAGGGTAGGGACATTCAAAATAAGGTAGGTAGGGTAACCGGAAGTAGAACTATTATTTTTTTGGCCTAATGTATAATAATATGGGAGTTCCTAAACTTAAGGTATTGAAAACATGCAATGCAATACAAGCATGACGAGAAAATAGACTGGCACCTGAAACAACCAGTCGAACAACCCTTCAGCACTGCATCAACTGTGCCAAAAGAAACATCTGGCAATAGCATGTCTGGTATACAGATCTCTATTTCTACCATAAAGCTATATTAAAGGGACACTACGTCCTGGAACAGCCCAATTGGGCTACAAAACGTGCTTTGAACGAAATGATGTTTATCGGAAAGAACATTTAAAAGTAGGATACAAACATCCACACAACTATCCTTTAAAATTTAAACTGGGCTTTTTTGTGTTATTCCTGTATTATGCGTGCAAGAACAAATTTCAGGGTCCACTTTTGCAACCCCAAAAAGTCGAGCTGTTTGGGTGCTAGTTGTGATTTCATCCGTAAAGTGTTCACCATTTGCGGATGTCGAAGAAACCACATTTTGTGCATTGATGATTGGTCACCGCTGTTTACGAGCACGATATGTTTGATATAGGATAAGTAAGCAATACAAAACATGAAATTTTCGGGGATTTCAGGACCTAGTGCCCCTTTAATATAGCTCTATGATTTCTACACATTTCTCCACAGTGTCACCAGACTCTCACTCCTGGGAGCTGGCTAGTCCGAGTAACTTGGACCCAACTTATCGCCTTTTTAACAGTCCGACATGGTCTATCGCCAGACCATGTCCGAATGTTAAAAAGGCGATAAGTTGGGTCCAAGTTACTCGGACTAGGAGCTGGCCTAGAACTTAGAAGTAGAACAGTCTGGCTCATAGTCATTATAAACTCCCAAGCCATGAATGCAGTGCACTGCAACTAGCAGTCTCACAGCCGATTCGGCTACGCTAGTAATTAAACAGTGACGTCCAGTCAGTGGCGTAGCCAGGAATTTTTCAGTGGGGGGGGGGGGGGGGGGGGGCTGGAACATTTCATGGGGGGGTGTCATGTAGATCAATGATAATTTTTTTAGAAACTCAAAATCTCAGTGGGGGGTGACGGGGGGGGGGCGACAAGGTTTCATGGGGCGCTGTGGCTATTGTTACGGCAGCCGTAACGCATTTCCCATTTCTATCGTTACGGTAGTACTGCAACTTTTATAAAAACATGAGAAGAAAATATAAATTAGAAGGAAAAAAGTGAATTTGAACATTATGAAATTCGGACTTTATTTCCCTTTTAAAAAAAATCCTCCAAAGCCTCAGGTTAGAAAAGGAACAAAATTTGAGTGCAAAACTGAGATGCGAACCCGCAACCTCGCTGCTCGCGGTGCAAATCCTACCCTCTATCGACTGAGCTGTCGCACTGGTCACCAAAACGTGGGGAAACAAAAATAATTATATACCTGCGTGCGTATCAACAAAGTATCGTAGAGGGCGCTAAACAACGAAGCTGTCGCCCCCCCGCCCCCCCCCCCCCCCCCCCCCACGCCCCCGGCCCCGTGGCTACGCCACTGCGTCCAGTATAAACTATTGGTTGTTTTTTATTTAATCATCAACAAAACGCAACTGTTCGTCACTTACTGCATCTATGCTTACTGAGGAAATCCTGTGGTGCGGAAGACTTTCCTTCCCAAATGTTCCAAACTCAGCACTGTAGGCCTACTGCATGCACTGCGTACGCTACGTCATGTACGTGTATGTGTACGTACGTAGTCTTAGCCCAATACGCCGCTAGTGATTGAAAATGGACGGTGAATAGTGCGCCCTCTAATGGCACCAGAATTAGACCAGCGGGCCTAAATGTTCGCTCGTTACAAACGGAGCTATACCCACCGCGCCCTGGGAAGGGCTGATGCATCTTCACAGAATCTTGTGAAGGAAGTGGGAATGACATTCTGGGTAACTTATCATGAAGTTTTGGAATCTCAACCTTTATATCGATGGGGCGTGAGTGTCTCTACCAGCCGACCCAAAGCCGAAGCGTTAAACCACTGTTCTGCTCGGTCTTTACCAAAGAAAACCTTGCTGAATCAGTTCCCATCACTCAACTCAAATCTAACTCCAAAAATTGCAACCCTCAACATAACAACAAATGGTGTGAAAAAATTGCTGGAGGAAATCCAATCAAAGAAAGCATCCGGGCCTGACCAGGTACCAGCCAGAATTCTGAAGAGCTGCTCAGCAAGTATAGCTCCAGTCTTCCAAAAGATTTTTCACAAGTCTGTAGACTGGTTGAATGCCAACATCGTCCCTATTTACAAGAAGGCAGATCGAACGAACCCAATTAATTATCACCCAGTTTCACTTACTTCGATACCATACAAGCTTCTCGAACATATAATTCATCGACGTATCATGGACCATCTTGATGTCCACCAAGTACTCAGTCACAAACCACCAGCATGGATTTCGTCAGGGTCGATCATGCGATTCCCAACTTGCTGGGCTCAGTATCAATGATCTATCTTACAAGGACACTTGATAATAAAAGCCAGATGGACATGATATTACTAGACTTAACCCTACCTCCTTAAGGGGTGTGCAAAATCGTATTAAAATTGGAGGATTCAGGATAGCTATTAGTATTTTAGTAATGCGTTTGATACCGTCCCCCGTAAACGTCTTCTGTACAAGCTCAGCCATGTAGGAATCAACAACAGCCTTCTGAAGTGGATTGAGATCTTTTTAACAACAAGACACCAGCAAGTTTTACTAGAGGGAGAAAACATCTGCAGAAACACCAGTGATTTCAGGTCAGTGCACCTCAAGGGACTGTGATGGGCCCTTACTCTTTTTACTGTACATAAACGACATGCCAAATGAAGTTTCATCTAGAGTTCACCTCTTCGCAGACGATCCAATAATCTACAGGGAGATTAAATCACCAGAAGACAGCTTGTCTTCTCATGGGCAGTCAAACACTAGTGGCAATCGACCATCACCCATACCTTGGTGTCGAAATAAGCAAGGATTTAAGCTGGGCAACACAAATCAAGTGACTGATGGTAAAGCTAATAGAACTCTCAGCCTTCTTAAAAGAAATCTTCACTCATGCAGTAAATCCGTCGAAGAGAACGCATACAAGTCATTAGTAACACCCAACCTGGAGTATTGTGGAGCCGTATGGGATCTCTTCAACAACTTACAATACGATTAACTTCGAGAAAGTGCGACGGCGAGCAATTTTCGGAGAATTTGTTTTCTTTCGTTTCGCCTAACGCACTAACACGATTTTGTTTATACTTTGCCAAAGTTACGGCGAATGCCGATGTACTATGTACATTTTTATTATGCTAATTAATTACTTTCACGTACAGAGAGTCGGTTTTCAGGCGAGGTCGGACGGCCGAGGTTGACAGCCAATACAACCCCAAGGCCTTCAAGTTGGACCTACCCTCTCCTGGCTAGAACAGTGACCAAGAGGCGCCGGGTTCGTTCAGGGAAGCCGCACTACTGCAGCTGCTATAGCTGACGGCAGACCGCCTGCAAACAGTCGCCGCAGCTGACGGTGAGTTTAGTTAGTCATGTTAGTAAGGTAAACAAAACTATATAGGCAAAGGTGTATGTAAATTGTAATTGTAAATGAAAGAAAAAGTGTTAATATTTATTGGGGATTCATCCGTGGCTGTGCGTATACTTTGTAATCAAAAAAGTCGGTTAGACAAAACCCCGGGTAAACCATATCAGTGAGCAAACTAAGTTTATTTTCTTTCTTGTAAATATCTACTGGCGTGACTGTAAATAAAAATGTGAATATCCGTAATAAGAACTCGAGTGAATTGACAATTTATTTTGTGTGACAGTGAACAAGACTACCGAGGGTCATATTTCCTGGGGAGGGGCAAACCGGGGAATGTGACACTTCGGTCCTCACATCATTGTCACGCCAAATTTCAACAAACTGTGTTATCAATATTCACTCTACCCAAGAACTACAAGGGAATGGAACCTGCTACCACCCAACATTCGCTCTGCTCCCAATGTCAAAGCTTTTAAAGAGGGAATTGAGCACCTAGATCTCCTCAGCTTAGTTAATAAGGCCCACTTTAAAATTTAGTTCACCGCGCCAACCACTCCGACCTGTGCGAGATAACCACTTAGGAAGTGTTTGTGCAGTAACCACCAGAACCTGGACCTATATGTATAAAGACATCTGGCTGCAGCTGTTAAAGACCGCAGTTAGCCAATGCGCGCAAATGCTATCCGAAAACTTTCTCATAGAAATGCACACATTCCATACCGGATGTGATTTCTTTTTCATTGCGGACCACGTGGACATATTTACGTTGCAATCGGACCCTTTGTGGATTCGGAATGGAGCCTGAGCATGTGAAGGGAATTGATAATTTACAAAAACAGATAAGTTTTGCAGATTTTCTTACATTATTTTACGCTTTATGACGAAAAAAATCGTTGACTTGATGCTGAAGGGAACTTGAATTAAGACTTTTACTCTCAATGCATTAAACAATGAGAATGAACATGACTTGACGAAAGGGATTCAAAAGGATATCCCTAGTTCTCCAGCTGCCAGTTGACGAATGCAAGTGGCTATACCAAAGCTCACAACAGTACTGTCCAGTTATAAAGTACTCGATAGGCTTTCCGTGCTGTTTGTTCCTAGAGCAGGACAGAGGATGAACATATAAGTATGGCAGGTTCAATAATGAGGAAACAGAGACAGTAAAACAGAGAAACCTGGCAGGGGCGGCGGAACGGGGGGGGGGCTGATACCCAAGTGGCCCTCTTGTAGACATAAATGTGCCCCCTCGAGCATAAAATGTGCCCCTCGAGATAAAAACAAAACTGGCCCTAAAATTTCGGATAATTTGTTTCAGTAACCATTTCCCAATATGGTATAGAGAGCTCTGATATGAACGAGGAATATGAAAACCTGAAACCCCAAACCATTACAATGCGCCCTGAAAATGGGCACATAATGCGTAGTTTGCATAATGGCCGGTTTTGAAGAGCGCCCCCTATTTTGGAAGATGCCTCCCCTTATTTGATTTCACGGATGCCAAGTGTCCGGTGAAAAAAACGTGTCGACATTTCAGCACGGATGAAGCAAGGGCCCCTTTTTTTGGCAATCCCCCCCCCCCCTAGTCTATCGGCGAATGCCGTAGGTGGTTTCGACTTGGCTCCGTGGATAACGGGTTATACGCAGACGGGATCTACCCGATGTTCCCCACTAGTACCGATGATCCCCAATACCGATGTTCCCCACATCCCTACCAATATAACCCTAACCCCTAATCCTAACCCCAACCCTAACCCCAACCCTAACCAATAATCCCAAGGATTTGGAGGAACATCGGTATTGGGGAACATAGGTATGCACCCAAGACTACCCCCAGTTTGAAAACCGTTCCGCCGCCGCTGGAGCTGGGTGCTACTGTAATAGGGCGCTCTATAGGTTCGAATTGGTTCTGTTTATTCTGAAAAGAGATGGCAGAGGGGAACTATGTTGGATATGCTGATCACTCAATGCATACACTGCCATGAATCTGCTAATTACTAAATCAACTTACTGGGCATAATATCAGTAACGGCAATTTCAATAAATGAGCTAAATCCCATCCAGTACTCCAAATGTGACAAGACGTTCTAGTAATATACATGTACAGTAAACTTGAAACACAACATAGAATTTGTTGTCATGGTCACCAGTGCTGGTCAATGCCCTCGACCACTAGTGTGTGTACGTAAGTACCCCAAGGACATTATACTCAGGCATGACAAGGTTACAAAATAACACTTAAAGGGGATATGAATGACTCGTACAAAGAACTGAAAAATACCAAGATCCTAAATAATCAAATTAATCTTAAAAACAAGAAGGAATATGGAAGATTGAAAACTTGGATATAGAGAAATGAAGAAAAGGCTAGCTACCGGTACTGGAATAAACTAAGCTAAGATAAAAGGCTATATAATAGATATATCAAGTAAAATGAATAAACCTATCAAATGATCAGTCAAAGATAACTCACGGTTACAAATCCACAGAATTTATACTAAGGAAATTATTCCTCTTTTCACTTTAGCCAAAAGTAACTGGGAATGATTATAAGATGCTGATTGTCTTTTGGAATATGCCAAAAAGTTAACTATAATCCATGGATGAATAAATCATGGTTTTTGTGTACATGTAGTCCTACAAACTCTTCTTTGTTAAATAAACTTCCACTTTATTTAGACTAGAGTCGCCACAAGTCTTTTGTACAAAAATGGCAAATCTTTACGTAAACTATCAGATCAATCAAAGAAAATCAACAAAAATTCAAAACAATTTAGGGAATCTATCAACTTTGAATTTTCCAACTTTTCGAGAATATGGTTACTTCTCAAATCAATTTATGTGAAAATGGAATCATCAAACATCCAAAAGAAAATTGTGTTTGCTTCAAGAAATGACAACAACGAAACCGTAAACAAATTTCAGTAAGAACTTCTCAAGTGGATATTGGCCAAAGTTGGAATGTCTAAGAACTTAATATCCATTCATTAAGATTAACAACACTCAGCTCAACATACAGTGATGGCACGAAAGGAGTAATATTAAGCCTAACAACATGTGACGATTCGGTCTAAACTCTGAGTAAAGAATGAACACTTTAACCTAGGAGTAAAAGTAAGATAAATCATCAAACTCATAGCCTATAGAGCAGTACAGAGGATGAATTACATTTAAGTATGGCAGGTTCAATATGAGGAAACCGCAGAGACAGTAAAACAGAGGAGATGGGTGTTCCAACAACCTGTCTCTGATGCGCAGTTCAGTGGTCAAGTGAAGAGAAAGTTCACTGGCCACCGAATTTAACAGTTCCTCCTCAAGGACTCTTGTGGTTGGCTGCTACCAACCGCCCACACGCGCTGCCAAGCAACCCACCCATTTCTAAGAAAGTGCATGATCTAACTCTGGGGACTTAGGTTCTCGAAAAAATGGGGGGCACAACATTAGTATACAATATTTCACAAGCTGCGTTGACGCGACTCTACCGGTACCGCGCGCTAGTATAGGTTGATACCAAAGATCCTATCCGGTTCGTTAGTAAAAACGTCATACACGCACGCGCACCGCTGATTACTTGCGCCCATTGGATAAACACTCACGTTGCGTTAGCTTCCGGTTCCAATGGTTCCATTGCTACTTAATGGTCAGTGGGCGTGGTTTAAACTGAACTGACGTCACACTAACGAACCGGATAGCGCCGCAAGCGGCGCTATAGGATCTTTGGTTGATACCTGACGCGCCCGGGGCTAGCTGAGCATATGTGAGGACAGCAGATAGACTCAGACTCGAGAGAAGTCTATTTCGTATTTTGATTGTGCCGTACAGCATGAACTTGCAATATCCAATTTAATACAGGGTGATTTTCGCTGACCTCTACCATGCCATAGCTAGCGCGCAGCGGGGCGATCATCCTCTCCTGCATGGATTTTCTGCAGACGCATTTTAATTATTGGTGAATTGGTGAAGGCCTGTATACTGTCTGCACGCACGGTGTAGAGTCGCAGTTCTGAGCCCCCGAAAAAACCTCCTATGCCGGTAAGATTTTGTTAAATAAAAGGGACTGAGATTTACATATCTTGTCTGATGCTAGTCTGAGAAACTAGGTTCTACAAATTGCCTTTTAAAACATTTATTCATGATTTGGCGATGCCGATATCGTCCGGTGCTAACTGGAGTTACCCAGCCCTTAGCTGGAGTTACCCAGCCCTGAGTTTTATCATTGGGTCGTCTATTAGGGCTGGAGCGCATTTTTCTCAAAACTTGTAGTATTTGCAAAAAAAATTTGAAAAATGTTCAATTTTGTCCCCATTACACACTAATTGCAACTGCAACTCACCCCAAACTTGCCTGGAATAACCATTACACAGGTCCTTGAAGTAAAAAACGATCCACGATGAAGATTCAGCCTCCAATTCCAGTGAAAACAGGAGGAATAACCGCTAACTTGACAACCTTGCTGGATTGGCCAGGACCGCTATTGGTTTGTGCACAAAAAAAATTGTGTACAATGAATGGCGGTCGATTACCATGCACGTACAGCTCGCTGGTACTAGGCGTTTTTGCGGTCGGTGCATGACGTGACGCGGAAGCGTAATACCCGATGACTGTTTCATGCATTAATAAGAGGTTCACTCGCATCACAGTGCGGTACTGGAACGGCAGTAACACTGCACTATGAATGCACGATAGCCGGCCAACTCGACGGTTGCCGTTCCAGTACCGCACTGTGATGCGAGTGAACCTCTTATTAATGCATGAAACAGTCATCGGGTATTACGCTTCCGCGTCACGTCATGCACCGACCGCAAAAACGCCTAGTACCAGCGAGCTGTACGTGCATGGTAATCGACCGCCATTCATTGTACACAATTTTTTTTGTGCAAAACCAATAGCGGTCCTGGCCAATCCAGCAAGGTTGTCAAGTTAGCGGTTATTCCTCCTGTTTTCACTGCAATTGGAGGCTGAATCTTCATCGTGGATCGTTTTTTACT